ACCCATGAGGTTAGTTTGTTAGCCTCAGGTGTTAGGCACACTAACCCAGCATCTGTTTGTACTCTAACCTCTGCAGATCTTTAGTCCAGAATAGCCCTCAGCCTTCACACAACCTTCTTTTAATAACTCAAAATCCCATGTTGAGAATGAATGCCTTTCCAAAATGCTGTCTTTTGTCTTTCTCTTGTGGATTGTTCTTTAGCCTAAAGGGGCTCCTATAGCATCACCTCCAAATGTGACTTGGCTGTATAGTATATAAATATGGATAAATATATTTTATTCTCAGTTTTACAGTATTAAAGTATGCTATTCTTGTTTTCCGGGCTTGTTTTCTTTTGTTTAGATGGAGTAATGATGGGGTTTTTGCTCGGTGCAGTACCCAGAGTTTAGTTCAGGACCATGGACAGAGACTAGTCACGTCCACAGCAAAGCATTGCTTGCTCCTCATATATAAATAGTTATGTACAGTGCAATAAATATATACACATATATATTAATTCCTTACCAAGTAAAATCTTCTGTCAGTAGAGAACATTATCGACTAAAAATATATAAATACATGTAGCAGATCACACATATACTGCAACTGCTTTATTCTAAATTTTATAATAAGAATATAAAATAAATACATGCATATACCTGTCAGAGAGAGATTTTCATTAAAGATTTTGCAGGACAGATTCAAGGCTTGAGAATTGAAGATAACTGGAGACTGATAGCATATGCCATTTGATATTAATGACTTCCATCATTAAAAACCCTTTTGGGAGGAGACGAATAAAGGAGAAAATTATACCCGTGATTAATGAAACTATCATAATTTTAAAGATGATCATTTTCCCCAGGCTTTTCATTTTCTCTTATCTTTATTTTCAAAACCTGCAACAATGGAGTGGGGCCAGTTTTCACTCTTCTATAAAACATTTCTTTCATGCATCTCAAGCCAAAATACAACCTGTATTTCATTCTAAAATATTAATTTAATATATATTACAAACCCAGCAATACAGCTTGTTTGTTTATAGCACAATGTGACATAAAAGACTCTGTTGCATCTCAATAATGCATCTAGCAGAGGAGGGCTGTTTGTTTTGTTAGACTGTTCTAGGAGCTTTATAAAGCCGCTGGGAGCGCTAAATCAGATCGAGCAGTGTTTTCAGGCAAAGTTAATCAGCTCAGGCCAGCAGCTTTTCCTAAACCTTAGAATCCAATACATTTAGTGGGAGGAGAGAGAGGATTCAGCTGATCTAGGGGAATTTCAGTGCTGAGCACGTCCTGCCCGGTTCGGTCTTTACAGAGTGTACACGCACACCACTCCCCCTCCCGTCATGCGCTCAGATTTGTGATGACATCACACATTCCCATACAAGCGATTGGTTGGAGGCACAAGAGGAATCGTTCCTGCAGAGAGAGTATAGACAGAGGGATGTTGAGACCGGTGCTGCAAACATGCACACATTCTCACTTTCTTCTATTACGTTGGAGGGACATAGACAGATTTTCATTCTGATTACTTCACATCATATGGCGAGATAGGGAACCTAAAGAAGAGGTACATGAAGGTCTTCCTCTGTATTGACAAGCAACATCAAAAGCTCCACAAAAGGAAGGTCAAGAGTAGTTGACCTTTGACCATCACAGGTGGATGTGCACTTCATGAGCTTAGGATCACAAAGGCATTCTGGGAATGGATGTCAAGGGCAAGGTGCCAAGACGATGGGAGGATATAGCTGCCAAAAAGAAGTCTGGCACATCCCTCAACTTAGTGCAAGGGGTTTCTCGACACCTGCGTGGTAAGAGATTGGCAGACTTGTTTATAAATGCATCTGGTGTCAATGATGGACATGTGCTTCTAAGTGAGTTGCACATTTTATATGCAATACTTTAGGTCAGATTTGCACATTTGACAGCATATCTGACTGCTTTTGGTGCTTCTATGCAGTGACATTTTTTTAAAAAGAATTTTCACTTAGAAACTGGTAGTAAATTTCACAATTAATTACAAAGAAACAGCTAATAACACATTGAATTAACTGTGAAATTTTGAGTTAGAAAGACTGAAATGGCATTTTCATGTAAAACGTACTCCAGTAATCTTTGTTTTATTTATAACTTCGATTTTTGGCAATGACAGGGTCATCTGTAGGGGAGCTCAGCAGGTTCTTGGATGTGCTGTGGATCAATTCTGACTGTGCAAGAGAGACAGTCAAGGAAGTGTTGATTAATCGTGGTTATTTTGGAAATTTAATTAGGAATTTGTAAAAAGATGCCTGGTTATTGTTATATTTCTGCAGTGGGGATGTTTTGTGGGTGTATATGTGTCAAATGCACATACAGTGAGTTTGCATCTGCGAATCCCACTCAAAGTCACCCTGTCCTTATGACGGTGGGCAAGGCACACACTCTCTCTCTCACACACACACACACACCAATACACACCAATGCAGCTGCAAATCTTTTCTGTTGCCATCTATCATACTCCTCTTCTCATCAATATTTGATTGCTTTAGCTCTGAAACAGACTTGATCAAACTATTAATTCACAAAATACTAGATTTTTAGCACAAATGACAGTGGCACATGTGGTCTGCATTATGCATGAGCCTGGTCCCCTTCTTACACACACACACACCCACACACACAGACGGTGTGTGACATAGTGACCGGCTTCAGTGTAATCCATCAGACAGTGCTTTCATTAAAGACGTTGGCTCTGCATCAGTTGTCATTTCTTGCTGATGTAACTGTTAGGAGAAAGGATATTACTGTCACCTTGCAGTTCAGTAATCAGGGTTGGATCTTTTGTTTTCGAGATTGACATGTTTATGCTGCTTTCATCACAAGATACAGTAGGAAATGTTATTGTGAGTGAGCTTGTGAAAATTGGGTAAAACCTTTACCTAGTTATCTCCTCAGACAAATGGTTTATTCTGTTGTGTCTGCTCTTTGAAAAAATTACAAAACAAATTTCTGTGTTTTCTAATTGATCAGGAGATTTAAGTAAATGTCACGGCGACCTTCAAATTCAGTGTTTTTCTGGGCCTTGTTATGAGGGGGTCCAACTTAATGTGTCTATACATTTAATGTTGTCCTGGTCCTTATGGCTGCATTTAAGTATTTTTGTTTGGAACCAATATGATACATGTTATTTTTATGTTTAGATGTTTTATGATTGAAAAGTGCCAATATTCATAACCTATATGCGTAACCCATGATAAAAATGACTCCAAAACCCATAATGAATGTATTATTATTTTTATTATTATTATTCCATCTAAATGGTCTAAAATTAAAACTTAAAATTAAGCTTAAAAATAAATTTATAATTTTTGTGCTGTGTGTTGCTCACATGAGAATGAAAAAGGTTATGTATATTTATTGTACAATTAATGTATAAGTAATTTTCTTACAGAGAAACACACCAAATGGTGTTATTTAGCAGTGCACTCTATATTAAAGGGTATAAAAGTGTAAATATCAGTCAGAATATTTGTCAAAACATAATCAGTGTATTTGTCAAGAAAATATACATATATTTTGGTCAAAATGAACAGTCAAAAAGAAAGAACTGTCTTTTATTGTGATTCTTGATGGGTGATATAGTAGTGTCTCATGTTGTTTAAGATTTAAGATCAGTTTTGTTACTCCGGATTCTGGTGTGTTTTGTTTTTCCTTTAGACGAGCAGGAAGCTGTGCAGAAGCGAACGTTCACAAAATGGATCAACTCTCATCTAGCAAAGGTGAGCCGAGTCGTGTGTGAGATTTCTGAACCAACATGCATCCATTCATGTGTGAGAGAAAAAAAGCATCTGAAGCCTGTTATAGCCACTTCTCTCCAAAGTGCAGAATTAATCTGTCACAAGACCGGTGGCACCAGTCCAGGTCCAACGTGAACATACACTTTAATCTCCTCTTTAAATTACTGTGCCTCATTTGACCAGGGTACAGTCAGTCTGCTGACAGGATTTACCTATAGGCAACTATGCAACAGTACAGCATTATGTAATGAAAAAGATGCTGTGTCACAGTCTTGAGCAATATTGTACTTACAGAAGACTTAACAGAATAGGAATTTACAGGTTATGATTATATAAAAACACTATTGTAGCCAAGCTTTTTTTCTTTTTAAGAAAAGAGGGGTTAAAATTACAATACTTATTTTTTGTAAGTGTTGTCAGTTGAGCTTAATTTGTATTGAACCCAAAATATTCTGTTAAATCATTTACATTTCTATTATCACAGTAGGGACATTATTAAAAGCTTACCCAATAACAGGTGCTTGTATAATTTGCATGATAAACGGGACACATGATATGCGTGTAATAATAGCTTGATGGCTTATTGATTTGTGTGTAAAGAGTGACTGGTCAAGCCATTTTTAAAATTAGCCGCCACTCCAGATAATTCCACTATGATCAACCAAGACCTGACTTGGCTAATCTTCTGTGACGAGGAGCAGGAAATTCATTTGAAATATCAATCTGTGGGGAATACGTCTTGACGTGGCATTTTGTATTAGGTTGCACACCAGTGCCTCTCCAGCGTAAAATGTTAACCACAGAAGATTTGAGGTTCGTACGCTCCCTAGCCGTTATTTATTTATCTGTTTGCTCATTACCATCTGTCATGGACATATTGGACCTGTCAGTTAGAGTTGGCAGTGAGATTCACAGCATCAATGTGCTTCAAGACGACAGTCTTATGAATTAGTTTATGCTTTGATTATTTCTCTGACAGGAATCATAAACAGCTACTGCATGGATAGTTGCTTTCTGGTGTATAAACACGCAGATTTTAAAGCATATTTACGAGCAGATTCTATATAGGCAGATATAGTTTACATAAAATTCTAGTATACAACTTTGTTTTTATGCTGTAGTGTTATTTTAGTATTATTTGTTTAGTATGTACAAAAATGTTGTAAATGTTTGATTCTTTGATGAATGAAAAGTTAAAAAGAACAGCATTTATTCAAAATAGAAAACTTTTCTAACAATATTAGTCTTTAAAAATGTTAAAATTTAAAATTTACTGACCCCAAACTTTTGAATAGTAGTGTATATTGTAACACAAAATTTCTATTTTGAATGAACGCTGTTCTTTTTAACTTTTTGTTCATCAAAGAATCTTGAAAAAAGTATAACTGTTTGCAACATTGATTATAAATCAGCATGTTAGAATAATTTCTGAAGGATCATGTGACACTCAAGACTGGAGTTATGATGCTGAAAATTCAGCTTTGCTTCACAGGAATAAATGACATTTTAACGTATACACACAGAAAAGTTGCTTTAAATTGTAATATTTCACAGTATTGCTGCTATTACTGTATTTTGAAATACAGCATGATTAAAAAAATCTTACCAGCCTCAATCTTTTGAACGGAAGTGTTTATTAAAGTAATCTGAGTTGTTTTCAATCACATCTATGGCATGCTGTTGATTACCACAGACTATGATTTTGACTCATCTCTCTGTTTGTAAGAAACAAATGGGAAATGGATATGTAGTAATTGCAATGAAAGCAGTTATGCAAACTAGAAAAAGCACCGTGCTCATAAACATGACGTGCTATAGCATTATACTTTGTGTGCTAACCAACTGATTCTGTGCAGTTACATGGATCTGAGGTTTTAAACTCTCCCACAAGAATTACATTCATAAAACACAAGAAGAGTTCTTCCACCTTCAACAATCATATTTAAATGTTATTGTTACATTACTATTTTTACAAACTGAAAGATGAGGTGAAATTATTCAGTGTGCCTCAGATTCTTTCCATGAGCATTGTTGAAAATCCAGAGTATTATACAGTGGGTACGGAAAGTATTCAGACCCCCTTAAATTTTTCACTCTGTTATATTGCAGCCATTTGCTAAAATCATTTAAGTTACAGTCTTATGAATTAGTTTATGCTTTGATTATTTCTCTGACAGGAATCATAAACAGCTACTGCATGGATAGTTGCTTTCTGGTGTATAAACACGCAGATTTTAAAGCGTATTTACGAGCAGATTCTATATAGGCAGATATAGTTTACATAAAATTCTAGTATACAACTTTGTTTTTATGCTGTAGTGTTATTTTAGTATTATTTGTTTAGTATGTACAAAAATGTTGTAAATGTTTGATTCTTTGATGAATGAAAAGTTAAAAAGAACAGCATTTATTCAAAATAGAAAACTTTTCTAACAATATTAGTCTTTAAAAATGTTAAAATTTAAAATTTACTGACCCCAAACTTTTGAATAGTAGTGTATATTGTAACACAAAATTTCTATTTTGAATGAACGCTGTTCTTTTTAACTTTTTGTTCATCAAAGAATCTTGAAAAAAGTATAACTGTTTGCAACATTGATTATAAATCAGCATGTTAGAATAATTTCTGAAGGATCATGTGACACTCAAGACTGGAGTTATGATGCTGAAAATTCAGCTTTGCTTCACAGGAATAAATGACATTTTAACGTATAAAAGATAAATTTAAAAAATAAATAATAAAAAATTCTGTATTTTTGATCAAATAAATGCAGCCTTGATGAGCATAAGAAACGTCTTTAAAAAACATTAAAAATCTTACTGATCCCAAACATTTGAATGCCACTGTGTATATGACAAAAACTAATAAAATGGCAATAGCACATTTTTTAAAATATGTTTTTTAAATATATATTTTTAAATAATATATTATTTAGCTGTAATTAATTTTTATTTTATTTTTTTTAGTCATTTTAGGAGTTAACTAACTTGTGTATTTCAGTTAGTTGCCAACATTTTTAATTTTATATACATTTTATTATTTGTTAAGCTAGTTTCATTAAAATTGAGATAAATTTGTGAATAAACATTTTTTGTGATGGTTTATTAAAAGCAAAATTATAAAAGAAAATTGAATCTGGATCAGAACAAGATTTTGCTTTTAGTGGACTACATTGAAGAGATAAAATAAAACCTTGCCATATTTTTAACTTGGACCTGCAATCCTATTGTATGAAAGAGATGTGACATGATCCTATTGCTTCAATAGACATGAGACTTTTTCATGAAATGTGTGTGCAGGAAGGACAGAAATAGAGATCGTCTAATTAAAATTGCAAATAGAGAACTATTTGAACTGGTTCTACATCTGTCAGAATCAATTACATTCATTGTATCTTGCAAATCCAAATAATTTGTTCAATAGCCGAATAGCACCACGCCATCCCTGGCACCCGCTGTTCCCACTTCTTTGCTGTTGCCCTTTAACCTCATCCTGCTGCTGAATGATGTTGCCTTGGTGACAGCACTCTCAAGTATTTGAGGGAGAAGTTTGAGAATGCATGTGCCAAATAGCAGGGAATCAATGTGACTCGTATATTGTTGACAGGATCATTTTAGACTGTATGTGCTATTTTAGTGATCACTGTTTCAAGCAGGTTTACATTTGGGTTTCAGGTATTTCTGATCAAAATATCTCTCTAGCCCTCCACCAGATCGCTAATGCAAATCATCTGGAGTGATTTTCCAGCTCCATAATTCATAGCCCAAAGGCTTCGGATTAATTCTTAGCATGTGTATGATAACACAGAATGAGAATTACACACCGCTTCTATCGCTCCTAAATTTCTTTATAGAAGTATCAATAGGGTATTAGAGAATACGCCCACAGGTCCATGATAGATAATGAAATGTAATTAGGTGTACAGACTAAATTAGGTCCGTTAGTTCCAAGTTTCACTAGTGAGTGATGGAGATGTTGCATTGAGGCCTTACAGCCTTTTGACAGAATTTCAAGTTTCATGAAAGAATCATTCATTTGAGCCAGATCTTTTTAATAATTCAGTTGATCCAGTTCAAAGAACCATTCTGAATGATTCATATATGAATCAGACTCTGGAACTCACTGGAGGGGAAGATTGTTAGTGAATAATTTCTGTTTGTTTCTCATCTGAAGGTATGATATGACTTTGGTGGACTTGAAACATAGCACGCCTAAATTTAATATAAACGTGTATGGACCTTTTGTTTTAGGCTTGAAACCTCCAGTCCTTTTTCAGTGTAATTGTATGGACAAGAGTATCCAGTACATGCTTTCAAAATTTCTCCTTTTGTGTTCTATTCAATTCAAACCGATTCGGAACAACATGATGACAGAATTTTCATTTTAGGGTGAACTGTTTCTTTAACTCACAGAGAAAACTCTGTGCACATCATAGAAAATTGAAAAGGTGCAAACTTCTTACAAGATGCTCAACTGCTCAGCCTTAAACCAAGATCCTGGTTCAACACAATAATCAATTCCCACAGAATTGATCAGCATTGCATTAAAAGATTTACCAAAATCCTCATACTCCAAACTGTTCATTAAAAGATACCATTACAGGACGCATAGTGCCTCAGGTCTCTTTACTCATGCATGTGCTTGCAAATTTGAAGGACATCAGAGAGGAAGGACTGAAGCACTAATCTGCCTAAGAGCTTCAACTTGATTAGCCACTAGAGTCCGAGAGAGAGAGAGGGAGAGAGAGAAAACCGAAATCAGTGAGTTTAATGTGACGCGAGCCAAATAGCATTATAGTGACGGCGAGAGAGAGAGAGAGAGAGAGAGAGAGAGAGAGAGAGAGAGAGAGAGAGAGGAGTGTGATTGAAAGAAAGGGAATGCGAAAGAGGCCACCCTCCATTTCAATTTTGACAAATCCTCTCAGACAGGGTTAGGGCTTAATTATGGCATGCCCAATATTGAGGATGAGCTTGTTTCTCATGTGTTTGACAGTTAGCATGGGTGAGCAGCACACAGCAGCCGCCCGGACACCCTGCTGCCTGCACCTGCTTTCTCGCTAGACATATATCAGGTTTCTCTCTGAATTATGAAATTCAGTATTCAGTGCCCACAGATTCACAAACTGTAACCTCGATTTAACAATCAGTGCTCACAGATTAGTAAGCAGTAACCTCAATTTTGTCATTTGTACTCACAGGTTCATAAACTGCACCCACTGCTTTTTAGATGGGTCCCTTAGTTAAGGAATCTGGGCGGTTCTCTGTAATCTTTTCCTTAGTTGCTTTAAAAGAGCTCTGTACTTTCATAATAATGACAATAAAATATAGTTTCTGACTTATAAAAAATATTGTCTAAATTATGGGGATGCTTTTGGGGATGCAGGGATATGCTAGACTAGAGGGTCCATGGAAAGTTTGAGTGAAAAACAAACACAAATATAAAAACTGTATTTTAGGGCAGTCAATATTTAATATTAATTTTGATGTAGATTATAATAAAGATTAAGTTAATTATATTTATTATGTTAAAGATTATTCGCTGTTAAAAGTGCTGTACAAATGATTCTGAACTGAAATATTTTTTTTTCATTGTTGTATGTCAAGTGGGTAGGAAAATGGCATACTACAAAGTAAATATTTTTCATACAAAATTTTTAAATGTTTAGCTTTGGCTTTTCTAGTGACAATATAAAAGTCAACTATTTAATTTTGTAAACAATATGTCCCTATACTTTAATTCTGTCATCTCTTTACTTACCCTCATGTTGTTCGGAAACCTGTGTTTTATTTTATTTTATTTTATTTTTGACTTTGGGACTTGATTTGATTAGATTTTCCATACAGTGAAAGTCAGTGCATTCCAATATTGTTTGAACCCCATTATTAAAATTAATCTATAAAATAAATGTAAATCTGATTTTTGATGTTATGACATGATTTTAAAAATGATTTAGTGAACAATGTGCAGTTGAACAGTATTATTGATACTCTCAACCTTAATTTAACTCGTCTCTGCCCACTAACATTGTCTCTCTGATCTCTGACTGATATTGAACACAGTTAGAGTGGCCCTCAGGTGTTTGTATGTTCACATGAACTTTGATTGGGTTGCACAGAACATGCAGCTACCGTAGCTAAACGCTGTCACTCCGCTGGCTGAATACATCAGCAACGCCTGCCATGACAATCTATTTCCATCAGTAATAACCAGACACAGATAATTAGTTTGTTCAGCCCTGCTGGTTGTGCCTTTGTGTTGTTTCCTCTTATTTTCATTAGTTGCATAATTACTCAAAGTGCCTCTTTTTAATTTAATATCCTATAAGGTGATTTTATCCAATTAGCTTTTGAATTATTTAGAGATAATTAGAATATCTGAGCAATTCCTCCCCCTGCTCTCTCAAAAATACTTCAAGAATTAATCTTTTAAAAACATCACTCACTTCCCCTTTCTGCCTCTAATTAAGGTCATCCCACAGTCGTTTCTCTTGAAATCGTTCACTTTCACTCTTAAACTACTTTTTTTTTCTCTATATTTTTCCGTTCTTTTGAAATATAAGTCCCCACCCCCTCTACATCTCTCTCTCACACACGCACACACACACATACACACTCACTTTCACTGTTTCATATTAATCTCCTCATGAATGATTTTGCCACCCGGCTGCTTTCCACTCCAAATCCCAGTCATGTGACTGCTGTCTTAAGAGAAATCCTAGATGTGTCGTCCGGGTAAAGAGGGGCTGTGTGGATGGATTAGTGGAGGGGCTTCATCGGGTCAGACAGACTGTGTCGTCTCTACAATCAGCACTTTTACTCTTCACTTTTCAGATGCTTCTTAAGCTTACGATTGACAACACTAATATTCACTGGGTTCAATCTATAAAGCTCATTCAAACTCACATCTATCTATCTATCTATCTATCTATCTATCTATCTATCTATCTGTCTGTCTATCTATCTATCTGTCTATCTATCTATCTGTCTGTCTGTCTGTCTGTCTGTCTGTTATTCTGTTATTCTATCGTTGTATCTGTCTGTTGTTCTATCTATCATTCTGTCATTTTATCTAACAGTTTTTCATTCTATCTTTTGTTCTATCTTTCGTTCCATCAGTCATTCTATCGTTCTATCTATCATTTTACTTATCTTTCTATCTATTTTTCTATATATTTCCGTCTCTGTTGTTCTGTCTCATTCTATCTTCCATTGTTCTATCACTCTATCAATCTATCATTCTATCATTCTGTCGCTTTATCTATCATTCATTCGATCTGTTGTTCTATCTGTAATTCTATCTATCATTATATCGTTCTGTTTTGTTCTATCTATCGTTCTTTCTATTGTATATCATTCTATCTGTCTATTGTTCTTTCTGTCCTTCTGTCTGTCATTCTGTCTGTGTATTGTTCTATCTGTCTTTTGTACGTTGTAGATGTCTAAATAGTTTGAAGTAAAATATCAAATCATCACTGGATTGTTTTCCCTCCCCAGCGTAATCCTCCTTTAGTGGTCTCTGATCTCTTTGAAGATGTGAAAGACGGAGTGATGTTGTTAGCTCTTCTTGAAGTCCTGTCTGGTCACAAACTGGTAAGAAAAATGCACTTTTGGTTGTTTTGGTATTTGATTTTCCTCTGTAAATCGAAGTTACTTAACAGCTGTACAAATGACTTTTACGGTATCAAGCATCATTGTCCCAGTCAGATTTACATTTCTGTAATATAGAACATTGTTTTTAAATTGTGACATTGTTTTAAATGATAGCAAACATGATAATACAAGACATATTACCAAAAAAAAAGAAGAAGTGTATTCACTGCACTTTATTAGCGCTCACTTACTCACACACACATGAATACCCACACTCTCAGTGAACAATCCCATAAGGCTATTGGTGCCTCAGGTCTTTGCAGTGCTGTAACAATCAATATAGCAAGTGGCACATGGTCCTTTGATATTTTTTTTCTTTTTACTTTTGTCTCTTGCAATCTCTTTGCTGTCATCTTTGTATTCTCTGTATTATTTGTATATAACTATCTGTCCCAACTGCTTTTTTTCTCTCTCTGTTTTTTTGTTCGTTTTCATATCTTTCTCCCTGTTCCTTGCTGGGTATTTACATTTTCCTCTGTCTATCACCGTTTTCCTTTTGTCTGCTGTGCTATCTTCTCCCATCTGACAGCCATGTGAACAGGGCCGCAAGCTGAGGAGGATCCACTGGGTTGCTAACGTGGGAAGAGCACTGAAGTTTCTGGAGGGCAGGAGGGTAAGGCAGTCCATTCCCAGAGTGCTTTGCTCAGGTGTACAGCTCCAGGTCATAACCACTCAGTCTGACCTACACAACCTCTTCCCCGTTCTGCTCTGATACTGACGAGAGACAAAGAAAAGGAAAACCCTGTTCTTCATTTCATGTTTAATTCTCATTCTAACCAAGAAATTGTTTCATTTAAATCACCAACAAATGAAGGATTTATGGATTAATTAGAACATGCTACATGGCTCAGAATAGATTTATAAGGTGATGTTGACACGTCAGACTGAAATCATTCAACTTATTGAGGTTTAGTCCTGGGTCAACTTGTAATAAATCTGTCTCTGGTGCCTTATATTTGGCGCTGACCTTCCCACATACAGTCTCTCTGTCTGTGGTTGCCAAAGCTGAACAAATTGACTTATTAATGTACAGTCAGCCAGGCATTTTCACAAAATAAATCCCTAAATTAGGACCCTGTTGTGAAAAGGGCATTATAACAGACAATACAACACAAAATACATACATACATACTGTACATACATATATATACATAAATAGCCTGAAATAAATGATCAGTTTCGTAAAAAAAAAAATGTAAGCAGCACAACTGTTTTCAACATTACTACTACTAATAATGTTTCTTGAGCACTAAATCAGCATATTATAATGATTTCTGAAGGATTACGTTACACTGAAAACTGCTGAATATTCAGCTTTGCCATCACTTAAATAAATGAATTACATTTTCAAATAGAACACAGTTATTTTAAATTGTAATAATACTTCACAATATTACTGTGTTTTCAAATGAATGCCTTGGTGAGCATAAGAGACCATAAGAGACCTCAGAAAGCATATACTGTATAGACAGAGGACAACACAAGAATTACACATTCTGACAATAGACTTTTTTTTTCTTTTTTCTTTGTGCCCATATTTATTTTTTCCTTTTCTATGTCACAATGACATTGTAATGTGTTTATTCATTTTTTGGTCAGACCACTAGTAAAAGTGTAAGTGGAATTCTATCCAGTCTCTTTCAATCAATGTCCCACATACCGTAATGAGTAAATTTGTACTTTTTAAATGGATATATGGCATAGATAAGCATATGGCATAGTTTACTTTAGGTAATACTAACAAAGTGCACTGTTATATTGACAACATGACTAAGCATTTTGACTATCTTGTTTGTGAACAATGGCACAAGTACTTTTCATTCTGATGGCACTGATATGTTCATTGACATAAATACTTACTTTTGAGAGATGAACTAAAGATTTTGTGTAAGTTACAGGCTTTTGCAGGTAATCCATTGTGTGGTGCTGTTTGTACGAATTGTTTTGAGAAATGCACATACATTTGTGCAAATATTAAGGATGATTTGAGAAATGCACCAAAGCGACTGAGAAAAATTGTAATGTAGCGGTGTTATAATAGATAAAAAGAAGAGGATTGCTGTCATTGTCTAATATTTTATAGTAAAACCATGGCGATTTGAAATGGGGCCCATTTCCCCCCCTTTTATATACAGGGTATTTTTTCATATCATCTCTCTTGGGAGAAGCACAGATATTTCATTTACTGTATAGCTGTGCTTCAGACTGTAATTATACAGCCTGTCAGAGAATGAAGCTGAGCTAAGCCTCCCACTCCTGAGGTGGTCTGTCTGTCTGAGTATCTGATCTCTCAAGAAGCTGAGGATTCATTTCGTAAGCTACAGTCTTTCACCATCTTATCTGCCTCTGTCATCCCTCTCTCATCTCTCTCTATTCCCTGTGGAGCACAGTGGGAGAAACCAGAGTACAGAACTGTTTTGTATTATGCTGAAGTGTACTTTTATGTGCAATATGGGACACAATATTTTAAAGTAATGGGCTTTTTTTTAAGTAAGTGGATGTTATGATTATGTATTTTTGCGTGGATTTTTCATTTTTTCGACTTATGTGTGGCTGGTTTTTAGTATTCGTGCCTTGGTGTGTTTATAACAATAGGTGCATGTGTGCAGTGCTTACCTTGTCTGACACTGAAGGGTTTTAGGTTATCTCAGAGCTGAGGTTTCTTATCACCTGTCCTTCAGTTGATGGGACACACTTTTGTTAACAGCATGCAATGACCTCTATTCTTCTTCCTCTGTCTTTCTCCCCTTTGTTTTATACCCATTTCAGTCGGCCTACAGAGGATCTCCGGTTAGTGTGACCTTTCTTTTGACTGACTATATGTCTATGATTGACATTATCACTTTCTGAAACAGGATCTCTCCAAATGTAACCTTGAATTAAGAATTGACTTGATAAAAGTGATAGCAAAATCAGCATCCAAAAAATAAAAAATTCTGTGCTTATTTACCCTCATTTAATTTCAAAATTGTATGATTTGCTGTTGTTCAAGGAATACAAATGGATTTTGAGCTGCTCTCTTCCATATTAGAATATTTTATATACAATGTTAGTGTGTATTAATATTTTGAATTAGCTTTTATTGTTATATTTACAGTTTTCATTTTAATTACAGTTTAATATTAATAATTTTGTTTGATTAGTTAGAAATATTTCTATTTAACTTTCATTTATATTTATTTCATTTTTATCTTTAGTACTTTAACGATAGCTTGCAATAAATTTTAGTCAGTATTCACTGAAAGTCTTGCTTGACAGCCATTCATCATTCACTTTCAATATGTGTAAACAAAAGAATTAAAGTCATGTGGTTTTGAAGTGGCAGGAGGGTGAGTAAATAATGACAGTTTTTCTTTCTTTCTTGCTTGCTTGCTTTCTTTTTTGCTTAACAGATTAAATTAGTTAACATCAACACAACAGATGTGGTAGACGGCAGACCCTCGATTGTGCTTGGGTTGATATGGACCATCATCTTATATTTCCAGGTAAAAAATATTCGAGTAATTTCCATAAATATTTCAACCATTCTTCAACAATAATGTCTTTAAGTTACTATAATTTAACAAAATAACAGAGTAGTTAATAACATTTTCGACACTTCCTCTGCATCTTCTTGTTCAGATAGAGGAGCTCACCAGCCATCTACCAGCCCTACAACCTCAATCTAGCAGCAATTCATCAGTGGAAAGCTCCAACAGCACTGAGACCAGCAGCCCACCTGTCAAACGCAAGCCCCGCCTTTCTTTTCAGGGTGGGGCCAAGAGAGCCCTTCTCAAATGGGTGCAGACCACAGCAACAAAGTAAGAACTGTGTTATGCTTGTGCAAGGCATTGAATGAATATATTGTTCTTTAATCCCGTTTCCCTAAGTAATGCATATGACAGCATTCTTCCTGGGTTTTGACATAATGTACATACGTACGTGTGTGTTTTCAGGAGACTGGGTCTGGATGTGAAGGACTTTGGTCCCAGCTGGCGCACAGGGGTGGCTTTTCATGCTGTCATCTTTGCTTTGCGACCCCATCTGGTTAACATGGAACGTGTTTGGAAGAGACCCAACAGGGATAACCTAGAAGAGGCCTTCTCTTTGGCTGAGAGAGAACTGGGCATCCCACGATTACTTGATCCTGAAGGTGATACCAGTCATACAGAAAAACCATTTTTGGTCCAAATCATGACTAGAGATTTGATGCAGAGTCTGTTTGTGATGTTAATTCACAAATATGCTGCTTTGTACATAGTAACAGACAGACACAGTTTGTTTTTTGACTATGTACTTTCAAATTGTGTTGCACAAGGCTCTAAGCGCCAAATGCTTAAATTCTAATTAGCAGCATGCCACTCACAGAGGATACGATTGATGAACGGGGAGGCGGGGAGGAGAACACGCGGTAGACGTTGGCAAGGTCATGGTATAATCATTTTGATGACCCAAAGGCATTGCCTCGTGGAGGATGCCAAAATGTATGACGAGCGCCGGAAGAGTAGGCTTAATTTCATTAGAATTAGCTGAACACTGCTCTCACTTTCTCGCTCTTGTTCCTAATTCATAATAGGGAGGGTAAATGTGTATAAAATGATTAGTATCTCCCCCGCAGAGCTGATTTCTTGCTCCCCCGTGGAGAGGTTTGGGGCAGATCCGTACAATGGAGGAGAGGAACTCTGCAAACAGCATGAGTGCAAAGTCTGAGTTGGATTTATAAATGTGGCATTAGTGATGCATGTTTGAACTGCGAAATTGTATTGAGTCGGGGGTTTAAAATGCATTAAATTACTTTAGGTAAGCAAATGATGAGTGTAGAGCTCCCCAAGGGCCTTAAATCTGCACAAATGTTTGCTTTTTGTCTTGTTTCTACAATCCTAACTAACTCGGCGCTCTTTTTTTCTCTCAGAGGGAGCAGCGTAAGACACTGAGGGAGCTGAAAGCGTGGGCAGATCAGTTGGAGAGAGACTGTACTCAAGCCCAGAGGGATGGAGGAAGTCTCGCTGTGCAGTACCAGGTGAGCTCAGGGTCACAATCAGAACCTATTGGCTGAAAACAATGTAGACAACATATGATATCAGTTGGATGCCCAATGCCTGGGTGGTCAAATGGCCATTATTCATACTGATATCCAAGACAACAGTGTGGCTGTTGGTTGAAATACTGATATACTGGGTAGGGTTCAGAAGACTAGACTGTTAGTAAAAATACTTCATGTTTTTATTTATGAAATTGAATACAACTGTTTTCACTTTAAATAATGTTATAAATAGCTGGAAGTTGACTAGCATGAATTTCAGATTTTCTTGCAAATGACTCTTTCTTGCAAAGAAGAATCAGACTCATTAAGTCAGCAAATTGTTCAGAGCGATTACTAAGTTCACAAATAGATCCCTCAATAAAAAGTGCTTTTGAATAAACATTTTATCAAGCTATGCTGTAATTTATTAACCAAAAAAAATGTGTGTAAAATGATTAGTATCTCCCCCGCAGAGAAAAAGTCTTAGATCTTTGAGTTCAGCTCATGAAAAATGGGGGCGAAAACAAAAGTGTTGCGTTTATAATTTTGTTCAGTGTATATATATATATATACGTGTTTTGTCTGATTTTTGAGGATGATGGAATTTCAATCAAGCTGTCCACAGGGCCATCATCAAAGTCACAATTCAAAGTTGGCATCCATATTCAAGTTTTCATCCATACATGTCTCTCCCACTCTTTTTTTTTTTTTACTTGTAACTTTTAACCAAAATGCCATCACTATATCTTCCGGTGAATCATCAGACTTCTCTTTAGTGAAGAACAGCCAATGGAAGTTCCAGTCTTACTTTTTTTTTCTTTGCGATAATCCATTTCTCTCTGATGTTACAATACTGAAAAAAGATTGTTGCTCCTTCATTTACATTGCGACTTTAAGTGACAACACTGCATGCCCATGTTGGCATCTGCCTTCTATCAACAGACAGTTGAATTAGTGGCCAAATGCTGTACAGTTTGATTTGACATCAACATCAAAAGTTATGGAAAGCTTTTGTCCTCCTTTTTAAAAGCTGATAAGCCTATTATTGTGCTATCCTATATACTGTATATTATATATATATATTTTTTCCTAATATAAAAAAAATATGTTAAATAATATAATTTTACAATATTACTGTTACTGTTTGAAAAAGATAAAAAAATGTAATTGACCCCAAACTTTTAACCAGTAGTATATGTTGTCAGGCATGATTTGAGATTTGAAATTTTCACAGTGGTCTCAGATTTTGGACACCGCTGTGTGTATAGTCATCATAATTCATATGACTCTGTGTAAGAAAAATGGAAAATGGAAAAAAAATATGGTAGATCCCAGACAAAACACTGGTTGCTTAAAACACAGAACACTCCCACATACGCATGCAGACAATGCTAATATACATTAGAGCTGAGAGCACTCACTGCTCTCATAATCATGGGCACTACACACCAGTGAGCGACGTCTGTTGCTTTCTGTAGCGCCCACGGACGTGTTCCATATTCAGAAGAACCAGAGCTCTAGCAAAGACCGCATGGGTAGAGAGAAAGTGGAGCCCATTATTGCATGAATACATGCATGTGCAATTTGGCTGTTTAAATTATTTTTCAGCTTTTGGCATGTCTCTCTTTCTCTCTTTCTCTTGCTTTGTCATTTTTTGGACAGGCTGTGTTATCTTGCTGTCTTTCTCCTATTAGCATTACATTGGACGTTATTTGAATATTCAGAATTTCAGTAATTCAATTTCCTGTAGTTCTCACTTTCTTTCACTCACTCGCTCTCTCTTTCTCTCAGACATTCAAGCGTTATCGTGTACAGTTTGAGGTGCAGAGAAGACAAGTGGAAACATGCATTCAGTCCACTCAGAAGGACGACAAGCTGACTGCAGATCAGGCTCTGGTCAAACAGGCCTGGGAGAGACTGTCTGCATGGGTCAGATACACCATAGATTTGTATTATTTTTATATGAAGCTAATTATAATAAATAACCCTAATCTTGGATTAGATCTAACCCTAATCCTAGTCCATTTACTTTATTTATGAATCACTTAATTTTTACCTTTGAGGACATTCAGATTTAGTCAAAATAAGTCCACAAAAAATCCACACAAGGTGTTATATTGTTTTTGAGACATCTTTTTTTTTTTGTGACAGTTTATGTGGTATTTTTCTTACTGCAGTTTTTGGAGTGGCATCTACAGCTGGATAGTGGTTTGCCTCATCCTTTGGGTGAAGTTGGAGTGTGGTTACATCAAGCAGAGAAGATCCTACGAGAGGAACTGGTCCCTCAGCAAGCCCATGACGAGACCGCCAAAGCCATTCACAAAAAGCGACTACACGACCAGGTAAATCAAGGAAATCTGTGTTTTTCTGTATGAACATGTATGGTGTATTGGAGAATGGATGAATGAGAATCTATTAATGAGTCTTAACAAAACTGCCAAAAACTTCACTTTCTTCCTTTAACATGAATTCTGAGTCTTACATTTATCTGTGTTTTATTGTGCAGGAGATCTTAAGGCTTCTTGAAAGACACAAGCAGACCTTGCAGTTAATACACAGAGACAGATGTGTTAATAATGTCCCCATTCCCATGGAACAACTGCAAGACATGGCAGAGAGGTAAACATCATAATATTCTATTTATAATAGAATTTAAAATTAAATTTGCAATGGCTATAAATAAAACTTTATTATATTATATTATATTTATTATATTATTAACCTGCTTTTATTTACCTGCCTTCAGATTAAACTACATATCTACCTCCTCCCATGTTCACTTGAGCAAACTGGAATTCTGGGAGACAAAATACTCTATGCTGGCATTTTTGACACTAGCTGAGTCCAAGCTCAAATCCTGGATAATTAAATATGGCCAATTGGAATCAATGGAGCTTTTGCTACAAAGCTATGGTGTAAGTTTTCAAGCCAGAGAGATTGCAAGAGACTGTTTAACTGTTTTTTTTTATTATTATAATTCTCACAGCTCCTCCATTGCCTAACCATGCAAACATGTTTTCATACATAATAATTTTTGAGTCAATTCCATCACATTAAGATACTTATTACTTTACTTTGTGCTTTGATTCCACAATTAAAATATCTGATCTTTACTTGTGTTCATTCTTTGCTTCTGTAGTCTTTTGTGGAGGGGCAGCAGTTCTTTGAGAAGTATGAATCCAGCCACCAGGCTCTTATAAACGCTGCTGAGCTCTACATTAAAGCAGACAGCTCAGGTATGCTTCATATACTGAACAATGATGTGCTTAATTATACAGTATGTGTGCATGTATGCCTATGGTTCTGCTAAATGGTAGCTTGGTAACAGCACTACAACTTTTAGCAATGATTTTGCAGTTTCATCCTGGTTTCACTGGTTCAAGTAATTACTTCTTTTTCCTCATCAAATTATATGAGAATCAGTAATTATGGAAAAATATGTTTTCCTGAATAACAGAAGGAGGTGCACGGGGAAGAAGGGGATTTTAAAAAAAAATAAAAAATTATCAGGGCTCATGAATTTTAGCGGTAGTGGCAGTCTTGTGTGAATCAAAAAATATATTTGTAATGTAGAAATCATGTCATGGCTGTGCAGATAAAGGCACAGTTTTTTTTTTTTTTTGAGAAAATGCTTAACATTTCACCATCTTAGTGTCCAGAGGGCAGAATGATAGCAGCTCACCAGCAAGTTTAATCCTTGCGGACTCAGTAGTCAATCAATCTCTCTGCCTGTAGCATCTTCCTGCTGTCTCTGTCTCTCTCTGTGTTTCATTCTTGCTCTTTTCCTTTTGGTTTTTCTTTCTCCTTCTACATTCATGCCCCTCTCCTCGGGCCACTGGTAAATGAGGTTTTCCCAGGCACAGAGCTCAAAAGGGAATTCCAGTCCATTAGTGCAGATACTGTATTCTAATTGGGTTTCTTTGGACAATAGACTGCCGACATGTTGCTTTGTTCGTGCCTAAGGCAATCTCAACGTAAAAAAAAAAATAAAAATTATCAGGGCTCATGAATTTTAGCGGTAGTGGCAGTCTTGTGTGAATCAAAAAATATATTTGTAATGTAGAAATCATGTCATGGCTGTGCAGATAAAGGCACCGTTTTTTTTTTTTTTGAGAAAATGCTTAACATTTCACCATCTTAGTGTCCAGAGGGCAGAATGATAGCAGCTCACCAGCAAGTTTAATCCTTGCGGACTCAGTAGTCAATCAATCTCTCTGCCTGTAGCATCTTCCTGCTGTCTCTGTCTCTCTCTGTGTTTCATTCTTGCTCTTTTCCTTTTGGTTTTTCTTTCTCCTTCTACATTCATGCCCCTCTCCTCGGGCCACTGGTAAATGAGGTTTTCCCAGGCACAGAGCTCAAAAGGGAATTCCAGTCCATTAGTGCAGATACTGTATTCTAATTGGGTTTCTTTGGACAATAGACTGCCGACATGTTGCTTTGTTCGTGCCTAAGGCAATCTCAACATAGAGGTGGTCTTTGTGTTATATATCTGAAGTGTGATTGGAAGATCACAAAATGCATCTCCTAGAAGCCAATCACATCTTATCGTTGTGATCTAGTGCAGTGGTTCTCAACTGGTGGGTCGCAACACAAAATTGGGTCAAGGGTCTGTCCTAAAAGCATCACAGTCAGGAGATGTAATGTCCTGTTGTTATAGAAATAAATAAAATAGAAATATTAGATAATGTTTTTAAATAATAATAATAAATAATAATTTATAATAAATAATATTATTTTGGATTTAAACTTTAAAAAAAATCTAGTGAATATTAGAAATGTTGCCTTTGCAATTAACTGAAATAACAATTTTAAGTTGAAGTACTAAAATGACTAAAAACTATAAACAGAAATGTAAAAAAAAAAAAAACGAAATAAAAAAACTTATAAAAATGACTTTTTTGCTAAAATGACTAAAATGAATGTAATCTCAAAATATAAAAAGAAAAGTTAAGTTAAAATATTAATAAATACTATAATAGCATTTACTGTAAAAATACAAAAATTACACAATGCTTATAAATAGCAATAATAATTACCTTTTGAAAGGGAAGGTTAAATGCTTGTTGTTGACATCAAGGACTGTATTTATTAGTGCTTTCATGAATCTGCTCTGCTTTTGTATGTGCATGTTTTGACATTGTAGTTGAGGGAGGGGTAAAGCTCTTCCTGCGAGAGGTGTCTGATCAGTGGAGGAGTCTGTCGGTGGAGGTGCGAAGCGTAAGGTCTATGCTGGAGGAGGTGCAGTGTAACTGGCTGCGGTACAACAGTTGCGTGACTTCATTTCAAGCCTGGCTGGAGGATGCTCAGGGGGCTCTTAGACAACCTGAGAACACCAAACGGGTGAGACATCCACATACTGTATATGAAAATTACTAGTAGGGCCGTGTTTATACATTCTCATTCTCTTTTGTTCTTCTAGGAGTTTTTTCGTAATCTTCCACACTGGATGGACCAGCACGCTGCTATGAATGATGCAGGAAACTTTCTGATTGAGACCTGTGATGAAACAGTGACACGTGACATAAAGCATCAGCTCCTGCTTCTCAATGGAAGATGGAGGGAGCTATTTCTGAAGGTCAAACAGGTAAACAAGCGTGCTCACATCTTAAAGACAAGAAACTGGGCAGTTTAAAGAGATGGTTCACCCAAAAAAGTAAATTCTTTCACTGAATCTTTATGCCTTTGTTTCTTTCTTTAATGTCAGAACTGCTATAAATAATTAATTTTGTGTTTCATGGAGGAAAGTAAGTCATATGGAGTTCATGTTTAAGTGAACCATTCCTTTTTCTCTCTTCACAGTATGCTCGTCTTCCTGAGACTCATAATGTGAGGATGCACCAGGATGTCAGCTTAGACATACAAGAGTTTCTGGACACTTTCATTACCAAACTTTCCTCGCCGCTTCAAGTGTCATTGTTGGATGTCAAAGCCTTTATGCAGGATGTTGAGGTAAAGAAGTTTCAACATTTACTGTATTTGGAATGTGTTGTTAAAGGGGACATCAGATGCCCATTTTCCACCAGTTGTTATGACTCTTTAGGGTCTTCATGAAAAGTCTGTAATATACTTTGGTTAAAATATCTCAATGGTAGTGTATAACAACACCCTTTACCTTGTCAAAAACAGCTCTATTCACAGTGACCCGTTTCGGTGCATGTCCCTTTAAATGCTAATGAGCTCTGCTCACCTCACCCCTCTCTTCCGTGGGGTGACGAGCAGTTCACTACAGCTGTAAACTTAAGCCGTTTTCGTCGTGGAACTTGCTAACTAGCACTTTATTAGGAATAAATTTGCTAAGATTTGCTAAGTTTCATTAAAAAAAACTAATATTCACTTCTTCTGGAGGTGAAGCTGGATCACGATTGTTTCACGTGAACATAAACGCATTTTGATAGATCGAGTGCGCATTAGCTTCAAAAACAAAAGTAATCCACTGCGTTTTCAGCGGCTCAGATGTCAGGAGTAAATGACGACTGCTATGTTCATTATTTCATCCAACAACAAAACACCTCAATCACTTAGGAGACATTCTTGTCTACACCTGCTCCAGCATCGAAACAATGGCGGATTGTTAACAGCTCACTCAGGGCGGGTCTGTGGTAAAACACCAGAGTCAATCATGGGAGGGGCCTGCCAAAAGTACGTCACACTGCCAAGAATCTGTGAACAGCTTGATCTGAGAAAGAGCTTATTATTTATGGGGATTTAAAAAAAAAAGCACTGGGTGGATTTTTATCATTATAGGGGGGATGTGTACACACACTGCCAACACACATATATGTTCAAGCACCATGTAAAAGTGAATTTTGCAGCTGATGTCCCCCTTTTTTTCTGTATGTGGCCACAGAAATGATAAATGCAAGACAATTTCACATGCATTATAGGACATCAAGCACAGGCTGCCTGGTGTGGAAGCACAATATAAGGCAGCTGCTCGCTCTGCACAGCTTCTGGCCAAAGACTCTGTTCATGGTAGCGGAACTAAAGCACTTTCTTCTATAACAACCGCAGAAGCACAGCTCCATCAGGTTTGCGCAATGTTTGCACAATATTATGTTATCATTTCCATCTGAAAAGTTCTAGTGTTGTTTTTATTTGGTGGAACACAGAATCAGACATTTAACAGGAGCGTTCACTCTAGTCTTTTCAGTACATTTAAAGTGATGCAATCACAGGCTTAATTTCTTTAAGAAAGAAGAAAAGCATCATTAAACAGAACTAAAACAAGAATAGCATGAACATTCTGCTAAATATCTGATTCTGTGTTCCACCAAATAAAAACAAAATCACATAAGTCTGCAACAGTATGAGGGTGAATAAATCACTGAATTGTCCAGTGATATGTCTGAGAATAAATGTTGTGTGATTGTTTGTTTGTATCCTCACAGCTGAAAGAAAAGTGTACTTTAATTCTGAGGGAGTGCCAGGCTCTATTTCCTCTGTTAGAGGAGTTAGAGAAACAAATCTCAGCTTTCTACCAGACAGCGGAACATGCTGGACACATCATCACACAGCAACACAACCAGGAAATGTGCCAGGTCAGTACAGACCACTGGGAGAAAAAGATTATTGGACCATGAGGAATACAGTGTGGTCAAGTAGTAATGATGTGACAAATAAGAAGTGCCTGTCTTCTGTAATCTGTGTGAACTAGAATTGAACTCTGTGTTTATTTCTGTTTTATTCATTTTTGGCAGGAGCTACAAACTCAGCAGCAGATCTGCAAGCGTTGTGTTTGCGCTATGGAGCGCAGTTACCTGTCCCTACAGAGGGCGCTGTGCTGTGCGAAATCTCTGCACAATTTTGACATGTCATTCCTGCAGAACAGAGTAACCGAGATTCAGACCACTGCACAGGTTGTACTACATTACAGATGTGCAATAAACTTTTCATACACTACATTACAAAGTAAATACAAGTAAATACATTTTTAATGTTACAGAATATATCAGTTTCAAATAAAGGCTGTTCTTTTCAACTTTCTATTAATCAAAGAATCATCTTTTCCACAGAAATAGTAAGCAACAAATCTGTTTTCAATGTTGATAAAATAAGAGAGCACCAAATCAGCATATTATAATGATTTCTCAAGGATCATGTGCTTTTGAAGTATAAATTATATAGATATATATATATATATATACAGGTGCATCTCAATAAATTAGAATGTCGTGGAAAAGTTCATTTATTTCAGTAATTCAACTCAAATTGTGAAACTCGTGTATTAAATAAATTCAATGCTCACAGACTGAAGTAGTTTAAGTCTTTGGTTCTTTTAATTATGATGATTTTAGCTCACATTTAACAAAAACCTTTCAAATGTTGTATCTCTGCCAAATATTGTCTTATAGCAAACCATACATCAATGGAAAGCTTATTTATTCAGCTTTGAGATGGTTTATAAATCTCAATTTGAAAAAATTGACCCTTATGACTGGTTTTGTGATCCAGGGTCACGTATACAGTATATGCAATCCAAGTCTTCTGAAGTCATACAAAATTTAAGTCATCATTCACTAAAAATTCTTACCTCTGTAGCCTCTCTAAGTGGAGATTCTCTAACTCTTGCTTGTGTTCTATTGAAAAAAATCTCTAGTTTGGATTTGTTTATCAACTACAGAGCTTATAGAGTAACTGTGTTCTACTCTGGTCAGGCTCTAATGCAGGAGGCTTTAGAATGGAGGCAGGTGGCAGAGACTAATGGCAACCTCATGCGGAGATATGAAGAGTCTCGTGCTGACCTGGAGAAGGCGCTGTGCGTGGGCCAGGCCTGTTTAAAGGAAAGGGGAGAACCAGATGAGCTGTTCCTCAAACATAATGTACGTCAATAATGTCTTACCCTTCAAACATATTTAACTTGTCTTGTTTCTCTAATTAAGTGTGTAATTATTTGCTCAGGAGTTCTTTGGGCGACTGGACCAGCACATTTTAAGTTCTTATTTAAAGGCGTGTGATGACCTCACTGATATCATCTCTGAGGAAGACCAACAGAGTCTGCGGGAGACAGTCAGACGACTGCACAAGCAATGGAAGGTCAGTTGAAAGGTTAAAAAGATGAAAATGAAGACAGTTTAACAGGAACTTCTCCTAAAGGATTAATCATGATGCATTTTCTTTCTACCAGGACATTCAAGCCGAGGCCCCATCCCATCTGCTCAGACTCCGGGTGGAAACAGAGAGGCGTTTGGTGATGGCCATGCTACAGGAGTGTCGGATAGAGCTGAAAAGGGAGGACAAGGCCCTGCTCACAGCCGGCAGTGAAAGAATGATCAAAGAGCACAGGGTGAGATACAACAGATGACGAAAAGATCTTGCAAGTTACATTTCATGAAAATTTCATATTAACATTTATTTATGTGTCTTAATAGGCCTTTTTCAGGCAGAAAAACCCTCTTTCTGCTTGTGAGAAGCGACTAAAGACAATGGAGCATCTCTGTCAGGATCTTCCAGAGAACGACATGGGCCATCAAATGCTGGAGGAGACCAGAGATCATCTTTCGGAGGTCAGGGGTTTAGTAGAACGAACACACTTGAAACTACAACAGCACCCAGATAAATGGAGAGAGTGGCATGCCAGGTGAGATGCAAACATTACATTTCACATTGGGACACATTACAGATGGAATTCTGTCCATATTGCTTGTTAATTGCAATTAAATGTAACATTTTATTAAATGCACTTTAGAGCTGAACTTTAGAGTGATTTTTGACCTACTTAAGCAAAGCTCTTTTTTAACATTTGTATCTGTAATTTCTCATGCAATTATAATTAATTATATTAAAGCATACTGCTGAATATAGCATTTATTATTAAAAAAAAATTATTTAATGTAATTTCTATTGAATGTTGTATGCAATGTATTTAAATTTTTATTTTTAATTACACATTTATAATGATGAACTTGCAATTTAGTATTTATATAATATACTTCTATCAAATATTTTAACTTCGAATATAATAACATAAAATAACACACTATATTTAAAATTATAATCAAGTACTTTAATTGTGCTTTAGTATACTATACTATTTAGTATACATACGTATGTTATTGACAAAAGTGTGTCAATAACAAATATGTATGACAAAATATTATTAAAACATAAGTATGTAAAATGTACTTTAAAGTAAAATTATTCATTTGACATTATTATAAAATGCACTTTTTTATAAGTGTACTTAAGTGTGTTAAGAAGCAGTCATTAAAGTATACTTTCTTTAATTAAGCTTAAGTAGCCTTTTATTTCTTCTGCAAGTACTTTTTATTAAAAGGGACAACATATGCTGGTGATCAGGCTGTTTGAAATTTTCAGGATTTTTTTTTTTTGTGCTGTGCTCCAGGTTCAGTGAGCTATCTGGATGGCTTATTTCCCAGCAGACGTCTCAGAGTGATGCTGAAATCTCCTCTGTCCAGGTAAGCTCACCCCAAATCTACATACTGTATATGTGAATGCAGACCACTGTCTGCTGTGTGACTTCAGCTGACCTCTCTCTTCCTCCCTCTGCAGATGCAGCGTTGGGCGGTAAAGGCTCAGGACGAGACTCTGGACTGGCTCAAAGCTCGTCTCGCTGTCCTGGAGGACATAAGTCCTGAGAGTGAGGTTCACACTCAGAGAGCTGCTCTTGATAAACTCTCACAACAGTTTTCTGCACTGCTACTGTCTCTGTCTGAGGTGAGGGTGGTTTTCATGTCTTCATTTTTGCTCATTGGCCATAAATGCCATGTTCACTTTGGAAAGGAAATGTTGTGCAAATGTTAATATATGGTTATTGGAATATAATTTTCCATTTTTGCACATCATCTACAGGAACTTTGTGTTGTACAGATATCTGTGGCATTACTGTTCATGACATTTTGCATGGTTAAGCTCTTTTACTGTTTTCTCAGGATGTTCCTGTTGCAGTGGCCAATGAAGGGACCATAAAGGCTGGAGAGGAGGTGAAGGAGGAGGTAAATGATGAGGAGGTGATCCAGACACAGGAACACAGAAGAATACTGAACGCAGAGAATGTAACAGAGGCCAAACAGCTGCTCCTCATTCACCAGGTAGAATTCATTTTGTTGACACGCATAATGCAATAGACATGATGAATCTGCTCTTCGATTTTATTTGCTAATCTGATAGCTGTGAATAAGTGACTCTTTGTCATGCATGATATTCCAAGGGGGAAAATCTCAGAATCATTTATTTAATTTTTGTCTTCCCCTTCCATTTTCCTTTCTCGCTCTTGCCTGTCTCACCCTTTCATGGTGTGTACATAGCAAAATATGAAAACCCAGCAAAAAAAAGAGCCAGATCTCCGTTCTCGAGGTAATTTCTGTAAAGAAGACTGGGCAGCTCAGGAGAAACACCTGCAGGTAACGCTTTCAATCAAACAATGATATTTACACATAGGCCATATTATAATTTGTTTTAATCCCATGGAAGTGTCTGTAAAAACTCTTCAGAAAGATTTCCATATTTTAGCTCATAGCATTTTAGCCACATAGGCAGGATCCTAACTGTTACATATATTTTATGTATATTTGTATATCAATTTAATTATTTAATTATGATTGATAAGATAATTTATTTCTGTTGATACTTCTGTGTACTTTATGTATTGTATAAAATATTCTAAACTAAACTATTAGAATCTTAACTAATGGCTAATGGTAGTTCTCATTTTATTTTTTCTAGTTATGCCAAGCTCTAAACAATTTTTAAGGTAGAAATTGTAATGAATGAATGAATAAATAAATAAATAATAATCTTTATACTTAATCCTTATCCAGTAAATCACAAACATCTGGAAAAGTCATGGGAACTTTGAATGTTGTTGTGGACAATGGGGGGTCCTTGCAATCAAAAAAGACCTTAAAAATTATCCGAGCTTGTTTCCAGCAGAGAGTCATTACTGTTTGGCTACCATTCGAGTACATATTTACTGTTTATGCATAAAGTGTAAGCCTGTAATGCAACAAAAAAAAACCTGCAAGAAATGTAATCACTCTGATTACTTTCAGTTGGTTTCACCTCTACAACAATTAGACGTGAAATGGTACAGTAATGTGTGATTCTCATTGGTCATTAGGTCACTGTGAGTGCATGGCAGGAGTTTGACCTGGAGAGAGAGGCCATCTGGCAGTTTGTGTGTCTTGTCAGTCCTGTCCTGCAGAGGGAGCTCATCTTCAGCAGCCTGGACAACCTCAAGATTGAAATGAAAAATGTTAAAGTGAGAGCACAGACAGAACATATAGAAGTTTGTTTAATGAACTTTGGGCTGAGAATAATACTCTTATCTGTGTGTTTGTTTAGGAGCTTCATGAGCAGGGTAACATGTTTGGTGTAAGAGCTGAGTCCCTGGTGAAGAAGGCAGCAGATATTAAACTTGGTTCTCAGAATCAGTCTTTACTACAGGATCAGGCCCAGTCCACAAAAGAGAGGCTGCAGGAGATACAGGCCAGCTTCAGGAAAATGTAAGACAGAATTAAGTCAAAATGTCTGTGTCTACTGTATATACATGTACTGTACAGTTCAAGAATATTTCATTTTCAATTATGTCAGATTGTGTTTGTCTGCTGCATTTTCAACAACCTCACTCAGAATTGTTATGTTTTGGGGCATATTTGCAATGTTATCTCATTCTGATCAAATCCTCTAGTGAATTGGCTGCTAAATAATGCAGACAAAGTGTACAAATGCTATCAAACGCTGTGTGCAAAACACTTTCATGACTATGTATAATAACTAACTTAAGTACACTTTTAATAAGTGCACGTTGTATCAATGTCAAATTAAAAGTATTACTTAAAGGGGTGGTTCACTGGGTTTTTTCTAGGCTTGATTGTGTTTATGGGGTGCAGTCTAACATGTGTTAATGCTTCGTTTTTTTAAAAAAACACATTATTTTTCACATAATTTACCTTTATTCCACACCTCTCTGTCCCTTCTCTGAGAAACGGGCTGATAATTTCCTTCTTTTATGAAGCCCCTCCCTCAGAAATAGGCGATGGGCTTTGATTGGTTAGCTAGCCCAGTGTGTTGTGATTGGCTAAACCGCCTCTAGCGCGCATCTAACCATCCCGTCCCTCACCTCAGCGGCATGTTGTATTGTAAACAACGGTGTCGTTAATATCACTTATCAGTTTGAGCCCGATTGAGAAGCAGAGGATATTATTGAACAGGATCGTGCAGAATTTGTGCAAGCACGGCTTTTAATGGTATGCCTATGTTTTTTGTTTGTTGTTGTCTCATACTTTTAGATACACTGTTATTTGTAAATGCTACTGCTTATGTTACAGCAACATTACACACTAACTAACATTAAAAAAGTGAAATCGCAATGAACCACCCCTTTAAATGTACCATCATTATGTTACTAAACATATTAAAGCACATGTACACTATTTAAATATATAAGTTAATTTGCATTTTTTTTAGATAATTTTTTTATTTTTATATTTTAGTACTACATTGCAGCTTTATTACAAATGTGTAATATATTTTAATATATTTAATTACATTCCATGACATAACATAGTTTTTAGTAGAAATTGCATTAAAGTATATTTCATATTGCCATTTATGGTATGTTTGTTAGTACATTTGGCAGTCCACTTTAACTCTGTACAATAGGAGTAATTATGAAATGACACATAAAACTGTATTTAAAAATTTAATGTCTATTTAAAAAAATAAAGATCTGTTTAAGTATGTCAAAAAACACTCTTAAGTCAACTAATTGCATTTAATATATATTTAAAATATAATAAATGTTAATTTAATTGTAAATAACATGTAATTAAGTGTCTGAAAACATTACATTCAGTTTGCTCTTAATTAAATTCTTCTAAAGTATATTATTTCTGCACTTGGTTATCTTTTTAAATGTATGCTGAAGTGTACTTCTTTTTCATAAGTGATATTTCTTTCCTGTTTGTCTCTGTTCCAATAGCTTGTCAGATCTGGAGATGATGCACAGATGGTGGCAAGGTTTCAGCCGTGAGTCTGAGGCTTTCTTCTCTTGGGTCTGTGATAGTAAGAAGGAGCTTGATGCTTTCAGCAGAACCTCTGCCAACCTGGATGAGCAGATACACACTGTGGAGGTAAACAGAGAAAATGGATGTTGTAAACCTGGATCAGAAGACTGTAACTTAATAAACATAACCAAATTAACCAGACAACATGATAGGTTTCATTTAGCGCTCAGTGAATGATGTATCCTCGTTGTTTTCGCTCATTCTTAGATGCTGAAGGAGGGCTTAGAGGAGAAGATGGACTTCTTTAGCCGATTGGAGGCAGAGTTTCATACCTTAATTCATTTCGTCACGCCGAATGAGGCAGGGCGAATTAAAGCACGTCTGATGCAGATTGGAAGATACCGGGAGGAGTTTAAGAACAGTGTGGAGCAAAGGGAAGCAGAGCTTCACTCTAGCTTGAAAAATACAAAACATTTTATCCAAGATCTCAATGAGGTGACGCTACATACAGTACATGGCTTTATCTACTCCTCTGAATTGATATATTATTTAAGCCATCCTAGGTGTGTATTACTCAATGTTTTCACGCACCTTAGGTGGAAGGTTTCCTGACTGGCCTACAGGAAAAACTGAACGTACCAGTTACCTCATGTACATCAGCATCAATGACATATAAAACTCTCCATGAACATATGGTTAGTATTACATGTGTTTGGGAACAGATGACTTAAAGACCTAAATAAAACAATCTCCATACCATATATACAGTAGTACAGCGGTGGCGAACTCCGGTCCTGGAGAGCCGCAGCCCTGCAGAGTTCAGCTCTAACCCTAATTAAAACTCACCTGCCTGTAGCTTCCTAATAACCGTTCAGACCTTGATTAGCTTGTTCAGGTGTGTTTGATTAGGGTTGAAGCAAAACTCTGCAGGGCTGCGGCTCGCCAGGACCGACGTTCGCCACCCCTGCAGTAGTATATTGACCAGGGGTGTCAAACTCAAATCTGGGGCCACTGGCCAAGAGCTTCAACAAATACCATTATTTATACAATCATCACAATCTAATTTTGATGTATTAGTCAAAAATTCTTTAAATGGAAAAAGACTAAAATATATACCAATCAGTACACATGTACAGTATGCTATTTGTGGATATTACATTTTATTTCAGTCAGATAAGTAAAATTAAGGATTAGCTGCGAAGTGTCTGTTTGTTGTCGTCTCCTAAGAAAGCTTCAGTTCATCTTTGTGTTTTATAATAAGCCATGTGGAAAAATATATTGACTGCTGTTTAATAATCCTTAAGAGACTATATAAGACTAAACCAAAATGCAGAAAGTTAAAATCAATTTGCAGACTGGCTTAAAGGATAAACTATTAACACTTGAAAGGCTGTATGTAATAATCTCAAAATTTGGCCTGTTGGCCGTAAGTATTAGACCCCTATTCAAGACCATATACAGTTAGGTTTCTCTTAACTGTTGTTTTTAAAAATATGTTTATTTAAAGGCCCCTGAATCTGCTTGAGTAACATTTTTGTGACACAAACTGCATTTCTTTCATTCTCAGGATGTAGTGCAGCATCTACAGCAGCTGGGGCCCAGGCTGATGTCTCTGAGTCTGGGCTGGAGGAGGCTGTCTGATGGCGGACGGCTGGAGAAAGCTGTAGCTGACCTTCAGCAAGCTCACAAATTACATACCCAGCAAGCCACTGAAAAACAATCCAAACTGGAAAACCTGTTGACTCTGTGGCAAAGGCATGTGTTTGAATGTATTTGTTACAAAGTGTGTGTTGATAGAGATCTTTCTTACACAAATTAAAACTGTAATGTAAAACGCAACGTTTTGACTCTTTGGTTTTTAGATATGAGAGAGATCTCTCACTTTTGCAGTCCTGGTTGAACAGGTGCGAATCTCTATGCAGTTCAGATTCTCCGTACCTGACCACAGACAATGTGAAGCTACACAGCCAGCTTCAGATGCTGCAGGTGAAGTCAGAGGGCATTTTAGAGATTTTTTTAACACTCTTGGTTCCTTTTTTAAAATCCTGTTGTGTGAAAATGTGGGACTCCGTGTCTTTAATGGCAAATAACCCATAATTTTTTTCCCGTATGATGTACCAGGACATGCAGTCAGAAGTTCCCTCTCAGGAGGCTTTGTTGGAAAGTTTGGAGACCCGTGCAGAGTCTCTGTACTCTTTGACCTCAGAGGAAAGGACCTCAGAGCTTAGAGATCTTCACTGTAACCTGGAGGAGAGGTGGTGTTCTCTCAGTACCAGTATACCACTCAGGTACTAACACCATCATTTTTGGGCTTTTTAGTCCTGTTTGCTGGTGTTCTCATAAAATATTCATGGGGCATATGCAAAATCTGTCTATAATGAGGATGTTTCACATTAGGACCTGCATCACATTAGCATTAGCGTGTAGTAAATTAAGGTTTAAAAATTTAAAATTACAAAAAAAAAAATCAAAAATTCTTTGTAAAATGCAGTATGTTTCTCACTGCATGTTCTACATGGTTTCATTCGCATATTCCTTTATTATGGATGGGTGGGAGCTGACCTTTAATTTTGTATTTTCAGGATTCAAGAACTTCAGTCCCATCTTTCTAAGTTGGAGCAGTTCAGTCAGATCTCGCTTGCTCTGACTCAGTGGAGTGAGAACTTCCTCAGGCACATCCAAAGCACTTGCAAAGTCAGCATCACTGATCTACAGTCTGCTGATTCCAAAACCAAGGTATATTATGTCTTTATAGTATATCATCCAATCATCATCCTTTCGTCTAAATTGAAAAATATATAAGTATCTGTTTTCTCCAACGGTTAAAAGGAGGACAAGGTGTCCCTTCAGACCCAGGGAAGGTCACTGGAGGCCTTACAGCCACATCTAGATGCCCTCAGCCCATCTTTAGCCGCAAAAGACCTGCAGCATCTCCAGACCAGGAAGGAAGACTGCCTTCAACTCTTCAGTGAAGCTCAGAATTTAGTAGAGCATCGGGATGAAGCTCTACTCAAACTAAAAGACTTCTGTGAGACCTACAGTAAAGCCAGAATCTCTCTACAGACATTCCAAGATGCTGTTGACGCAAGAGGGAGCTGGGATGAGTCCAAAGTCAGGAACATAAATCAGGAACTTGGGGATCTCGCCAAGGAGTTAGCTTGTCTGGAGGTGCAGGCCATTAGTCTGGATATCATCCTGAACAAAGCACATTTTCATTTACAGGGGGCAGAGGAGGAAAGAACATCCTGCAGAGGGCTGGTGGATGATGTTGCGTTGAGCGTGCAGGTGCTTCAGAGAAGCATTGGGACAAAGCAGAGTGAGGCAGAGGCACTAGCAACCATGTGGAGTTCCTTTAGGGGACGGAAGGAACTGCTGCTTGGGAGTCTGGCAAAGCTGGAGGACAGAGCCAATATACCATGGCCTACAGAAGCCAGCACGCATGCCTTTCAACAGAGGTACAGGCACTTATGTGTTTTCTCTGCCATTACTGTCTTTAGGGCCTTTTCACACCAGCTCTGATGTGGCTGGTATTTCGTATCTGGTATTGAAATCAATTTTGAGTATGATTACAATTGGACAGCGCTACTGTACAGAAATAGAGGTGTAAACAGGGTTCAAAATGTTTCAGAGATAATGAACGGTGCATCATGTCCACATCGCATTTGCCAGACAAATTTGTCAAAACAACAGCAAAAGACCTCGACTAAAATAAACACTTAAAATGTCAGTTTTATAAAATGTATAATATATATTTAATATAATTTCTATATATTAAATTTGAACTCTGGCGTTTTATGTGTTTTTTTAAAGTGTAATATAAATATATAAAATAAAATTTCATTTTATTAATTTTGTTGTGTGTCATTTTTAGTAGTTTTTTCATGTTTTCCCCCTTATATTCTTATATCTATATAAGTTTAGTTAATTTTTCAGTTTTAGTAATTTTAATACATAAAGTAAAACTAAATTAAAATGAGACTGAAAATGAGAGTTATTTTATTTCTAGTAATGAAAAAAAAACACCTATAATAACTCTGGTGTGTGTGTGTGTGTGTGTGTGTGTATGTATATATATATATATATATATATATATATATTTAGTTATAGTAATTTCCTAATTAATTTATATGTTTTAAAATAATATGTATATTTAAAAGCATTCATATACAATATAAAGTGTGGACTTCATATTGAGCCATTTAGTTGTTTACTGTGAGCAAATGTAATTTGAGTTTTGTAATTTTACTGTAACAATGGCAAAATTTGTGCTATGCTGTTTTAATGATTTTCTTTGTTTTTTTTCAGGTTGTGGTTGCTAAAGCAGTTGGAAGAGGAGCTCCAAGCCCTGCAGCACAGTCAGCTGTGGTTGGGAGAAAGAGGAGAACAACTGGCCCACAGAGACTCTGAGCTGGCAGGGGAAGCCCAGCGGGACGTAGCCTTGGTTCAGTCCACCTGGGAGAGGATTAGGGCAATTATTGTGGAGGAGTGAGTATTTTACTATCCAAGCCTTATACACCAAGTTCTCATTGAAACTTACTATGTTTGAATAGATGAATGGTTTGTTAAATTGAACTTGATATGGATGACTTATGGGAGGGAGAGGCTGGATTGGGCCAGTGCATTGATGGATGGGTGTTTTGACAGGTTGCGACTGTTGCCATGTTTAAATGTGATTTAAATGTGGTTTATTGTGTGCGTGTTGTTTGATGGATATGTGGGTGAATCTCTAAATAGATTATCCTTTGGATTAAAGAAACTGAAGAAAGGGGAGAGTGTTTTGAGCTATTGCCAAGACTGCAGTGCGTGTTTGCAAAGCTCTATTGATGTTTCCCTCACTTCGTGCCTAAAATCTGAGACTCGGCTGCTTGTGTTTGTGCCCGTACAGCCATGACCTTTGTGCAAACCTGCTGGAGCTCTGTAGGGAATATCAGACCCTGAGAACCAGAATCAGCTCGGTCGTAGAGAGAGCTCATGCCATCACAGTGGCCCACTTGGACCCACACAACCCAGAGGATATCCGCAGAGCTCTGTCTCGGGTTAGTGCCTCAGTGTGTGCCACCTATTAAACAACAGATTTAGATTATGATAACAAGCACACAGGTAATAAGGTTATCTCTGTTTACTCAGCTGGAAGCGGTGAGGCCAGAGTTGGCGGCCACTAAGGAGGACCTGAATAAGCTCATTGGTTCAGGCAAACACCTGACCGGCGTATTGAAGAAGATTCCAGAGGAAAGCGTTCAGAGGGAAAATGTCACAACGGAGATAGATGCCATTGTTGATCAGTGGCTGGATGTGAGTGCATTAAATGTCTTTCATTAGACATGCTTGGTTTAGTCCCCATCACTTTATGAAATAACTTGAGGCAGGGATGTATCAAATAATTTCCTGTCGTCAAACATGTAAATATGCTCATTTGAAAACTTGAATTGGTCATTAAGAATGATTGCTCCTGCAAATGACTGTGTAACAAGTTAATGAGAACATTGAGAATAGGCACTCAATGTGATATGGAAGCTAGTTAAAATCATTATGTATTATTATTTTCTATCAGTTTTGTTTTTGCTTAATTTCGATATTGTTAAGAAATAAAGATGTACATGATATTGACAATGTATTGGTTGTCATACAGATATTGTCTTTTTGATACTGGCCAGAATAGCAGTATCAATGCATCCTTTATTCTTGATCATTTATGTATTGTTTTTATGATACAAAAAAAAAAATTCAGATAAAATTAAAGTATTGATGAAAAGAAAGAAAGAGAGAGAAAGAGATTTGAAGCACTGAAATGTACAAACTTAGTCAAAAACATGATACAAAAAACAAATAAACAAAAAACATAACAGTTCAGATAAAAGGGTGGTATTAATGGAAATAAAGAAAAAGAAAGCACTTAAATCTACAAACATAGATACAGTAGTTGGTACACTAAGTACAAAGACAATTCTATACATATGTCGCTTGGATGGTGATGTACAGTAGAAGTATGCATCCCTTATTCGGCTGGTGAAATGAGTGTGTCTACTCTTACAACTGTGTTCTTCTTATTATTTACACCATATTATGTATATGATACACTTATGGTTCGTTATTGTGCAGATCTCTGAGAGGATGGATGCAGACATCAGTCTTTACACTCGCTCTCTTGGGCTGTGGAATGACATTAATAAAATGGCCAATGACATTGAGTGTTGGAGTGCCATCTCTGTCAGTGAGCTCAGTGAGGGAGCTGCCAGTCTTCTCTCTGCTCATGACATGGAAGAACACCTCTCTGAGTTCAAGGTGAGATCTATTTAGCCAATACAAATTTAACATAACATGACAAAATGCCAAAACATGTTAAAATAAGACCCAGGATTTCTGTGTTTGTACAGCTGGAGTTAGATAATAAGGAAGATGAACTGAAGACCTTGCAGGCAAAGATAACACAGCTACAGGAACTGATGAAAACCCAGCATGTACACACTGAACTGCAGGTAATCATCAGCAGTGGTTGTGACATTTGTTGTGACACGTGCTGTTTCATCATCTAGAATGTAAAGAGATTAAAAGCACTGCATTTCATGGCCACTGGTAAACCTAGCACGTGTTCTTGCTTTTTTGAGGTGATGGCTGCAGATCTGAGGAAGCAGATTTCCCATGCTGCAGAGGTGTATGAACAGACCAAAGGCATGTATAAAGACTTCAACTCCCAGAGGCAGCAGCTTCAAGACCTAATTTCCCAGATTTCAGAGCAGCTGAAGACCTCAGAGGACTCGCTATCAGAGTTTTCATCATCCTCTGACACAGAGAATTTTGTTAAGATCAAGGTTAGTGAATTGGCTGAATTTTATTTAAATACAGTAGGCTAAGCTAGACTGGTATACACAAATCATTGGGAATTTCATCATAATATTTGACTTGTATTATCCAGCCCACCAGTTAATTACAAGTGGGTGTCTTCAAGGCTCTTTATTACCATGTAACATTCAATTAAAAATGATGCATCCTTTCTTTTTCTCCCTGTTCTGTTAGGAGGTTGAGAGGTCACAGAAGCAGTTAGAGGTGAGTCTGGATGTAGCAAGTGAGTCTCTCAGAGCACTGTGTAGAACGTATCCAACTCAGCACCTGACCCTGTTGGGTGACGCTGTCTCCCACCTGGTCAAGAGGAATGAGGAAGTGACACAACGCCGCAGCCAGATCTTGGGGTCTCTTCAGGATGCTCTTCTGCAGCGCTTCAATGGTGAGTGTAACAGTGAATAATATTAAATGAATGAATAGTAAGGTAACACTTTAGTATAGGGACCAATTCTCATTTGCTTATTAGCATGCCTATTATTAACATATTGGCTGTTTATTAGTGCTTATAAAGCACATATTCTGCATGACCAAATGCTACATCCTTTATCATACCCAAAACCTAAACTTAACAATTAATTTACTAACTATTAATAAGCAGCAAATTAGGAGTTTATTGAAGCAAAAGTCATAGTTAATGGTTTGTTAATGGTGAGAATTGTACCTTAAAATAAAGTGTGACCAATAGTAAAATATGTAATAGTAATTAAATGATAAAGTGTACACTACCGAGGTTTGATTTTTTTTAAATGTTTTTGGAAGATGTGTCTAATACTCACCCAGGATGCATATATTTGATTAAAATACAATAAAACAGTATTGTATATTATAAACAGTAATATATGTGCAATATTATGGAATATAATTGCAATTTAAAACAACTATTTTGTATTTTAATGTATTTTAAAATGTAATTTACAGTATTCCTGTAATGCCAATGCTGAATTTTATTTACTCCAGTCTTCAGTGTAACACGATCCTTCAGAAATCATTCTAATATGCTAATTTGGTGCTCAACAAATACACCTATTTTTGTGAACCATTTTCCCCTAGTATTCTTTGATGAATTGAAAATTCAAAAGAACAATATTTACAGTATTTACTGTCACTTCTGATCAATTTAGTGTGTCTTTGCTGAAAAAAAAGTTAATTTATAAAAAGAAAATACTGACCCCAAATTTTTTTGAACAATAGTGTACTTGTCAGTTATAAGACTATATATGGGATTTTAAAGGCACTTACTATTAAAATGACTCATGAATAGTTTATAATAGATATTTTATTTATTTATGTTTGATTGAAATGATACGGCACAGCACTTCCTAAAAACATGACTGCCACACACCTGTGCCTCAGATGCTGCCTCTCCCACTGACATTAAGACTGACATTCCCCTGTGGAATTGGTTGAGGCTGGTTACTAAGACAACAGAGAGCTGTTCCATCCATACACACCTACACAGTCCATCTGTCCACATGCAGCAACAGCTCACATATACTTCTTCTTATGAACTGTCATTCTCTTTCTGTCTTTCCTTCTGCTAGAGAAAGCACATGCTTTTCAATGTTGGCTGTCTGAGTTGAGGGCTGGAATTGAGGACTGCTTTGAGCAAACAGGAGATGCTGTTGCAGCCAAGCAACAAAAGCTCAAGGTAGCGTCATACAGCAAATGACTCAGCCATGTAATAAAACATTGCACCAGAGTGTAGCAATAAGGCAACTACCAATCAGTAGTTAAACAATGATTTCAGACCTCCAACTAATAGGGGATTATTCCGGATTTGAAATTTGGGATTAGGAGCCATTTAACATTATTAATAACAATGGTTCATCCTGTCCCTCATGTAATAGGATTCATTTATCCCCCTCATTTTTAGACTGCAGTAGAGGAAGTCATGGAAGGTGAGGAGCGCTTGGCCCGTGTTTGTGAGGATGGAGAGAGACTCCTCTTGCACCTCAGCAAATGTGGCACTGGAAGCATACAGGAGCAACTGGACTCTTGTCAATATGCCTTGGATTCATTTAATATGGAATGCCAACAGCGCATACGGGCCCTGGAAGAAAGTGCCAACCTATTAAATGGGTAAGCTGTGCTCTCTGAGCCTACGATCTAAGCTCAGACATATTCATTATATCTTGATTATTTACTCAAGACAATTAACAGCATACCCAACAGGGTGGAGCCTAAGCGTATGGACAGTAAAAATGTGGCCACATTTACCGTTGATCAGTGAAATTTAGCAGAATTTTACAGGGATTTCTGTAGGAATTGTCACACTAAAGGATGTGTAGTTTCCCTATGCAAATTTTATGTCAGATTCAAGTTTGCTGAACCTTGACACAAAATTTTGCTGCTATGGCCAATAGCAAACCTCTTGTTTTGTCTGTGTCCTCTGTGTGGGTGGAGATTTGTAACTTGGCAATAGTGCAAAAAATACAAAATCCTTGTTTTGTAGTAGTTTTGTGTTTGCCAGTTTTATATAACATTACACTTCAATATAATAAAATTACTTGTTTGGAAGGCAGTTATTCGGGGTGTATTTTTTTATGTATATTTTGTCATCATTATTCCTGTATTTCACACAGAAGCAGTAAATGTGACTGCATCTTGAGAGCTAAAGTTAGGAATTGCTTATCAAATTCATAATTTGAAGTGTTTTCAGTTTTCTGTAATTAAATCAATCAGGGTGGAATGTTTTCTGAGTGAGACAAACCACAGAATTCATCAAATTATTTGCTATTCTTTGCTGTTTTCCCTAAGTGATGTAACTTCCTGGATGCTGATGTAATTTAGGACCTGGCTTTTGTTATTTAAAGTGTATTACAAAAGGAAACAGGATATAAAGTGTGATTGAGGTGATATATTTATATATATATATATATATTATAAAACAATAAATATATTATAAAAAAATATACCCAAGACAAAAATGTTCTGTTAAAATTTAAGTTAGATTAAACAAATTGAAAAGAAGAAACACCTGCAGTATTTATTAATAAATAATCAGTTTTTGAAGTTGGGGTGTATACCACCTGTGCAAATGGCATGAAATTGTAACATCTGCTCAAGTCAAAATAGTGAAATAATTTAAAATTCCCCCATGTTCACCTAATTATGAGATTGTGACAAAGAACTTATAATGATTTGCATCTTTTAAATATATTTTAGACCAGTGGTTCTTTTTAACTTCAAGGCCCCCACTTTGTCCAAGACAATAATGAAAGGCTCTACTATCTAAACTTATATGTACTGTACCTCTGGTACTTCTGTTGCGATCAAAATAAATAAACTCAAAATATGATGTCAGTTTAATTACATCTTTATATTTAGTGGGGGGTTTTTCAGCATTTTAATTTAAAAAAAAAGATTGATGTGCTGCTTTTGTATATGGTCATAACAAATTTGTATTTTTAAATGTTTTTTAATATAAAATTACAAGCCATATTTTTGTACCACTCCTTATCCCCTGACTTATTAGGCCCCCCTTGTTGAGAACCACTATTTTAGACAATATGTTAAGACATGATGGGGACTTGAAAATGTAATACATAGTAGGAATGATCCTATTACATAACATCATGATATTTACAGTTTACAATCGCGTTACCCCTTTCACAATATCAAAGCCTATAATGTGGTACAATGTGACAATGACCTATTTAACCATCCATGTACTATACTGTGAATGGAAATTAAATCAGATTCCATAGTATTTTAAAGTAAATCAAGTGTACTTGTTCTTATTAAGGTATGAAACGCGTGTGGTGGAGCTGAGCGACTGGCTGCAACAGCTGGAGGTGAGGCTGAAGACAGACGCTCCTCTGTGGGGTGAGAGTCAGTCTGCAGCCCCAGACTGCTCAGAAGAGCTGAGAAGAGTGGAGGAAATCCACAGAGAGCTGCTGATGAGGAGGTACATATGGACAGTCTGTTTGCATATGTGTGAGGAGAATGTTCCAGACATAAGTGATTATTTTTGTGTGCACGTGTATGTTCATATGCTTGTGTATCCATCACGAATAAATCTGAGCTGCCTTTATCTTTTATTTCACAGGGCATCTCTTGAGCATCTGTGTCAGTCCTCTCTCACCATAACAGAGAGAGGATCTAGATCAGAGAATGGTGTGGCAGCAGGGTTGCTCTCAAACCACGAGGTTTTGCTGCAGGAGGCCAGGAGTCGACTCCGCAGCCTGCAGGAGTACCAGGCATTTGAGGAAGCACTAAAGGCGCTGGAAACCTGGCTGAAGGATGTTGAGAGGAAGTTAGAGAAACTGGAGAACACGGAGGGGAATAAAAAGGAGGTGGAAGAGAAACTTGAGCGAGCACAGGTACATGCAGAAAAATTGTAGGAAACAACAACCTGAAAAATCCAGACATTTTGTGATCTAGGAACAGGGTTTTTTTAAGAAAAGACATCATTTTTGTATAAGGTCATGAAAATATAATTAGCATTTTATTGTTATTTTTTAAAGTAAAATAAACTGTATTTTTATACCACTCCTTATCCTATATGTTTTTGGCCATTTTTGTCCTGTCACCCATGAAATATAGTTTACATGTAACACTCAACTGACATTTCCCAAATACTGTTTAAGGGGAAGTACTATTTTTAGAATGGCTGGTCTGTATCTGTACAGTAGCTGTAACTTGTGTTTATTTCCACTCATCCAGGATATCCTGCTTATGAAGGGAGAGGGCGAGGTAAAGCTCAACATGGCGGCTGGGAAGTCAGAGCTGGTCATCAAGAGCAGTGGAGAAGTGGAACGAGGAGTGATTTGCTCTAAGCTTCAGGAAGTTGAAGACGCATGGGCGGCACTGCTTTTGAGGGCTATGAGCTGCCACAGGTAACCTGTTGGTAACTTGTTAAATGACCATCATTGCAGAAGTTTAGGTCAATTGATAGTTGCATTTAAATGAATATAATGGAAACATCAATAGTAATATAATTACCAGGACCATTAAGGTATTTTTGGTCAAGAGTGATAAGAGTGGGAGCATAGTGGTCTGTTTTTAAATTGGTAAGTGTGCTTGGCTTTTATTCAATTAAACTCATCATCACTATGGTAACCAAGTTGTTATCTGGCTCTATCAGTTTCAATTTACACCAAGGGTGTAATGATGGAGCTGTTTTTTCTAATTATCTGCTAAATAATTCAGTCATGGTTTGATAATGGGGTTCATGCTGCAGAATTGGAAAAGTGTCTGTCTGTCTATCTATCTATCTATCTATCTATCTATCTATCTCTATATATCTATCTATCTTGCTAAATATACTGAATAATATATACTGTAAAGATTGTAAGAATAAAAAATCTAAAAATATTTTTTAAAAGGTCACATATCTCACTTCCTCTTATCTGTCCTTTGTGTTTTAGTCGATTGGAATGGACCGTTAATCAGTGGGATTTGTTCGTGGAGTCTCGTGCACAGCTGCAGAGATGGCTGGAGGGAGTAGGGCTGGAGGTTAAAGGTCCTCTTGAGCCCCAGCTTGGACTCCGGGAGAAACGAAAGCAGTTGGAGAGACTGCGCTTGCTGTCATCAGATGTGGAGGACCACCAGGGAGCTCTGTGCTATCTGGAGGAGAGTGCGGCTGAACTTTACAAACGCACCGGTGACCCCGTCTTTAAGGAGGAAGAAATGCTTCTCCTCAGGGCACAGTTTGAGGATGTCAAAGCTGCAGCAGAGGTGATGTATTCTTTATGTTTAGAGGATAGTTGTAGTGTAATAGTTATCTAGAGCAGTGGTTCCCAACCACATTCCTGGAGGCCCCCAAACACTGCATGTTTTCCATGTCTCCTTAATCAAACACACCTGATTCAGATCATCAGCTCATTAGTAGAGACTCCAAGACCTGAAATGGGTGTGTCAGACAAAGGAGAGATACAAAATATGCAGTGTTGGGGGTCCTCCAGGAACGTGGTTGGGAACCACTGATCTAGAGTGTTTATATTAAAATTTAAATGAGTTAATTAATATTTTATCTTATTTAGGAGAGAGTCAGGTTGTCAGAGGACGTTGTTCTCGAACATAAGACGTACATGGAAACAATCAGGGAGCTCACTGATTGGTTGATGGTGGTAGGGGAAGAGCTTCAGCAATGCTCTGAACCATCCGGTGACTCTCCAACATTAAGTCGGAAGTTGACTGAAGTTCGGGTAAGATAATTAAATTAAAGATTTTTTTAAAAAATTGGTCAGTTTTATCCTAAATCTTTTTATCTTTATCTTTAAAACTGAAAAATGTAGTATAGCATGTCATATCACTGAACATGTTATTTTGTGTCAGACTCTCATTTGCATTATGTTTAATGAAGTCCACATCTGTATAAAATAAACATGCAATTTAAATACATTTCTTTCCATTTTCATAATTCCGCAAAGCTTTTACTTTTTTGTGAACAAGCTTGTTTTCTCTCTAAGGGTTTTTCAACAACCTCTGTGGAAAATGATAGAAAGAACCTGCAAATAGTTCTTTTACTCATTTACAAACATCATCTTTCACTGTGAATGGTGTGAAATGAAAAGAACAAATACATTCTTTGAAGCAGATGAGATGGTGTGAGACTGCACGTCAAATTATGTGAGACACTGATGATATGAATGCATAATTGCATTTCATCTGCACATATGATTATGTTAGTGTGAGTGCATAAATAGATAGAGAGATATCAGTTTTTATTAACCCCATGAGTGAAATTGTACTGCAACAGCTGCCAGTCAGCATACAACAGCTTTATGCACATACACTATATACAGTTTAAATGACCCAGTTAGCAGAAACTTCACTATGGTAACCAAGTTGTTATCTGGCTCTATCAGTTTCAATTTACACCAAGGGTGTAATGATGGAGCTGTTTTTTCTAATTATCTGCTAAATAATTCAGTCATGGTTTGATAATGGGGTTCATGCTGCAGAATTGGAAAAGTGTCTGTCTGTCTATCTATCTATCTATCTATCTATCTATCTATCTTGCTAAATATACTGAATAATATATACTGTAAAGATTGTAAGAATAAAAAATCTAAAAATATTTTTAAAAGGTCACATATCTCACTTCCTCTTATCTGTCCTTTGTGTTTTAGTCGATTGGAATGGACCGTTAATCAGTGGGATTTGTTCGTGGAGTCTCGTGCACAGCTGCAGAGATGGCTGGAGGGAGTAGGGCTGGAGGTTAAAGGTCCTCTTGAGCCCCAGCTTGGACTCAGGGAGAAACGAAAGCAGTTGGAGAGACTGCGCTTGCTGTCATCAGATGTGGAGGACCACCAGGGAGCTCTGTGCTATCTGGAGGAGAGTGCGGCTGAACTTTACAAACGCACCGGTGACCCCGTCTTTAAGGAGGAAGAAATGCTTCTCCTCAGGGCACAGTTTGAGGATGTCAAAGCTGCAGCAGAGGTGATGTATTCTTTATGTTTAGAGGATAGTTGTAGTGTAATAGTTATCTAGAGCAGTGGTTCCCAACCACATTCCTGGAGGCCCCCAAACACTGCATGTTTTCCATGTCTCCTTAATCAAACACACCTGATTCAGATCATCAGCTCATTAGTAGAGACTCCAAGACCTGAAATGGGTGTGTCAGACAAAGGAGAGATACAAAATATGCAGTGTTGGGGGTCCTCCAGGAACGTGGTTGGGAACCACTGATCTAGAGTGTTTATATTAAAATTTAAATGAGTTAATTAATATTTTATCTTATTTAGGAGAGAGTCAGGTTGTCAGAGGACGTTGTTCTCGAACATAAGACGTACATGGAAACAATCAGGGAGCTCACTGATTGGTTGATGGTGGTAGGGGAAGAGCTTCAGCAATGCTCTGAACCATCCGGTGACTCTCCAACATTAAGTCGGAAGTTGACTGAAGTTCGGGTAAGATAATTAAATTAAAGATTTTTTTAAAAAATTGGTCAGTTTTATCCTAAATCTTTTTATCTTTATCTTTAAAACTGAAAAATGTAGTATAGCATGTCATATCACTGAACATGTTATTTTGTGTCAGACTCTCATTTGCATTATGTTTAATGAAGTCCACATCTGTATAAAATAAACATGCAATTTAAATACATTTCTTTCCATTTTCATAATTCCGCAAAGCTTTTACTTTTTTGTGAACAAGCTTGTTTTCTCTCTAAGGGTTTTTCAACAACCTCTGTGGAAAATGATAGAAAGAACCTGCAAATAGTTCTTTTACTCATTTACAAACATCATCTTTCACTGTGAATGGTGTGAAATGAAAAGAACAAATACATTCTTTGAAGCAGATGAGATGGTGTGAGACTGCACGTCAAATTATGTGAGACACTGATGATATGAATGCATAATTGCATTTCATCTGCACATATGATTATGTTAGTGTGAGTGCATAAATAGATAGAGAGATATCAGTTTTTATTAACCCCATGAGTGAAATTGTACTGCAACAGCTGCCAGTCAGCATACAACAGCTTTATGCACATACACTATATACAGTTTAAATGACCCAGTTAGCAGAAACTTTTATGTAAAATGATATTCAGATGAACAGGAATGCAACAAGAAGTGCTGCAATACCAAATTCCCCGAAATAGTGAAATTAGTGAAAAGTACTGTACAGTTTACAAAGAAATACAGAATGTTAAATGAATCTACAAAAAAGCAATGCACATAACGCACATAACTGTGTGTATTAAAAGATTGAAATGGAGCATTTGTTTGTTAAACTGTGAGTGTATGTGTGTGGTCGAATGTTTGCACATTTATGTGAGTAGGGCAAAAGAACTGTGTGCTTCATTCCAAGGTCAGAGTTTCTGTACTACATGCTCTCACAGGACTACAAATCAATGAATGCAGATGCTTAGATTTGACTATTGTTATGGATCTGCAATATTTCTGTGCTGATTAGCTCATTATACCGTCTGCTTATCTCCATAACACTTTGTGTGCGTGTTTGATGAGAAATAAAATCTCCATAACACAGGGTGTGTGTTTGATGAGAAAGAAAATGAGAGAAAAGTACCAGAGGCACTGAGAGAGCAATAAGAGGCGTTAAGAAAGGGGGAGAAGGGGGGAAATTGGTGGGAAATTTCTATGCTCTTTGCACGTTTCTCCCTGGATAATCAATGCCAGTCAGGAAGAATGAGAGAGTGGTAGATGCGATAAAGGATAATAAGACTACACAGCAGCACTTTAAATAAATGATATTCAAATCAGTGCTTCCATCTCTTTACCTTTAAAGCTGTGGTTTATTTTTTAGGGATCATCACCTTAAAATGCCTGTTTATCACTGAACAATGAACATAAAGGTTTTTTAGAACAAGCATAAGCTGTTATGCCTGAAATAAATTTGTTATCTTTGCTTTCTAATTTTTTATAATCTTTCATAATATTTTTGTATGGTTGATGACTAAAATAAATAAAAATGCATATGAGATGCTGGACCACAAAACCAGTCATAAGTAGCACAGGTATATTTGTAGCAATAGATATGGGTCAAATTTATCGATTTTTCTTTTATGCCAAAAATCATTAGGATATTAAGTAAAGACCGTGTTCCATGAAGATATTTTGTAAATTTGCTACCGTAAATATATCAAAACATAATTTTTGATTAGTAATATACATGGCTAAGAACTTCATTTGGACAACTTTAAAGGTGATTTTCTCAATATTTAGATTTTTTTATATATATTATATTATATTGTCCTATCTTAACAAAATTTCAGATGATGTACTCAATTAAAAAAATAAAAAATTACCCTTATGGTTTTGTGGTCCAGGGTCACGTATATTTTGTTTTCCTATTGAACGTTTAAATGATTATTTTACACTTTAATCATCTTGATCTTTTTTTAATGACTTGTTTAATTAATATTACACTTTTATTCATTTTTGTTTTGTTTTTTGAAACTGCAGCTTTCTTACTCTGCGTTGCTGTTGTGTTTCATTTTAATTTCGTTTATTTAATTTGACTAACATTTAATTTAATTTATTAATAGCTATTTATGAAGAAAACATTTAATTGCTAATTATTTTTTTTTTTATTAAAAAATTAATTTTACATTGGATAATACTTACTCATTGCTGAATGAATGAATGAAATTCTAATTGCTTAGTCTAAGTAAACAAGTAGATATTCATGTAGAAAATGATGGTAATTGAGATGAATAAAAAAAGAGGGAGGTGGCAGAAAGGAGAGTTTATCCTCTGAAGCGTGAGGAACAGATCCGATGAGAGAGGTTTTAGCGCTTGAACAGTCAGTCAGTCTCACGCGGCGGCAGTACTTGGATAACAAGCAGCCACCGATGCCGCAGTTTCCGTAGCAACTTTACCCTCCCTCTCTCCCTCCCTCCTCCAGGAGCTGCTGGAGCGCGGCGCGTGCGAGGGGCGCGAGCGGCTGCGGCGCGTGCGGCTGAGCGCGGAGAGAGCCGGAAGGCACACGGCGGCGGCGGGCTGCGAGCTGATGGATGGAGAAGTGGCGGCGCTGGCGCGAGCGCTGCACCAGTGGGAGGGAGCTTCGCTACGTGCTCGCGACGCTCTCGAGACCGCCGTGGCCGCGGCGACAGGGGCCGAGCGGGAGCAGACACGGCTGACAGCGCTGTTGGAGGGAGAAATGGAGAAGCTGGAGGGCCAGCTGAAGGAGTGGAGCGAGGGACTGAGCAGTGCCGAGCGGAGGAATAGCGGAGCTGCGGCGGTGGAGGGATGGACGATCGCCAAGGTAATTGGGAGAGATGAAGAGGGAAGGGGGAGTGTATAAGGTAAATGCTATTTAATTACAGTGTATATTATGTAAGCTCTCACACGTACTGTTTGGAAAGTCACACAGTTTGGTGAAGAATTTGATCATTTTGTAACAACACACACTCATTTACAAGGTTATAGGCAAAAAATAGGCTAATATTTAGCCTATATAGTACAGAGCATCTCTTTTCTCCCTTTCCTCTCTTGTTTGTCTGTTTTCGTTATGTCTGGCTCTTTCTCATAAACTACAGTGGGTCCTAATATGTTTTCCTGCTGCTGGGGTTGTTTATACTTCCATCTGCATCTTGCTGCTCAGATAATTGAAAAAGGATTGCAGATTTTTCCTCCTTCTTTTCTTCTGTTTTTCCTCAAGTCCCTCAATGTTTCCTTCTTTTTTTGTACTTTCTCTCATCCCGTGTTTCCGGTGTCCGGACTTGTTTGTGTTACATGCTCGTTTGTGCGGATCAAGCTCCTCAACATCTGACAGCTGACTCCCACCGGGAGAGAGAAGAGGAGAGGAGGCGGGGAGGAAGGAGGGGAGAATGTGAAAGGGAGGGAGAGAGAAAGAGTGGGAACGCAAACGAGAGAACATGTCAAAGGCGAGGAAGAGTGAATGAGAGCCGCCAAAGAGTGTGAAAGAGAGGGAGAACCACGGCGTGCGAAGTGGAAGACAGGGAGGAGTGAGAGAAGGAAGAGGAGGAGAGAGATTGAGGGAGGAAGTGTTCTATAGGGGGAAGTCAGGGAAGCATTTCCCTCTTGTTTTTAAAGAGAGGGTCAGGGGGAGGGTGGAAGCACAGAGAGAGAGAGAGAGAGAGAGGCACCACTTTGGCTCTGTATAATCTCAGGCATGTTCCGAGAAGTGGGAAGGCTTCCTGGACTCGTTGAAGAACAGAAATGCTTTTGTAAGAAGCCCTGTCTTGGGCTTGAATAGAGCTGTGTGTTAATGCTCAAATGTGTGTGTGTGTGCACAACTGTGCATGAAGAAGCATCAAGACGATAAATGAGATTTTAAGTGTCAAGTGTGGCCTGTGCATTGACACTCACCCCTGCTTTGTGTGTTTGTGTGTGTTCGTCAGGGTGTTCTGGAGAGGCTTCAGACAGCTGAAGTTATGGAGGAGAAGCTGAAGGCGCAGCTCAATGAGCTGTGTGGGTTTTCCAGTGATCTGGGTCCGCAGTCGGACAGAGTCAGCGCTCTCATCAAGCTACACAACAGGTGAGTGTGCCGCTGACATGAACGCATATGCATGAGGTTGAAGGTTTTTGAAGTCAAATGGTCACCATCTGGTTTTGTTTAGCTGTCCATTCCTTGAAAGTTTGTTTAGCCTTTGTAGACAAGTCGAAGATGGATGGTTCTTACAGAGCTTCCCATAAATGTCTCCACTGCTTATGGCATGTGGCTGGTTTAATTGTTATAAGGTTTATCGACCTTAAAGATTTTGGATATTGTAAAGACTGTATGTTGATGAGCAGGGAACATATAAAATATAAAAAGCAAATAATTTATAATAATGTAAAGCTAAAAAAAAAATGTATTCAAATAAAAAAATGTGAAATACTATTTATTTATTCTAATATCTAATAACTGATATTATTTTATATGTATTTAATTTAATAATTTATAAAAAATAATATAGAGTTATTTTTAGTTTTGAAAATAAACTATGAAATGTAAAAAAAAAAATATTTGATGTATTATAGATTATATATACAGCGATTAATGCATATAATAAAGTAATTAAAAATAAATAAACTGAGGCCTAAATTTGATAAATGTACTAAAGACATTTATTCAACAGTTTTATTTGCAGGGTTTATTGACCTTAAAGATTTTGTAAAAACAATGTGTTTACCAGACAAAAGTACATTTAAAATAATAATATTAATAATAAAGCAAAAATAATGTATAAAACTATATAATTGAAAATAAATGCAAAAATAGTATTATAAGATAATAGAGAAATTAATAAAAAAGGAATAAATTAATACAAAAATATTGTTGTTTGTTTTGAAAATGTAAAAATGTTTTTTCTATGTATTTATTCATTCATATTTCTTTGTTTGTTTTGTATGTTAAATACACATGCTGTATTTAATTAACGGAATATATTTACACATACAGTATAAATTTAGTGCACTGAGGTGAATGAAAGGTTGTGATATATTGCACCTCATAGCGCTGTATCTAAAGTGAGTGTTTCAGCTGAGAGCACCTGTCATGACAGCAGGCTTTGCCTCGTTAACATGCTTTTCAGGTATAGCAGCAAAAAACATGCTTATCTTCCCTCCACTGCCCACTTCAACCTCATCCGAATTTGTGTATGTGAGTGTGTATCTGTGTGCAGACATGCTACTGTATTTTTGTGTGTGCAGGTTCTGCTGCGTTTTCACTTTCTGATACCCAAACTCTCCCTCTGAGAGAGCCTGTCATTGAAACAGATGTCTGCTTACCTTGCGCTATCAGCCCCCCTACACTCACCCATTTTAACCCCCATCCCCCCTTTTCACCCTTTCCTTTTCAAATACCGCTCTGTGCATCTTCCTCCCTAGCCTAAGCCTACGAGCCTCCCGGGAATGTCAGAATAAGGAGAAGCTGCTGGAACAACGCTTCCGTTCTTCTCTGCATGACTTCCGGCAGTGGATGGTCAATGCCAACATCTCTACTGCCAAATGCTTTGACTCCCCTCATAGCATCCAGGATGCCTCTATCGCTCTCCAGCGGATCCAGGTGAGAGAGTGGAATGGCTGTGGACAGTACTCTGTCCAGGAGGGCTCATCCTAACTGGGCAAATTTCAAGTTTCCTGGAACATAGCCATAGCCAGGCCACAGGCGGTTGTCTCTATTCCTGTCATGTAAAAGTAGCCAGATTTTGATAAAGTGATAGTCCTTCTCAGGTCCCATGGGCCAGTTTATGAGGCCACCATTCAGCCAAAGATGTGCCAGACTGGTCTATTTATGACTTCAATTAGCACGGTAGAAAACCCATGAGAGCGCAGGGAAAATGCACAGTAATGATGTATAGCTATGATGGAAGAGACATAGTTAGACCTGGACGGAAATCACCTGGGAGTTCTGAAGATTATCTAAAATATCTCAAATTTCATTTCTTAAATATTTTGGCTTTTTATTTCTATCTTCCCATAATAGTGTAATTGTCAGTGGTTCTTAAATGTTCGGTTGTGACCCAAAAATGGGTCACTGGTCTGTCCTGGTAAAAAATAATAGAAATAATAAAATGCAGTTTACCATATTAGCCTAAAAGGAAGGAGAAAACACTTTCTGTATCTTTTGTTGTGGACATCAAAATCTTCAGGGTCCATGTGCCTGATGGATTTTATTTTATTTTGTTTTGTTAACCTTCTGTTCACGTTACATCAGAAATACTGTATCATGTAAATAAGGAAAATGTTCTCTTTATATTTTTATGTTACTATTTTATTTTGTTTTATTACAATTCGTTTTGTTTGATTATAATTTATTACATTTTTTACTTCTTAAAATGTATTTATGTCAAATCATAAAACTTTATTTTGAGCAGCTTTCAGATTTATTTTATTTAATTTAAAAATATATATTTTTGGAATGTAGTGACATTAATTTTTAAAAAGAAAAAGAAAGGATAATACATTTACTGTCTGTCTCTTTTGTTATGGACACAGAAGACTATTTTGCTACAAATTCCTCTGTCACAGCTAGCTAGTCACATTAGGCAGATGCCAACATGCACACATGTCCTCACCAACCAAGACAAAATACAAGTTCACTTGCAATGAGGGTAAACGTTATTTGTTTTGACCACAGTCTGTGGTTAGTGTGGAACATTTTTAGTTGCTGAGATCATGAAACCATTCAAATTAAATTTTTACGCTAATTTTGGCAGTGTATTGGGTCACCACTTGCCGTCCCATTAAAAATATGGGTCTTGAAGCAAAACCAGTTCAACCTCTTTTTAGCATTTGTCTCCATACATAAATTCATTCCACAGAATACTGCACATATTTTCCCCACAATCAGCAGAGAAAAAAAAGCACAGATCAGCAAAGATTCTGTGTGGGCCTAGATGTAGCATAGGTAATGTACAACAATAAAAAGGGAGATATATGAAGAAAGAAGCGGAACAGGGTTACTGAGAATGAAAGATGGAAACAACGCTCCTCATTTTTTATTTACCATCAAATACATTTCAAATGTGGAACAATGTTTCCGCATGACTTACTGCCCTGAACCACCAACACAGCGGCAGACATGCTTTGGGTCATACATAATTGCATCTGTACCATTTGAGTGGAGAAAGACAGAATAAAGACGGGACGTGCACGCCTCACAGATGGTGGGAGATCCCTGCTGGGTGCCTGTCAATGTCTGGACGTGACTCATTGCACTTGCTGCCCTCTGCTCTGTGATAGTCTACTTGTGTCTGTGTGGCTGACGTCTTGCTCATTCTGCTCCACAGGAGTTCAAAAGTGACAAGGAGCAGGGCCAGACCAGACTGAACGCTGTCCTGACCTATGGAGAGCAGCTTAGTAGCGTGGTGCCAGCTGACAGAGTGGAGGCGACCAGGACCAAAGCAAATGCAACCAAAGATGACTGGAAGAGCCTGATGGACAGCTTACAGAGAAGAGAGACGGCCTTACAGGTAGAGCTGCGTAGAGATGAGTACATACGTTTCTGCGTATTTTATGTATATATGTATTTTAAATTTTTTTATTAGTAGAGTTAGCTGAGTAGAGTTGAGTGAATTTTTTAAAGACGTCTCTGCATATTACCATTTTATTTTTAATACCCTGCTCACTTTACATTTTTAATAAGTAAAAGTGTCTCTGCAAATTTTATTTTATTTGTAACACTTTAGTGTAGGGACCAGTTCTCACTATTAACTAGTTGTTTATTAGCATGCCTATTATTAACATATTGGCTGTTTATTAGTGCTTATAAAGCACATATTCTGCATGACCATATTCTACATCCCTAATCCTAGCCAATTTAACAACTACCTTACAAACTATTAATAAGCAACAATTTAGGAGTATATTGAGGCAAAAGTCAAAGTTAATGGTTTGTTAATTGTGAAAATTGGACCTTAAAATAAAGTGTGACCATTTTATGTTATTTTATTTCTAAATTAAAAACCGTATTCTGCTTAAGGAACATATGTAATGTCTATGAATATGTACTTTTAGGTCTTGCAGTCTCAGATGCAGGACTTTGAGGCAAGTGTGGAACCCCTTCAAGACTGGCTGAACAGGACTGAGATCAGTGTGCAGGAGAGCAGCGCTCGCCTCCATGACCTGCCTGCCAAAAGACTAGAGCTCTCCAAACTTCAGGTAAACCCAGATAGTCTTACTGACTTATTTATACTTATTCATAAGAGCTTTGATCTGCCAGAATGAAATCAAATCACTTCTATTAAGATTCTTGTCCTCGCTGACTGTACCTTGAAAATCAGTGTGATGTAATTCGTTGACAGAAGAACATTTGATTTATGATCAATAGATTATGCATTGAACATTTTTTAATTAAAAATATTTTTTTTCTTCTTTTCAAGTCGTTTGAACATAATCTAGCTGTTTAAATGTAATTAAATGATCAGATGAAATCAGCTAACTGTGGCAGTGGATTTTGCAGTACTTAAGCTCAATTAAACGAGTTGAACAGAAGTAGGATCTGCTGGAGATAATGAAATAAACCATGTCTGTCAGTGATGATTCCACTGAGTCAAGCTTTTTGACACAATTGAGGATTAAGCTGACATGCAATTAATTTCTCGCTCTCCAACTGCACTCAAAGAACAAAAACCCCAATGAACAATTTGACAATAATATGAATAGAGTTTGTAAAGATAAACATTTCTATTTTTGCCTTATCACAAGATCTTTCATCTCTATTTTTGTATTGCTTTTGTCGCCTGCTGGGCCCTTTTGTTTGCTCTGTTGGCAATTGTATTTCCAACAGTGTATCTGTACAGTGTGTGTGGAGGTCCTCCGAGTGATTATCCATCCCCTCCCATCTCCCCTTCCCCTGCTTGTACCCACTTTCCCTCTTAATCCCTTTATCCCCAGAGTGCACCCAACATGATAGACTCTATTATCATGAACTGTGTCTGCCTAACTGACAATTTCACAGTCTGCTCTTTTTCCATCTAGAGAAAAGAAGCAAAAAATTTGCTTTTGTGCCCTAATGTATTAAGTGTGTTTAGTAAAAGTTTCTTGTTGTTTGGAGAACGTGACTTGTCCATCTCAGTGGATGTGTTCAAAAGCTCATGTTGGCTTTTAGTGTGGTTTTTCATGGCATGAACATTCGTCTTTATTCTTCTGTGACCCCTGCTTGCCTCGTGACCCCTGATTGCACACCCTCAGATGCTGCTGGAGGAGATGCGCTCCAGAGAGTCTGAACTGGCAGAGCTGAGAGGGCGAGCACATGGCCTCTGGGAGGGTCAGGGTGCAGGGAAGAGTTTTGTGCATCGGGTCTGCCAGCTAGCTGCATGCTACTTGGCCTTGAGCAACCTGATTAAGGTAACCTCCTTTACCTGTCTGTTTACTTCATCAGTCCTGTGTTTGATCTTTCATTGTTACCACTGATTTTGATGGAAGATGAGCTCATTATTAATGGCCTGTTGAGATCTATTACGAGAGTTACTATATGCTTTACATTTTTCATTGTTTATTTAACTCTCAGTAAAAGGTTTAGTTTGAATCTGGGAGACCTTTTAAAGGTTTTCTATATAAAATGCTAATTGACAGTGGTAAGATTCTATTGATATGCTTTTATTTTGGAGAGTCTGTTGCATTTGTGCATTTATTTTCTCAGTAGTTCGGATCAATTAAATTTGTTTCTATTTTCTTGACTGATTGTCTACACCAGTGTTTCCCAACTTTTTTTTTAGTCGCGGCACCCTTTGGAAATTTTAACAAACTTGTGGCACCCTACAAAATTAATTTCGTCACAATATTTGAATTTCTAACTTCGATATGATACTTTGAAAAGTATCGATATTCGGTACAGCAGCCACACCATGTTACAACACAGTAGGGCTGTTACAGACAGAAACAATACTGTACTACATCGATGTTTCCTGTCGTCTCAATTTTTGAGTGGACTTTGCTGTTCCGATGAGCTTGAACGGTATACGAGTGGAGCGACTGAGCGGAGCGCACACGCATAGAGCGGGATTATACGCAGAGCGTCACACCACGTGAAAGTGAAACTAATTTTCGGTGAACTAATTTTCGGCAGCCGGAATTTCGGTGCATCTCTAATTATTGGCGACATCAGAAATGGATATTATATAATAGATGCTTTTTTTGAACATTTTAGCAATTTAAAAATATTAAAAAAAGATTTTTTACACGGCACCCCTGCTCTCGACAGACGGCACCCCGGTTGGGAAACACTGGTCTACACTATAATTAAAAATTTTGCAGTCAGTATGATTTTTTTTAATTATTTTTTTTTTTAGTAAGGGGGCATTAAATTGATCAAAAGTGATTGTAAAGTCATTAATGTTGCTAAAGAATTTCTCTTTTTAAATAAATGCGGTTCTTTTAAACTTTCATTTGATCATATAATCCTGAAGAAAAAGGTATCATGGTTTCCACAGAAATATTCTATACTAATTTACTTAGGGATGCATTGATATTACATTTCAGACTAATACCAATAATTCTTTCCATGTAATGACCAAATAACCAATAAATGTCTTATATTAAAGCTCTGTATTATTTTATTAATATATATTAAAATAAAACACAAAAACTACACTGCTACACTGCTACAAGTGAATTTTGGCATTGCAACATGATAATGTACAGTATGAAAAATTTATATTTATTTTGACATTTGCTAAATAACTTAATATTAACCAAAAATAATAAATGTTATTTAAAAAGTGAGCATTAGATCACTCCAAACAGAACTTCCCACCACTAGAAATATTTGGCATGCTAAATATCTGGAGCAGTAGGCGATTCACAATCACGCTGTGTGCAATGATTTCTGACTGAAAACTACATCGGCGATGATCTACAGCCAATGAGAGACCAAGATACAGGGCAGAGGGAAGTTCGGGGAGGAGTTATAGACCAGAATATCAGTATTTTAATAGATATATGAACAATTATATCATACAGAACCAAGCACAAACATTTGCTTGACCAGCCACAACAGCATAACAGTTACTGCAAAATTATAAATTATTTACCTCCAACTCTCTTTGCAGAACACCCAATCCCTGTTCCCTGCATCTCCCTCCTGCATAATCTGTTTTTATTTTTCTCCTTGTAGCTGGAAATCAGTTCACAGACAATTTGAGGCTATATATATATTTTTTAATAATTCCAGTCTCTCTCGAAAATTCCGATCTGACGCACGCGGGTTCTCGCGTTATTTCCTTATCACTTCTCGCGTGTGTTTTGTTGTGAAACGTAGTTTGCAGATCAGACAGAGCTGTCGGCGATTCTTCCTATTGTGAAGTCATGCAATGTGAAACCCCCTGTCATCGATCCATCGTTCAATGTGAACACAGCAGCAACTGAATGCTACCCCAGATAGTCACGCAGTGTGAAAACAACGGCGATCCGACGAGTTTGAAAATTGTGCAGCGTGAACTCCGCATTACTGACACCTGTGTAAAAAATAGATTTCATATAGATTTCAATAGTCTTTTACTCTAGTCTTGACTTCTATTGCCCCCCTTCTGCAGGAGAAAGTGTCAAGGGTAGAACGAGTTGTGGGGGAGCATCAACTTTTTTCACAGGGCCTTCAGGAACTTCAGAACTGGGTTTCAGAGTCCCAACAGGCCCTCAAGACCTGCAGATGCCCCACATCTGACAAGAGTGTGCTTATCACCAGAATGGGCCAGCTCGAGGTACATTGTCATTTATTATACACATTTTACTGTTTTACAGGTGTTGCTAAATCCTAAGGACAACCTTCAAGGGATTTGGCTCTCATAAATTAGTTTGTAGTTTAATTTGTACATGTTGAGTGTATAACAGGATTTCTGATTGATTACAGACTTTACTGGCCGCTTGTCAGGGGAGAGAAATCCAACTGAAGATGCTCATCACCAGAGGGGAGTCTGTCCAGAGGAACACCTCGGCTGAGGGTGTACCAGTGGTTCGCAAGCAGATCCAGGACCTCAAAGACTCCTGGGAATCACTCTTGTCAACATCCATTCAGTGCAAAAGGTCAGAAAAGCCTCGGTCTATCGCTCTGTGTTTATTTATCTCTTTTTCAGTGCTTTTGTCTGAGCATTTCCTCAGATACTTGTTCATCAAGTGTCTGTGTGGAAGTAGTAGATGTCTCGTTTATGTGTTGCATTTACAGCCAGCTGGAAGGTGCCTTGTCACACTGGACCAGTTACCAGGAAGATGTCAGTCAGTTTGAGTGCTGGATGGAGCGAGTAGAAGAGAGCCTCGGAAACTCCGACAAACACTACGCAGAAATGAGGGACAAGACAGCCAATCTAGGCCGTGCCAAAGTAATTAATACTTTTCATATGCATACTTGCGCAAGCATATATAATAAGATTTTAATATCATAATTTTATACTGGATTTGTTATTTAGATAACAGTTGTATATTCTTACAATTCTGTTAGAAATTGAAATCTCAAAGTATTAATTACTTTAATTGCTATGCTCTGTACAGCTCCTCTATGAGGAAGTTCTTAGCCACTCTAGCCCTTTAGAGACCATTGCGACCAAGGGTTCCAACATGACTGAACATACAGCCACCCAACAGGAGATCCAGAAACTCAGTGAGAGATATACAGCCATTAAAGATAAAGCCAAGGTAAGCCAAGGATGTCGAACTGTAGGCAGCAGACCAGTGCTTACATTTGTTTTGAGTGGTCAAGAAAAATTATTCAGCACAAACTAATATGATGAAACCAACCAGTGGTTATAGAGTGCAACAGTAGAGTCCTGCCGACGGGGAAATTTATTTTTAACAGTAACATAAATATTTCAAGACAGAACTACAGTGAGCTTTGAAGTTGCTGAGCAATGATGTTTTTATAGAAGCCATAAATCAGTATGATTTACACATCATTTAAAAAAATATATATACAAAATGTAATAACCAAATTTCCAGTGAAGAGCTACACCAAATATTACCCTGAAAAGATCATTCAGCAATCAGAGAAGTTTCTGTTACCATGGAAACAGAATTTGCGGCCAAAGAGCTAAGCAGTGACCTCCCAGGATTGCACATGAGCTATATATATCTATGGATCTAGTTGATACGTTGATTTGTGGCTCAAAACTCTTTATTAAAATGTTTTATCTCTATGGAGAAAAAGAATGGGGAAATTACTTCTGGAACCAAGCAGCTAAAAAAGTGTTATGCTCTGTTTTTACTCTGTTTCCACTTATTGTGAAATAAATTTGAAATAATATACTCTGCTGGTGTTTCAGGCTGCTGTCAATAAGGCAGAAGAATTGGTTCTGCTCCATCAAGAGTACCAGCGTGGGTTGCACATGTTTGAAGACTGGCTGGAGCAGGAGCAGAACAGTTTGGCCCTCCTCTCACCCCTGGATGAAGATGTAAATGCTCTGGAGAACACGTTAAAAGAACTGCAGGTTAATATAACGTGATTTTTTTTACGGCTTTAATATTATAGGAAAGAAATATTCTGCACTACCTAATCTTTACTTTTTACTCTTTCTGTCTAATAACATCTCCAGATGCTCCAGTCTCATTGCCCTAAGGGACATAACTTGCTCAGCTCAGTTCTTGCCAGTCGAGAAAGAGTCATTCCATGGGGTGCCCCTCAAATTGAGGATCGGGCTCTGGAAACAGCACAGATGGAATGGCAGGGGTACCAAGACCGACTCGGCGAGACCAAAGTCCAGGTAGAGCAGGCCCTCGCAAGGGTTCAGCAACTAGAATGTTTATTCCAAAGCTTAGACCAGTGGCTGGTTGACATAGAGCTCAAAGTTAAGGTGAGAAGCCACCGTCGCTCTGATGTCACTGCAAAGGAGGCCCAGCTTCAACACCTTAAGGTATGATGCATTATACTTCTGCCTGATGGTTTCAGATTTATAGTACTCTGGTTTCATGTAGATATGTGTTGACCTTTTCCCGTCATTCCCTTATTTCAGAGGTGGCAGATTGAGGCTGCTCAACGTCAGGCCGAGGTGGAAGGCCTTAGTACTCTTGCACAGCAAGTCGTTGAGGATGCTCATGTCAGTGGTCGGATCAGTACCAGGGTTACCCAGCTCACTGCCCGCTACCATGCCTTGCTTCTACAGATACAGGCAAGTCAGCCTTGTACATTTGCAATTTTGATGTACTTGATTATTTCAGGAAAGTATGCAGCATCATTCAGTAAGCTGCCTGTGTCCTTTTACTACTTTTTCACAAATAATGTGCATAAAGTAATCATTTTATAAATATAATCATTTTCCATCACTATTTTTATCTGTCGGTGTTTGAATTGTCCTGTTGATTATAGAGACACGTGACATTCATATTCATATTGCAGGTTCTTGGATTTTTCTTTTAATTCTGCTCTCGCAGTGTGAAAAATACAACAGACGCTATGGTTTTACAATCTGGGCACCTTATTTTCCATGGATTGAACAATATCCCACTAATTATTCCTCTGATTTGCTCAAATATAAAATAAATGAAAACTAAATAGTAATATACAGTAATAAATAAAAACCAAGCTAATAAAAATACAATCTAATAATAAAAATACATATAACAAAATGACTAAGACTTAAAATTAAAATTGAAAATAGCCAATTCAAAATATTACTAAATACTATAAAAATATATAAATAATAATGATAAAAAACACAGTTTCTAGTATTTTTCTTTGCATTGGTATTTTTAAATTATATTTTCACCCCTTTTCTTCCCTTATAATACATATTAGCCACCTGCAATATGTTTCTGAAGTACAGAAATGCAATAAACCTGTTTTATTTTTATCTGGAAAAATTATTACAGTTATTATTATTTATCATTATTATTAAAGTGTTGTCTGTTTTTAAATTTGCTCAATTAAAGTTCAATTAAATTTGAATTTCTACTTGATATTCTTTTTCTACAATGACGTATATTTTAATAGAACCTGGTGTCATTGACTCACCTCTCACTTTGCTGCCAAAGCACACCAATGAGTCTAATTTCTCAGCCATCTAAACATTGGAAGCTATCCAACCTGGTAAACCACCTCCTGTGACCCTCTGTGATGACAAAAAAAAAACTACACACTAGAAAAATCAATGTCTCGCCCACATTGAGACCTTAGCTTGTAATTAAACAATATAGGATTCAATCTTGCCCATCAATCAGTGCTGCTGCTTTTGCGGCAGCAGCAGAATTGTTTTTAACACTTGCTGTAACACCTCTCCTTCCTGCCTACTTCTCTCTAACATGCACACACACCCTGGCTGCGACAGAATAGAGCGTGTAATTATTCTGTGAGAAACAACAGGCCGCCACATGCACTGCAGTCAAGAGCTATTACGTCTCTGCAGATAGGTGTGCGCGCGGCACAGCGCAAAAGTGTTAATTGGTGCCACGTGCATGAGGGATCTGCATGTCAAGTGAAGAATGCGGCAAAATAGCTTAGCCTCAATCCCCCAGTGGTGAATGCTAGGGAGTGTGCGGCACTGGATCAATCAAAACACATCATGCTGATGAGACAGAATTCCGAGCGATCTTGACAATGAGCCTTTTGATTTATTCTTCCGTCATTCAGGATACACTCAAACAGCTCCAGAAAGAGATGCAGAACATCACAGAGGCTCAAAATGCTCTCAGGACCTTCTCTGATTGGTTGAGCACTGCGAGGAAGAATTTTAAAATCGTTACCGAAAGGACAGAGGCTCTCGATCGCATTACAATGGAAAAGAAGATGAAGAGGCTAGAGGTATGGCCTAGTGAAAACACTAATGTTACTGTACATAGCATGTCCATGTAAATTGTACATACAAAAGAGAAAAAAAATTGTATGTGTATATATATATATATATATATATATATATATATATATATATATATATATATATATGTGTGTGTGAGCTTCACACAGTATGGCTTACTTATCATGTTACCATGCGAGTCATAAAAAAAAGTAGAGCTCACTGGCCAGTGTGGATTTTCGTCCTTTGCACTTTGAATAAAATTGTTATTCTAGGGCCATTAAAGCACTTTATACACGTATACACTACCATTGAAAGGTTTAGGGTCAGTATGGGTTTTTATTTATTTATTTATTTTTAAATAAATTCTACTTCATCAAAGAATAGCGAAAGAATGTGTCACAGTTTCCACTAAAGTAGCACAACTTTTCAATATTGCTAATAATTAGAAAGGTTTGTTGAGCAGCAAAACAGCATATTGCAATTATGTGAGAATCATGTGACACTGAAGACTGGAGTAATGGCTGCTGAAAATTCAGCTTTGCATCACAGGAATAAATCATTTTAAACTATATTAAATTAGACAACAGTTGTATAGTATATGTATATATATATATATATATATATATATATATATATAGTGCTGTCAAACGATTAATCGCATCTAAAATAAAAGTTTTTGTTTACATAATGTATGTATATGTACTGTGTATATTTATTAAATATATATAAATACACACACATGCATGTATATATTTCAGAATTTATTTTATATATTAAATATATTTATTTATAATATAAATTATGAATATAAATATAGACATGTAAATACATTTTATTTATTATTACAAACATTTTCAAAATATATACTGTATGTGTGTGTATTTATATATACATAATAAATATACACAGAACACACACATATTATGCAAACAAAAACTTTTATTTTGGACGTTTGACAGCACTAATATATATATATATATATCTATGAAATCATGAAAATAATTAAGATTAAAAGAACAAAACATTTTACTTTTTCAAATAAACGCTTCTACAGGGTTTTATTTTTCCTTTTAGAGTTGAAGGATCTGATGGACAGATAAAACTGTCACCCCTTTTTATCCTGTGGCTTAACAGCTATTGATTTGGCCTGATAAAATTACACACACACACACCACAGACTAGGACTCTCAGTGGGCCTGGCACAGTTTTGCGTTCATATTTGAGAACGTAAGAGCCAGTGTGTCTCTGTGTGTGCACATGTACGAGTCTCTTTGTCTTCTTAAGGATATGATCAATATGTCTACTACACAAAGCAAAAGAAAGCTTTAGCGCGATTGCACCCTATGTGCACACGCGCACACAGCCACTTCACACACTCCCCCACTGTGATAGCAGAGATGAAGGAACGGTCTGTCTGTAGAACCTGCTGGCAGAGACTGTGTTATTGATGCAATGCCCTTGCAGCTTCAACATCACATAACACTCTCTTCCTTTACACACATACTGTATGCATATACTACTTATTTGGTGCATATAATCCTCATCAAGATCAATAGCGCTACACAGATGCTAATAGCAAAGTCATATAGAGGCTATCTGTGTTTTATGTACACCCACTCCATTAAACTGTAATGTTAACGGTATAAATGCATGTATTTGTGAATAATAAACAGCCAATTAAGTGTACATTTCTTATCGCCAGATAATATTTCTTTACCCAATTATCCTTGGATCCTTTAGAATTTTAGAAGAACAGCATTTATTAGAAAATTTAAAATCTTTTTAACAATGCAAAAGTATTCACTTTTTATCAGTTTAATGTGTCCTTGCTGAATAATCCATGCATGTATTTTTATCTGTATACATTGTTCTGTTGTTTCCAGGCTGTAGAGCAGACGTTGCTATCTCGTGATTCTGCTGTGAGCTTTGTGCTAGAGAAAGGAGAAACTCTGCTGACCCTCCTCCACTCCCCTTCCATCACAGACAACATGACCAGACTACAGGCGGACTACCAGGAGCTATGTGGCTCAGCAAGGGTGAGCTCACAAAGACTACAAAAACAATAATTTAAATGCAACATAACATAGAAAACATTTGCTGTTGTGAAATAGTTACATATGCTAATGTACATAATGCACATAAAGCTCACTGCTCAGTCCACCCAGCATGTTATAGACACTAAGCAGCAAAATGGGTAATTCAGAACATGCTGTGATATCAGAACATTAATGTATGACCTCCAACATTTACATATCAATGCTTGCTTTAGCAATTTGGAAGGGTAACAGTCATATACATATAGAATCATTTAAAACTAAATTGCAAATTATAAAGAGTGGGGAGAAACAAATAGCAATGAATGTGTAGATTATTACTCTTTTAAGCTTTTGAATATTAATTTGAAGGCTTTATTTGCTATTTCCTCCAAGATGGCATCCATTAACCCTGCAATCAGTTCCATGAATACTCACTTTCAAAAAATTCATCTCATGCTTGCAGCTGTCAGAAGCTCTTTATAGCATGAGAGTTTCCAGCTGTGTGTTTATATATGTGCTTCAGTGTGAGTGCTTGCAAATGTCTTGATCATTTCTGTAATTTAAATATATATTTCCTCAGACCCACATTCACAGATTGGAAGCTCAGGTGAAGAAACAGGAAGCATACCACAAAGATCTACAGGAAATTGAGCGTTGGCTGTTGCAGATGTCCAGCAGGATGGTGACTCCTGACCCGTCATCAGGCGGTGGTCTGGAAGCTGCCACTCAGCAGCTAGCCAGACATAAGGTGACAAATCACAAAGCTTCACAGAAGAGCAGAACCCTATAAATACCCAAACACACATCTGCATTTTGTTTACCCAATTAAATTTTTTTTATCATTACAGTTTCAGTTAATATTGGTATTCACAAAAATATAAAGCTATTACTAGGAGAACCTTTTGTTTAAATTTATGTTTGCACATATTGTCTAATCTCAGGCTATTATGGAAGAGATAGCGGGTTTTGAAGAGCGTTTGGCTACACTTAAGGAAAAGGGAGAGGAGCTGTTGTCCGGCTGCAGCGAGCGCCTCCAGGCTCGGCTTCGCCAGCAAATTCAGAACCACCAGCAGGGAGCAAGGGACAGCTACTCTGCCATCTGCAGCACTGCCCAGCGTGTGAGTTTACTTGCCAGCACACAAGCACAAGACCAGCATTGTGCCGATGTTTACTGTGCATATAGACCTACAACAGTATATAAAGACTCACAGTTAATATAGGCAGGAGTGTGGTTATGTGATTTTTAACGATGGTAACAATGGTGTATCCGTTATTGGCCTGTAAAAATATATGCAAACATCAACTAGCTGTTTAAAAGCAGCAAATGATGTCCTATCAACCACATGGGGGCGGAGGTCATGGACATTTAACAACTCATGACATTTTTAAAAATGCCTCTGGCTTTGTTAAAAATGACGAGAGGTTTAGTGCAGTTTTATTTATATTATATTATAATTGAATAAACAATTAATAATAAAAGTAATATTTTTTTATGTATTTATTTATTATCAGTTGTTTCCAGTAAATTCTCCTATATTGCAATTTTTAAATTTTAGTGCTCATTAATTGTATGATTTCCAGTCGGTGTGCTGGTGTCATTGTTTATTGTCCCTCTGCTCACATCAAAGCTTTGTTCCAGCAGCAAGCTCAAGCATGTGCCAACGTTCTGCCACTCTTCCAGAACCTCCTGATTATTTTAATCCACCCTTCTTGGCTTCCTAGTTGCACAGGTCCATTAAAGTGCTGACAAAATTCTCCTTTCAATGTATTTGTCTTTTATATCAGATTAAACAACACTTACTACACATTCAATAAATTGGGGACGTCTGGCAATGAAATGTACTTGACATTTTGACTTCTGCGTGCCAGTGTCATTACAAGGAGACCCATCAGGAGGCACTAAGAAATAATTTCTCCGTGAAAGCGTATCATTAAAGCCCAAGGCAATGAAAGTGAGCACATATACCCCCCTTTGCAAATCACCATTTCCCCCCTACTCCAGCGCTTGCAGTATCCTACCAAAAGCTGCCACCTGCTTTCCTCTAAGAACCCTAATCACACGCACCCCTAATATGGCAACTACTCTCTGCCATCTGACACATTGCCTGCTCAGTCACTCTCTGAGCAAACCACCCAGTCTATTAATACCTTGCCCTCTTCCCCGTGCCAATTTTATTTTGCCCATCATGTCCAGTTCCGTCAAAGCAAGCCGAGACATTGATAAAACCCCTCCCTTCTGGTTTGCTAGTTTATACCCCGTACCAACATCTTGTGCCAACCTTGCCAGAACAATGCCATCCGGTAAATCCCGCCACCTGGCAGTCTGGTCAATGAGTTCCTCAGTCTGCATGTGCTCTGCCAACTCCTGCCGTCTGCCAAAGCAAGCCTGTCGTTGCCTGCCCCCCGCGAGGGCTCGTGAATTAAGAATGTCAATCAGCGTCAGCTTTTCTGCTCACGGGAATAGGGATGCCAGAGCATTCAACACCTGGCTGTCAAATGGGCTTTGCTTTATGTTGACCCGATTTAGCATGGTTAACTGTATGCCCCACTCATGTCGTTTTCTGTTTTGCTCCTCAGATATGTCAGGGTCATGCTGTTCCTGTTTTATACAGTTAAGGATTACTTAAAATACCCCTTGAGGTGCATAATTTAAATGTTACAATTTGAATTGGCTCAGTTATGGCTTCTGTAAGTGGTATGGTTTCAATTTTAGCCAATTACTTTAGGCCACTTCATGCAGTGTGGTTATTTTAAGTCTTGAGGCAAAAATTCGTCTGTTTGTGCAGGTGTATCAGAGTCTAGATCGGGAACTGCAGAAGCATGTAAGTCTGCGGGATACGTTGCAACAGTGTCAGACATGGCTTTCAAATGTACAGGAGGAGATACAGCTTCCTGCACATGCACCACACGGCCTACAGGAGGCACTTGCACAGGTATACTTTTTTATGTTGCTTTGTGCATGTACACAAAAGTGGCACAATGAAGTTGGTATAAGAAAGTCAGACTCATCAATTCTTCTGGGGGGTCTCTGGGGGTCTCATATATCCCATCAGATGAAGCAGGAACGAACTCTACAGGAACAGGCTAGTACCTATTTGCAGCTGGTGTGCTCCACCTGTGATCTTTCGGATGATAAGGTACGAGAGACAGCTGCTGAGATACAGCAGGTCAGACTTCAGGTGAGTGATTAATAGAATCTTAAGAATACATTAAAATGTTCTAACTTCAAGTTTTAATCGCTTCTTCAACTACAGGCACTTTTATATGGAGCTCCTAAAGGGTGATAGGAGGAAAAATTGTTTTAGTGCTTTTGCATTCCCCAGAGAAACTTTGTGTTTTTCCTCCCATCTCATTTCAGTACCAGGGTTTGGTTTTTATTTAACATAATTTTTTTTCCTCGCATAAAACCTGTAAATATTTTTACAATGTCTTTTTTGCTACTTTTCAAAAGATGTTTGTGTAGCTTTTTATTGATTTAAGATTGTCCCATACCCAGACTTTCAAATTTTAAAACATGAAAATTCATCACAAAACCCATAGATTTGGTTGGAAAATATTTAGAGATGCTTTCCACCCAATGCAGATCGAGGAGAGAATGCTGGAATCTCAAGAACTAGCAGATAACTGGAGAGAGATCAAAGACTTGCGTTCCAACCTTGAGTGTCGTCTTCTTGAGGCTGAACAACTCCTCCAGAGCATGTTAAGGAGGCCAGCTGAGCTTGAACCAAAGGTTGCTCAGAACCAGCTGGACCAGGCTCAGGTAAGCGACAGCTTTGTGTCCAGATGACAGCCATTTGAAGACTGCTAAAATGATTACCCATTCGTATGAACCATGGGTTATATGAGATTTTTGAAAAACACTACAGCAAATTTTATATTACATTAATACCTTATGCACAAGTTTTGTACATTATCTGTACAGTATATCAGTTAATCAAATGCAATCTATTATGTATAGCTGAAAGCTCTGGTGAGCTTTGCTCTCTCTTACATTTCCTGGCAGGAAGCTTCATTCATTAATAAAGATTGCTCCCCAGATTACTCGTCTGGGTGTAATTATGGATGTGTGAATTGATTTGTCAGTGCCTGTAATAACAGCGTCCAGGCAGACCCTTTCATTGTGTGTGAAAAATAGCACATATTACCATCTCTGGATGTGCTGAGAATTGTCAACAATAGATTGAATGAAAACCCCAATTACCTCAAAGCTCACTCTCTGCCAGTGACAGAGGGTGTCATCCAGAGCTGTCCATTTGGCAGGATATCAAATAAAGACAGGCAGCATTTATTAATAACACCCCATATTTCATGCCACAAAGGACTTTATCCAGGAGATGCGAGCCAGGCAGGTTGATCTGACCCAGCTGAGAGAGAGCATCAATAGGCTAACGGCTGGTCAGGAGTCCCCTGAGCTTATGGAAGTTGGGCGGCTGCGCTGTGCTTGGCTGGATCTGGGCAGACAGGCTGCACAGCTGCTGGAACAGAAAGAGGAGGATCTACAGAGGAGTGGGGACTATCATGACTGCATTTGTATGGTGGAGGAGTTGTTTGACCAGCTGTCCAAGAAATGGGATCAATTGGCCAGGTATGCAACATTTCCTTTCAAATTTTGCACAACATATTTATGTTTGATAGTTGCCATACCTTGTTCTTCAGACATTATTGTCAGTCATTCTTCTCTTTGTTCACAAAAGCACTAAATCTTTTCTAGGGGAGATATTGAGAGCACAGCTGAGTGTCTGGATGCCTTAAAGAAGTTATCCACAGACCTGCAGGACCAGAGATGTGTGCTCGATGACCTGAGAAATAATAGGCATGGGATCCTGCCTCGTCTGAGCTTAGAAGACAGAGACCTGGTTAAGGAGCAGGTGGGTTACCTGGAGCAACGTTGGACCCAGGTGGAATCGCTTGTCCAGCAGAAAATACAAGATTCAGCGCAAACACTGGAAGAACTCAGTCAAATCGAGGACCATTTGCGGGAGGCTCAGGAGTGGGCTGAGTTGCAGCAGCCATCCCTGTCTGAGGTTCTCAAGACCAGCCCCCCTCCAGATTTGGCCCAAAGCTTTCTGTTTGATCACTTGAGCTTTTGTGCAGAATTGGAGGCCAAACAGAAGCTTCTGGCAGAGGCCTTGACAGATGCCAATAGTCTTTCCTCTCGCGTAGGTCTTAATGAAAGGAGGAAACTGCAGACTTTGGTCCAGGAAGCACAGGCAGAAGTAGAATCGCTTGGAACTAAGGCTGCTCAGTATCGTAAAAGCCTCAGCAAAGTATTTACAGAACGAACGCAGTTCCTACAAGCCCTCGACAGAGCAGCTGAATGGATCAGGAAGCAAGAGCAGAGGGCTCTTGCAGATGATCATGTCGCGCTCCTACCAAATGTACTGCACAAGCAGGTGTCAACTTGTAAGAATTTTACCAGCAGCCTAAGAGCATATCAGGTGGAGCTCACTTCTCTTTGGGTACAAGGACGAGACTTAGTGAAGGATGCCACCGACGAGGAGAAGAAGGAGACCCTTCAGAAGCTGGAGGAGTTGCAAGTTACCTTCGAGGCTTCCTTGCAGAAGAGCACGGAGCATCTGCAGCATCTGGAGAAAGCGCTAGTCATTCGAAAGTACTTTAAAGTGGACCTTGACAGGATCTGCGAGTGGCTAAAACAAGCTGAGGTAGCTACATTTCCAATTATTGACCTGAGCGGGAATGATGAGGAGCTTCAGAACCAGTTAACCGAATACCAACAGCTTCTTGATCATGCTTCAGAGTATGAAAACCTTTTGCTCATCGTCCAAAGGGCAGGACAGGAGATTCTTCCCACCTTAAATGAGGTCGACCACTGCTACCTAGATGAGAAACTTAATGGCCTTCCACAACAATATAATGACATGCTGTTGTTGATCAGAGAGAAACGTGACAGGATCCAGCAAGTGCTTTTGGAGCGCAGGGAGTTTGAGTCCCTCATCGATGCCACACGAAAAGATTTGAAGGAACTTCAGGAGAAGTGTGATGGTTTAGAGATGAAGTCAGCCAACCAAAGTGTAGAAGAGGGAGAAAGATTGCACAGCAGTTATGAAGATCTCATGAAAGCTCTTGCAAATCTCTTTCAGGGAATGAAAGATCTTAGGGTTAAAACTCAGGATTTCCTTATCATGGGTCAGCCATATGCTCCTGAAGTCATTGACCAGCTAGTTCATCTCCACGGCAGTCTTAACCAGCAGATCGAGTATAAGATGAAAGAATTAAGGAAAACATTAAAAATATTAAATGACCATCGAGCAGTTATTGAGAAAATGGACTATAGCATTACTAGATTAAAGAAACAGCTTGGCAAATTTGACTCCAAAGGAGATGAGGAGGCAGATGCCATGGAGAGATTATCTACTCTACACAACCTATCAAAATGTTTTGTAGAGGTTAGTTCCTATCCAGAGGGTCTCAAATCACAAAATGATGACCTCAACCAGCACTTTGACTCAAAGACCCTCAAGACTCAGGTTATCTTCAGGGAGGAACAACTTCTTACTTTAAAGCAAAAGATTAATGCACACATAGAAGAATGTGAGAGAGGTTTTAGGGGAAATAAGGATTTTCAAACTGATATTAAAGTATCAATAGACTGGCTCAAGAGTCTTAGGGATCGATTAAGATATCCATTAATGTTTGAAGAAGCAAAAATTGAAATTGTGCAGGAGGAGGTCAGGTCACTGTCAGCACTTCAAAAACAAATGAAATCTAGGTTTAGATTATTAGAATATATGACTAATGAAGAGAAACAGAAGTATATAAACGACCAAAAGCCATTTCCAAAACTCTTTGAAACCACTTTAATGGATATTCCAAAGCTGAAGGATGATCTTCAACAAGCTGTCAACACCAAACAGGTAAGATATTATGAATTCCTGAGAGTCTGCCTATGTTTTCTGACTGAATAATGAAATACTGAAATTGGGATTAATGTTTCTTTAAACTGTAATGTGTATCCTCAGGTGGCCTTGCAGACTTTTCTGTCTCTGCTCCAGAGATACCACCATTCTTTGCAATCCATCCAGCAGTGGTTTGAGGACGCTGGTGCTCTACTTGAGCATGCTCCGCAAGAGGAAGACCTGGAGAAAATTTCAGACTGCCTCAAGGACTTAAAAAATATAACAAGCCAGGAACAAACTGTCAAGTGTACGATGCAAGAAATGCAAGGTCTAGTACCTCAAATGGGTGACTTTTTCAGCCCTACTGTAATGAGGCAAATCCAGCAACATTGTGAGGAATCTTATCACAAGGGAACAGAGGTCATTGAGCAGCTAAAACAACGTCAAGACAACTTGCAACGGTAATGCTAATGAGGTTTTGACATTTAAATAGATTTAAATAAGGTGCACAAGACCCAAACTTGTATCTGCCTTATTCATGTTAACAATATGATTTACAGACATTGTTATCTATATTCTCTTTACAACTGTTGCACACACTTGCTTTATTTTTCTGTTAGAAGCATAATTCAGTGGAGATCCTTTCAAGATGAAACAGATGAAGTTATCAGGCAGATGAATGAAGTTGAGAAAAGGATGATGGAGTTCACAACAGCCAGAGCAAACTCTGAACAAGAAGCTGAAGACAAGCTTTGTTTATACCAGGTCTACGACTAAGCATTTCTTTCCTTCGAATTCCTAATACATTGATATATTGCAGCTTTTCTAAATATTTCCTATTGGTTCCATTTTTTCTACAGAATATTGAGTCACAAGTTCTGGGTCTTGAAGATGCCCTGAATGGCCTGAAAGAAAAAGCAGCACAGTTTGATCAGCCTGCCATAAAATATGCTACTTCTCGGTCAGTCTGTTCACTGCGCCATCGGTGGACTCGGTTGCTCAGCATTGCTCGAGCTCAGGTGAAAGCCCTCCAGGACTCTGCACGTAACTGGAGATGCACCAGGGAGAAGGTAGGGAAACTTACCAGCGACAGATATCTGTCTCATTTCACTAAAATACTCTTATATTGTTCTCTGTTTCAGAGAATGTAATCAAACAAATACAATAGTTCAAATCAATACTTGATTGATAAGCAGATAAAATGCCATAAAATTATTGTTAGATGCCCGAATAGCTTTTTTTTTTTTTGTGAATAAACAGACCAAAAATTATTTTTGAAAAACAATAAAAGCAGTTATTCTGTAAGCAGTGAGAACCTGGAGTAGAGCTAAATAAATCTTGGCTGTGGTTCTGAGTTCAGACAAGAGCATCAGTTGCCGGCAATGGCCTGAGAATGATGTAATGCTTGGCAATGACAGTCCATACAAAAATAACCCAACATGGAAGTTGCAAACTCACCACTTCTCCCATAAATCTCTGCTGCGATCACAGGACATGATATAATTGATGGAGGAATATGCTGTGTAACACACTATATGTACTTCTTTATATATATACGATTATAGAACATGAATACTTTAATATACAAAAGATTATTGAAGAGAAATTCATATCAGTAGCATGTTAGCAGTAACTGTTTCTTGTTTATTTTTGGCAGTGCACACTAATTCTGTGTAGTTTCTTTGTGACCTAAGCCTGTTTCATTGTTCAGCTGAGGATATGACATCACTTAGTAAGAATGAGTCAGTTGCTTGCAAAGCTGTATGTAGCACAGAGAGAGGAGTGTTTTGCTTTTTTCATCAGTTTCATCATTAATTAATTATTAAGAGTTCCTTGATGTCCTGATAGCTGCTATGTGACCACAGATACTGATGTCCAAACCAGTATTCATTCATTCATTTCATTCAGTGAATGGAAAAATTAGGAGTAAATTACACTGCATTAATTCTTAATGACTCACTTTTGATTGAATTTAAAACTCGACATGAATCTGAATGAACGTTCAAAACTTGTAACATCACTGACATGGCAACCGAACATTTAAATATAGATAAAAAGAACAACAAAAACATTTTATTTATTTGTTTTTTATTGTTTTTTTTAACAATAAAATAAATGTTATAGCATGACAATATTATAGCACATATTAACAGCAGTAGAATCTGTTGGAGTAACCCATTCCACATCTCTCTGATTAGCTGGAGAAAATGCGGGCTGTCTGTGAGGACCTGCACAGTCGTGTTCCTGACAACATGGTGGAAAAAGCCTCTAGTATGGCAGCCCTACAGAGCCTTCTGGAGTACCACTATTCCTTCAGTCGAGAAGTGGAGAGAGAGAGCAGCGCCCTGACCCTCCTCAGACACCATGTGCTCAACCTGTTCCTCCATTCTCATGCATCTGCATCCACCACAGACAGTAAACACAACCAAGACAATCCATGTCTGCTGGAAATTCAGAGCATTCAGGAGAAATATGACAAGTATGAATATCTGTCGATCTGTCTGTCTCTGTTCTGTTCTGTTCTGTCTGGCATTCTGTCTGTCCTACTGCTCAAGAGCAGGTAATAAATCCACTAAATGTTGTTATAAAATTATAGAGACAACTTTTTCAGAAAAATGCAGATGTTGAAGAAAAGTTAACCAAACCAAATATCATGAAACCATTTCCAGTAATTTTTTGAAACATTTGCAACCCTACTTTTCTAATTTTTGTCATTTGCTTTTACATCTTCAATCATTTGCATAATATGTATTTTTTGTGTCCCTTTTCTCCCTCAGTCTGTTGCAGCAGGTGTGTGCTAGCAGACAGCAGGTGCAGGTGGAGCTGCGGGAGAGAGAGGAAGTGGTGAGGGAGTTGGGCCTGCTGAAAGGCTGGATTCAGGACACCCAGGGGCTGCTGCTGAGCCCCACAGCAGACCTGGATAACCTGCTTACTGACCTGGAGGTACTGCAAAGCACCTTATACAGTGGAGGAGATCCAGATAATACTCGCATTCTAACATCCTACAACCCAGTTTACTTTGCTTTGTGGTTTCTGCTAGACGGCTCATGGAGGCATGCGGTCTCACCGCCAGAACCTTGAGCAGATTGCAGATCGTCAGCAGATGAAATACCAGGACCTCAATGCCACCCTTCCTTCAGAGATCAGCACCCAGCTGGCAGAGGTTACACTGGCTCTGGGTTCTGCAGAAGATCAGGTACCTTCATTCATACTAGGAATGTTAAGAATGCAGGTACCAAGTGAATTATGGTGAAACCGTGAGGGATTAATGTAAACATGTAAAAATTTGATTTGTGTCAAAATGTAAGATCTGTGCAGTAGGCATTGCAATGCAGCCAAACAGACCAGCCTAATTTGGTTTAACAGAAAAACAGTAACTGATATTGATTTTGACAGCTGAAAATTTATTTAATGTCTCTTTATAACTTCCCTATTAATTTCTCCTTTGCTCAGGTGCAGGCACGGGAAAGAGAGGTCCAACATAGCAGAGATATTAAAGAAGACTTTAACTCCAGACTTCAGGATATCTCAAAGAAAGTCAAACTCGTCTCTTTGAAACTCAAGCAGAAGGCTGTGGATGTTGAGGAGGCTAAAGAGGAGACAGAGGTATGAATGCAGCACAGTCTTTGGAAGCTGTGGTACAGACTCTGCCCTGATTACTGAAGTGCAAATTGTCAATGATGACAGAAGTGTGCTTCAGAATGACTTCTGCGCAGCCTAATTTCTAAATATATCACGATGAGTGGAATTCATAACAAGGCAGTGTTATTTTAGTGTTCTGATATTATTATTAATATTATTAATATTTTAAATTAGTTTTTAATTTAGAAAATTATAAATTAGTTTTTTTATTAAATATATATATTTAACTTATTTATTTAAATTATTTTCCAAGGCAAATTTCATCTAATATTTAAATTGCATTTTATTTCAGCTTATTTCAATTGCCTTTAAACATATTTTTCTCTGCCATTTTTTTTCTATTTTTCTTTCTCTATTAATCCAGAGTCTATTTGAGGAGCTAATGGAGTGTGGTCGTGCTATGTCTGAGCTAGATGTGGTGGTGCAGGAGTTTGGTGAGCAAAATCCTCTCCTAGCCAAACAGCTGGGCTCCAGCCTGAGTAAACTGACTGAGCTTCATGTTCAGACCCTCCGACTGGCGGAGGGAAGGACCACAAGCCTTCAGAAGGTCAGCATTTGGAGAAACCTGGTTGAAAGCAATGATTATTTTTGCAGTTCTGTTTGTTGACATTTCAAATTTGATCTTTAATAAAATGCATTCAACAAATTGGTCTTTTTCTCTGTTTTAGGCAGAAAAGAACTTTGAAGAATTTAATGAAATGCTGACGTTAATTCTCAACTGGACAGAAAAAGCAGAGACTGTGGTGTCAGCCAACATCATGTGGAGTCCAGCCTCTCAGATGCAAGAGCAGATCAGAACCCATCAGGTGGAGACACTAACTTTAGCCAGATCAGACCACAATTTTTCAGAATTTTCAGTACCTGTTGGGGTAGAAATGTAATGTTATTTTGTGATATATCTCAATCAGGCTTTATTACAAGAGTGGCAAGCTCTCCAAGGAGAGTTTGAGGGTCTGGTGGAGAGGGTGGGACTGCTGGGGGAGGTGGTCCAGACAGATGCTCTCCACCAGCAGGTGGCAGAACTGAGCAGACATGCTGAAGAGCTGCAGCAGAGAGCCAAAGCAAGACTCCTGATGCTACAAGATGCAGCCAAGGTAATACATAGTAGCATGTCACACTACATAAAAGTAATATAAAAATGATAAAAAGGCTATGCATGTTCCCATGTTCTTTTTGGCTTATAAACACCTTTATGATGATTTTTGACAGATTAATTTTATTCTTATATCATCTCAGCAAATTAAAAGAAAAAAACCGGCACTATCACAGCCTCAGTCTAGTTCAAGCTTCCAGTCTGCTGTATCTTTAGAAAGACATTGCCACCTAGTGGCCAGTTAGATTAGCAATGTAATTCTTCATTGTTCTGTATCTTCTTTGCTAGACATGACTGATGTCTGTTCATTAGATTGCTGTATGTTCACAACACTGCTTTAACTTAACATTGTTTTATAGGTTTATCTTAAACCATGCAATCATGTGCATGAAATTTGAGCTCATGAATAAGTCCTCAAAAATTGTCAGGCTTAATGCATGCCATAACTATATAATGGCATCGTGCCATGAAGAAATTGGATTAATTATGTGCTTCCATTTTTTTTTATTAGAGAGCAGATTTATAAGTTTTCATTTTAAAAGTTAAAGGTTTCAGCAAATGTTTAAATGAGTAATTATACGACTCTTCAGTTTTTTGTGAGTGTAATGGTATAGAGTTTTTGCTTATTTTAAGTTTTGCTTTACTTATTATATTTCTCTGGAATTCTACAGTCAAATATTTTTGTATAATCTATAGTAATAGTATAGTATATAAATAACTGTTGTCCCATGAAACCAATTACCTATATAGTTGAGCATGTCAGGCTTTTTTTTTTTTTTTGATTCTTCATCCTTGTTCTCTTTCTTTGCTGCCTGACCTGCTACAAAACTAGGACCATACTGTGGAATTTTGCCAAATGGTGCCTGTGCCTGTACTGGGTATTTTATTCACTGTTCGCTGGAGAACTACATTGATTTGGTTTAAAGCACCACTTTTTTTTATCATTTTAGGCCCACTTGAGCTGCTTGTATTCTGTGGGCTTAAGTCTTGTCATTTAGCAGACGTCCTCTGAAGTAAATCACTCTGAAGTTAAAGGGCTTTAGTGTCTTGTTCAGGAGCCCTGTGGTGATTTAGCAGGGTTGTGATCTCAGTAACTCCTCAGGTTCTGGGTCCCCACATGATTTAACCTGCAGTCTGACTGTTGAATTAGTGGTGCCGTGGATTGAAATAGTTTTTTTTTTTAATAGCCAAAGCCAAAATCACGATAACTATGTCAAAGCGGCACAAGGGGGAGCTAGCACTTCTGTTAATCAACAAGGTGGTTAAACTGCCTAATGCTGATATATCAAGCATGTTTAGTATAGCACCACTCTTACAGGCTCCTTTATAATTTTCCTTTCTTCTCCTTTTGTGAAGAAACCTTTTCATGACAGAAATATATTTCTGTCATGACAACTCTCTGAGGGATTGGCATGGTAATGTACATGACAATGTTAATGTATTTGTATTTGGTCTTGGCGGGATAGATCTGCTACGCTGCTGCGGCAGAGAATGTACAGAGACTTGCTACTGCCAATACATCCACAACATGCTGCTGTGAGCATGTAAGAAATATTGCTGCTGTAAATATAACATACATGTAATAACCCACATATAGCATACATGAATCACCTCGTAGCAGATCTATACAGGTGGAGCTGGGGAAGGTGGAGGGTTTTTCTGAAGCAAGCTGCAACTGCTACGGCAAGCACTAGTCATATATTTGAATGTTGAGCAGCGAGCTCATTGGCTACCGATACAGGAGAGAACCAATCAGCTGTGCCATGTGATAATGATGTCATTAGGTCAGATTGAGTTAGACCTATCGGACTGCGCCATCTAGAGTTTCATGCCAGAACTCTGTGTGTATATATATATATATATATATATATTTTTTTTTTTTTTTTTTTTTGGCAATTGTAGAATTTTTCAGTTTTAAAATGCTAATAGTGGAGCTATCTATTTGTCTGTTGAATGGGAGCCTGTAAGTGTGTTTTGAATCCTTTAAATAATTTTGTTTTTTATTTTTGCAATCGAGTTTGATGCTGCTTGAAGTTACACACTATGAAAGCATGTAATTCTTGCTAAATACTGAATGTAATATTTAATAAAATATACAGATATTTGTCTCTGTAAAACCAAATTGACTTTGGGATGAACATAATGATCTTCCTGTTTGTCTTTCTCTGTTTAGGACTTAGGGAGACTGGAGAGTGATGTGAAGAGCCTCCATCAGTCCATAGAGAGAGTCCAGGAGACTCTGGCCTCCCCTGATCTGGCACGTCTCAGTCTCAGAGAACAGCTGACTCAAAGACAGGTACACCCATTACTCTTAATAACTTGTACTAACACATTTCTTAATTCCTCCGATTTATCTCATTTATCTTATACTATTAGATACAAATACAGTCATACCTTCTGTACAATTATACACTGAAAAAATAATTGTCTTAATTATTAGGGGTTTTTTCCAGTAATTTTTTCCAGTTTTTCTTTTTGCCAGTAAAAATATTTAAAGATCTTTATTATTAAGAAAATATTCTTTACGTGAAGTTTGTTTTATTGTTTAAAGCATAAATGTAACAAATAAAACATTAGTTCTTGGGTTATGCATAAAAAAGGAAACGATATAAGAAAAATGTTAAATCTTAATTCAAGATGTTTTTTGAAAACAAGTCTATTCTTAGTTTTGCTGAATGTATATTGCTTTAAGAATGTTTCAATATTTTTCATGACGAAAATACTGATTAGTAATGAAAAAATAATACAAATAATAATATTTTTATGTGTACTGACAAGAAAATGACATGTACTTTTTTTTATCACTGATACCATCAAACTTATGTTGAATATTTGTTGCTCAGCTGCTGTTGTCAGAGATGGAGGGTCTCAAGCAGCAGGTACAGGCTATGCAGATGTGTCAGAGTGCCCTCCGTCTGCCAGAGGACGTGATTGCAGCTTTACCGCTATGTGTTACTGCACAGAGTCTGCAGCAAGAGAGCAGCCAACTCCAACACAATACCATTCTACAGTGCAATATATTACAGGTGTCCACACACAGATTGCAACATATTCTTAGATGAAGATATTGATAAGTATTTTTTAATTCAAGCTTTCACTTACACCTTTATGCTGAAATGTTAGAAAAAAATAAAAGCATTTTCACTAGTGGTCCTTTTAACCCCATTGTAAAGGTACTGATAACGTAAAGCTACTAACATTATAAATGGAAAATATAAAATCCAACAGACGTTTAAATAATATTCCCCTTCTGTTTATCTGCATAGTTTCATATAGCACGGTCATGGGATTCATCTGGGCTTAGCACTTGTGGTTTTAATGGCTCATTTAGCATCTTTCTTCACATTACCCCAGGAGGCCATGGTGCAGTATGAGCAATACGAACAGGAAGTCAAGAACCTACAGAGACTTATTGAAGAAGCACACCGTGTTATTCAGGACCGCCCTGTTGCCACAGGAAACATACAGGAGCTTCAGACACAGATACAACATCATGAGGTGAGGAAGGACATCCTTCTTTCATACTTTTATATATTTTTGCAAATATAGATGCTTAAGGCATAAATCTTCTATTTTAAACAATGTTTCTTTAAATAAGCAAGCATTGGTATATGTTATGATCATTCCTGTTTGGTGCATCAGTCAGTCAAGCTCACAATTCATTGCAGGCATGTTGTCTAAGCTATCACTCACCATATTGCTTTGCTAGTTGACCTACATTCGGCTGGAATGAGTCAGGCCATAAATTCCTAACGTGCTCTCAATGGGTGTAAAGGTAGTTCTTCGATCTTTGACCTCAGTCTGTTTTGTCCTGTGTGACATCAAATTCTGTCTTTCTCTCACGCCCTTTTGCCCTGTTTCTTTACATTTGCACACAAACACTTTCACACACATGAAGGCGAGTAGGGCTGCACAATTCATCAAAATGGTTTAACGCTTGAACAGGGGTGGCGTTTCCGTATGGCAGAGTATGGCAGTCGCCATACCCTAGCCCAGTCAGGTGTGCCGTGGAAAATCCAAACTCTCTATTATATTTGGTTATTATTGTTTTAAATCACTGCTATTGGTCTTCCTTATATCTGTTTGAGGGTTTTACAAATATTTAACCAATGAAAAGCATTCAAAAGAACTTGTCACTAAACTTTGTAATGCTATGAATCTTCAAACTGTCAGCGAAACCTCATAACTTCACCCCGCCTCCATTCAGAACGAAGCGCCGAGCAGCGCACACAGCCTGGAGACAGATCTTGGCTTGTTCGCAATGCAAGGGTAAATAATAAATAACTGATGTTTGAATAAGTACAGCGTTTTCTTCACTAAAACACTATGTCTATGAAGGCTAATGTTTTTTGTGTGTTTGAAGAGCGGAGAATAGCTTTTGCCGTCTAGTTGTAACCAATATAGGCTACTTTTTTAGTCTACGTTTTAAATATCCTGTGCATTTAGCGCTTCATCGTCCATCGTCTATATATCATGAGATTTTGGCCAAGTGTATTAAACGACAAGAAAAACTAAGTGCCCATATAGCTACAATAAATGTTATAACCTGTAAGTTGATGAAAGCATATAATGCGATGCACTTGGTGCCACAGATGCGGCCGTTATAATGACAGACACAACACAGATCTCTGTCATTCGCTGGTCAAAAATTGTTTAATTATAAAAAAAAAACACTTTTTCCTTTTTTATTTATTTTTTTTTATTTTAGTGCTTAGTAATGTGCCACCACCCACTGCCATACCCTATGGTTTTGTGAAACGCCGCCACTTCGCTTGAAGGATGTATAATATAGTAATATTTCTTAATTTGTTTAATTTGTGCAGCTCTAAAGTCAAGGGCCAGTTTAAACACACCAAATAAAAATAAACCTAAACCTGTACTGAATCTCATGTCCTTGTGTTTTATTAGTAGATCTTACTTCAGTTGGGGTGGCAGCTGTGGCTTTATCACCCAGGGTTATTTTCTTCTGCAGAGCCGAGTGCTGCAGCTGCAGCTTTCTCCCACATGACCTCATTACCAGAGAGGCCTGTCTGTGTGTTTGCAAAAGAATGAGAGAAAACGCCGGGAGGGGGACTCCACGGGCCGTACAAAATCTGTAATGTGAGCCCCCTTCCTCCCCTCTCAGTCTCACGCTCGCGCCCAGTTCCTTTGTTTGTCAGGAAAACAGCTTCAGGATTGGTGGAAAGCGAGGAAGTGAGGGGAAGGAAGGAAAAGAGTAAACAGGCACACTGAGCTCATTTCCTGTTCTCGAGGTCTTTGTGTGTGTATGAGTGTGAGTTGGCCGGTTTGGGGGAGGGAGTGTTCTTCCTCTCTCTACTCCCCTCCCACTCTCTCCAGTTGGTCGAGCTCTGTGCCAATCACATTCGCTGTTGCCCGAAGGCTTGGCTTGTCGGCCTTCTCCCACAACGCTCTGATTGGCTACAAGCTCAAAATGCCTCTGACTGAGCGATTGCTCGCCTGTGCCGTTTTTTCTACTGCAAACAGACAGAGAGGGGGAATTCTCAGCTCAGCTAGCCGATGCCACTCTCTGCATTAACTCCTTTTTCACTTCTCATCTATGGGACTTATCAAGGACGCATTTATTTGGACCAACCACAGTCGAATAATAATGTAATGTGTGATTGTGACAGGAACTGGCCCTGAAGATAAAAGGATACCAGGAGCAGATCTCGGCCTTGAACTCCAAGTGTAAGATGTTGACTGTGAAAGCCAAACATGCTACCATGCTGCTGACAGTCAGCGAGGTCGATGGACTCTCTGACGGATTAGAGGAGCTGGAGGATGAGGAGGACGAGATGCCCAAACACTCACCAGCACACCCCTCTGTTGTCATGGTGAGTGATTTACACTTACACATGTTAGGGCTGGGCAGGGTGTGCTGGGTGCTCTTTTTTTTCGTTCACTGTCAGACAGCATCCCATGGGACTCTTATTTCTCCCACAGGGTTGTATGTGCCTCTACATTGTGTATGTGCCTGCTGTTGTTTGTTGCCAAAAGAGGAAACAGGATGAGGGTGTTAGTTGCCCTTGACTTTGTCAGCATAAGTGTGTCTTTATTTGGGCTGTATAGTTTCCCTTCATTGCATCAGACATGATCAGGGCCGGATTCCACATTAACCGCCAACAGTTCAGCTCCAGCTGTGTCGCTCAGTCCTTATTGACTTACAGAGAAAGGGGTGTAGCTTTGCAGTAGTTCAGCAGTCATTGTATCTAGATCTAAATTTAGCCTAATGGTGGAGCGCTTCCATGGTTCAGATTACTTTAGTTTATGCAGGCAAGCACAATTAATTATTGTATGCCATCTTATTGTATTTTTACAGTGAGTCTGTGTGTATCCTCTGCCCTGTTTCCTGACCGGGTTCATTCCTTTATTATGACGAGAGGTCTGTGAAGGCCTTAGTCATGGCTACTCTTAACAAATGTGGTCTGTCTGTAATTCTGTGGTGCTGCTTTGCAGAGTCTTATTTAGATTTTCTGTTTGAATCAGGACTTCCTGTCAGATATGCACTCTGAAATATGCACTACTGCAAGTTTAGGGTCAAGGAATTAAATATTTTATTTAGCAAGGGTGCATTCAGTTGATCAAAAAGTGACAGTAAATGCATTTATAATCTTACAAAAGATTCCTGTTTCAAATAAATGCTGTTCTTTTGAACATTCATCAAAGACTCCTGAAAAATGTGTCATGGTTTCCACAAAAAAAATGGTAAGCACACAATGTGACAGCAGACTGGAGTAATGGTTGCTGTAAATTCAGCTTTGCCATAACAGGAATACATTACATTTTAAATTGCAATGATTTTTCACAGTATTACTGTTTTTACTGTATAAATTGCAGCCTTGCTGAGTATGAGAGACTCCTTTTAAAACCATGTTTAAGAAATATTACCAGCCCCAAACTTGAACGGTAGTGTACTTTTACAGCACCCTAATATTCTTCCTCTGGTTTTCTTCTTCTTTTGGTGCTTTACTCCTGTTTCACTGTTTATGCATCTTTCTTTCTCTTTCTTCCTCTGTCTCTTTTGCCCTTGAATGGTCAGATGACGGCAGGCCGTTGTCATACTCTCCTCTCCCCGGTGACAGAGGAGTCTGGTGAGGAGGGCACCAACAGTGAGGTCTCCTCTCCCCCTGCCTGCAGATCGCCCTCCCCCGGGTCTAACGCTGACACCTCTCAGGTATCCCGTGGCTCTAACCCACACCTTGCTAGCTCTTGCCAACTCAATTTAAACTTAAACAATCACTTTCATATAGTAGCCAATGTTCTGTTCTTGATTTGAATACAAATGTTAGTCTGAGGGTTCCCACAATCATGGTAAACATGGAAATATCTGAAAAATTGGACCCTTAAAATACCTCCTACCTCATCTTAATATGCAGATACAATTCTAAGTAAGACATCTGTAGATTGATATCCTTGAAAAGTGTAAACTGCTTTTCAACCAGCCCAATACAGCAGCACTGAATTAAGAAATGATCTTAGGGCAGGATGACAGTATCAGTTTGTCCAACCAATGGTAGATAGGAGCATTATTTAAGTAGTTACGCTTTTTTGCCTTTTTCGCTTTGTTCCACTAGTGGCACAGAAATTGCACACTTCAAATTTTATAAATTCTAAAGGAAATTTCTAAAAAATATATATATTGTGTATATTATTCTATATAATATTGTATATACATCACTGTTACAGATAGGGGTTGCCACAAAAACAGTAATATTGTGAAGTATTTTTACAATTTAAAATAACAGTTTACACTTACAGTTTTTTAAAAACTGAATTTTCTGCAGCCATTACTCCAGTCTTCAGTGTCACTTGATCATCTTCTGAAATCATTTGAATATGCTGATTTGGTTTTTAAGAAACATTTCTTATTGTCAATGTTGAAAACAGTTGTGCTGCTTAATATTTTTTGTGCATTTTTTTTCAGGATTCTCTGGTGAATATAAAGTTAAAAAGAAAAGCATTTATTTGAAATGGGAAAAAAATCTTACTGACCTCAAACTCTTGAATAGAGGTGTAATTAATGATTTTGGACCTTTTGGAGACATTTGTACACTAATGAGTGTATTTGAAAAAAATTGTTAGTTTCTGTCATAGAAATGTAAATCACCTATAAATGTATATGAAACAATTTTTAAAAGTAATTTTTAAATAATCATGAATAACTGTCATTCATAAATTCATGAATTCATTTGTCAAAAGGTGTGGGAAGCTCTATTCTTCTGCTGACTTTCTTGAGGAGTGATAGAAAACTATCTCTGATTTCATTCTAAAGTGACTTTTTTTCCTTTTATAATGTTCATATACACATGTAATGAGCTGTAGTTGACACAGATTTGAACATGGCCTGAGGGAGTGACAAAGATGTTTTGGTTAGCATAGATTCTTTGTGTTCAAGCATCTGGCAAACATATGGTTAACCATTTGGTATAATCATGTTACTGGGCACGAGTGCAACATCTGAAACATTCAGGCAGAAACCCACATAAGTATCACTACCGTTTTGTTGTATTTTAAGAGGACCAGCACAATTTTGTTTATTATTTATGCGTGCATGCACACACTCTCATGATGTGACGTCTTTTGTAGAGTTCAGGGCGAGTTCCTTTAAGCAGAGCTCCACTACAGGAGCTTTATGACCCCTCCATGGATTCAGCTGCCTCAGCTAATCTGGACGACCTACAGCGCTCATGGGAGACTTTGAAGAATGTGGTAAATATCCATATATGCTTCTCACATTACAAAATCCAAATCACTTATGTTGGTTAACATACAGTATATTTCTTTACAGATCAGTGAGAAGCAGAAGAGCCTATATGAAGCTCTGGAGAGGCAGCAGCACTATCAGGAGACCCTGCAATCTGTCTCCACAAAGATGGAGTCCATTGAGACCGCACTAAATGAAGGCTTGGAGCCAAGCAAGAGTCCTGAGAGCCAGATGGCCGCCCACCAGGTGAGAGAGACAGAGGATCAGATGAAGCAAGATGACCGCACTAATGCTAGATCACATAAAAACTCAAGCCTACAGCTGGACTAACGATACGAGCCAGGGGACAGGGTTACCCTCTAGATTACCAACTTCTCCTGTGTCTAAAACTAATCTCTTACCTAGAAGTATTTTCCTTTCTGTGGCATTTAGCCTTTAATGTAGCTTTACTGTTTGCAACTAGAGCAAATCAACTTTCTAATAAAACCTGAATTAAAATAAAGCCGGTTCCTGGTTCCTGGTTGTTCCTCAGGCTTTGATGGATGAGATCCTGATGCTCCAGGATGAGATCAGTGCATTGGAGGCCTGCTTCTTCCAAGAGCTGCAGTTGGATGAGGACAGTTTGGAGGCAGATGCCGGAGACCAGCTGGCCCTGCAGTCAACCCTCACTGTGTTAGGAGAACGCATGGCCACCATCCACATGAAGGCCTCCGGAAAGCGCCAACTTCTGGAGGTGAGCAGGAATAATAGCATGCAGAGAAATTGAGACGGCTGATAAGAATTTGGCATGCTGTTTTGATTATTTTATGTACTGTTGTTTAGCAGATGTTGGGAATTTCAAATTAGTAATTAGTCCTAGTAATTATTTTAGTCTTTCAGTTTAACTGTCAGGACATCTCTCTACTTAAAACCACTAATTGCAGATCATAAACCAAATGACAGACAAGCCTAAACTAATTCCCAGGAGCCATAATTAAAGAGAAAGAATAGAGGATAACACATACAAACTTGTGGTATCACACTATTTTTGCAACAGTGGCAATACTGTGAGATTTGTCTTCACTGGCCTTATTAGGCTCAAGAAGACTCAACATGAAACAACTTATTATATACCCATATAGCGTATTGTACTTGATATAGGCCTGATTTTATGCAATTCTCTGTCCTGCAGGAGCGATTAAGCGAGCAGTTAGAAGAACAGAGGCAGGAACAAGCGCTACAGCGTTATCATAGTGAGGCAGAGGAGCTTGACAACTGGCTGCTCAGCACACGTGCCACACTGAGCTCCACTCTCCAGCCACACCCACGGGACATGGACATGGAGGAACAGCTGATGGACTGCCAGGTAAGAGACTAGGCCTGGGAAATATGTCAGTATAAAATATACAATCATGTCCATTACAAAGAAACAACTTTATCAATAAACAAACAATTAATAAAATACTGATTTATTTGGTTAATCTGCACTGTAGTGATTTATTTCATTTTATTTTAGATTACCAATTTCATTGTTTCAGAGCGCTTGTATAGTTTTTGAAAATCCTTAATCTTTATTGATAGATTTATAGATAGATTTTCAATGGCATATAAACAGTCAATTCATCGGATTCTGCTGGCTGATAATGTCTGGATTCACTAGAGTGGGCCGCAAGTAAATCTGATTAGCTGTGTGGGTTTTGTCCCGTTCTGTTGGTCATTAGGATTAGGGGGCTTTTTCTTCCCTGCCATCATGGGACGTCCCACAGTGCATGTCTGCATTTTTCAAGGAGACACAGAAGCATACACACACGTGTGTGTCTTTTGTGTTTTGATTTAAGGGCTGTAGGGATCAAGTTAACCTTTAACCTGAAAGTTAGATTCTTTATGAGAAGTTAGGGTGGCCCTGACCTTTAGCTTACTGCTGTTAATGTTTGCTCATTCCTCACTAAATGCCACTGGCTCTCTCCACTATTAACCAGCATTCAGTTCCAGCTACTCTGCAGGCCCACCACAAACTTTTAAAAATGTATTGATTGTTTACTTTCTTAGTAGTATGCTAACTTCTCTGGACTAATGTGCATGTAGTATGGTAAAGATCTACAGTAGATGTCTAAAGACTAGGTTAAGCAGCTTAAGAAGATTATCAGTCACTGCATACACAAGTCTCCTGTTAACGCATTTTTTCAAATACCTTCTGTTGTGTTTTTACATGTATCTGATTATCTGAAAGCAAACAAATCCATTTAGTTGCATTGATTTTAGTTTTTTTTACCCACAACTTTATCTTAATGGTAAACCCATATGAAGGTTTTGTTGTTTGTATTTATAATGAGAGCACTTAAAAGAGCTCTGTTCCTTAAGATGAGAAGACAAAAGAGGATACCCACAACTTTATCTTAATGGTAAACCCATATGAAGGTTTGTTGTTTGTATTTATAATGAGAGCACTTAAAAGAGCTCTGTTCCTTAAGATGAGAAGACAAAAGAGGATGTTTCACATGTTTCTGAAATCAACTTGAAAAGAATAGGTTAACCAAGCCCAAATCCTGATTATGTTCATTAAAAGTAATTAAATGTTATTTAAAAGTGTTTCATTTATTGTTAATTGCAGCTAAAATATTCACACTGCTGAATCATATCTAAGCAAAGCAATTTAATCTTCTGATCTTTTGTTCCTGGTCTAGAACATGTTATTGGAGATCGAGCAGAGGGTGCTGTGTCTGTCCGAGCTGTCAGTGCACAGTGAGAGTTTGCTGATGGAGGGTAAGGCCGGCACACGGGGTGACGCTGAGCAGCTCTCCCTCAAACTGCACTGCCTCAAATCCAGCCTGCTGGAGCTACAGCGCATCCTCCAAGACAAACAGACCCACATCCAGGTGAGGGACACCACTTTAACTTCTCAAAGTAGCATTCCTTGACGGAAGAGCCACCCAAGAACTATAATTTATTAGAATGACAGAAAATGCCAAAGTCTGAATACTTATTATAAGAACAATTGGAGGTTACTAAAAACACTAAAAAGCACATCCTCGCCTCAATGGCTGCTTTGTGAACAGCAGGACAGAAGAATGCCAAGCGCTGTTCATTGTTGTGAAAGATGTTCCATTGCTCTCCAACAACATCCATCTGAAACAAAGACCTTTTACAAATTTTGGGGCAAGTCTGGAATTTTTGCCCAGCTCTTTTTAATGAGACATGTTGGTGACATGTAAAAGCCTGATGCAAGCTGATGAGGTCGATTTCCTATTGTCAGTCATGATTGACCTTTAACCTCTACTTACCTAACTTTGTGTGTGTGTGTGTGTGTGTTTCCAAGAAAGTCTATGTACATGTATCTAGGTTCATTCTTAGGGCACCTTCTATAAATTATTTTCACCAAACAGAAATTTATACTTGATATAATATTTTTGTTCAATAATAATGAGCAGAATTTTATCATTTATAGATTTAATCCATTTTTAAATACTTTTTACTTATAAAAAAAAAATCATTACCACAGCAACTTTGTTAAACATTAATATCTTTAACTTTCTATCTCTTCTATCTGTTTATTAGGGCTCACTTCAGGAGCAGGAGGACACTGAATCAGACTCGTCTCTCTCTCAGAGCCCCAATATGATGGATTGGCTCAGTCAGGCGCGATCCACACGCAACCAACAGCATCAAGACACAGTGCAAAGACAGAGGGTAGACAATCAAACATCTACCATTGAGCAATAACATGATGTTAATCAGCTTAATTAGAATAATATATGCTGATACTGACACTTCTTAAAATATTATATCTTAAAATATTTAGATAAAAAATATTCTGTTATTCTATGAGCTAGAAGCTACTTGGATTTTTTTCAGCATCAGTTCTTACATATAATGCAGGAATTAGAGGAGCAGCTTGGCGAACAGAAGAAGTTACTGCAATCTGTAGCATCTAGAGGAGAGGAGATTCTCTCACAGCGAACAACACCTAATGGAGAAAGGTAGTTACCGCACTCTTGTACATTATTTACATGTTTATATCTTTGTCTTGCAAGCTGTTTGTCATTTATGAAAGGCAATGACAATGGTGTACAGCACCGATTCATAATGAGCTTCTTTCTTCATTATGTAGGTCTCCTGCAGAACTTTCTGAAGGGGATGCTGGTCAGTGGCCTGAGAGCATGAGCACTAATGATCAGATGAGAGTCAGATGGGAGAACCTGAGCAAAGACGTTAACAACAAACTGCAGTTGTCACTAAACACACTGGAGCAGACTCCATGTAACACGGTACATAATCAACTACAACACTATAACCTAGCTTTGTTTTTCAATGTCAGAGTTTTGAGGATGGTCTGTTATATCTGATCACGTCCCTCCCCTAATAGAGGACTGCAGTGATTACATTTTTGTAGGCAAACCCTGAAGTAAGCATCACCAAGGTTCCCTTGACAAAAACGCAAAAGGATTTTGCTGTTGGCTTTTGGATTGTTGCCCTTTATGATTCTTATATATTTTGTTCATCTTGACAAATTATATAACTTTCATGAATTTTGAAATCTAAATACAATCTCTAGAAGTAAAAAAGCAAAATGTATGCTATAAACGTCACAATTAAGCTTCCAACAACTCTTTCAGTCTTTATTTAAAAAACATTATCCCTGAGAGTTCGAAGTTTGCAAGAGCACGATTATATTGATTATATACCTCTTAGTTATACCAGCCGGTATCCAGCCCCTGTGGAGTTTTCAGAGGAGAGCAGCTGAGTCAGGATATCCTGTCTCCACGAAGTCTGTTTGAAGGCTTCAGCCAAGATTTGGAGGACTTGCCTCAGGTACTGCCATTGAATATTTTTATTTACATATTCTTTAAGAACAGGATGGTAAACTGCACCAGCATTTTGTATTACTATAACTAGTAAGGATTTATTTGCAGATAGTCATTTATTTATGTCCTCCCACAGACAAGTGGTGCTGACAGTAAGCGTGCTCATGCTCTGAAGAGAGCTCTCTATGAGGCGGTTTCGTCAGCTTCCTCCTGGCTGGACAATGCTGAAATTGAGCTTGTATCTGGCCCAATATTACTATCTGATGACTCAGAGACTCACCTGGGCCACCTAGAGGTCAGACATAGTCATTTTACTGGATTCTTAAACTATTTCTGTTATAAGAAACATTGACACTCTTTGACTCTCTTCTGCTTTCTTCAGAGTTTGAATAAGGAGGTAAAGAATGTCAACGAGGAGGTGTGTAAATGTCGGGACGTGCTCGGAGGAACAGAGCAGCTATGGGATGGAGAAAGTGGAGAAAGTGTTTTGGTTGAGGAAGTGTTAGATGGTTTGGAGGGGAGAATGAAGCTGCTGGACACAGTGCTGGAACAGAGATGTGACACCATGAAAGACAAGCTTCATGAACTCACTGTTTTCCAGGTATATGTTGCTTGTATCTTTGTTTTTTTTTTAGTCAGTATATTGTTTTTCTCTCTCTCGCTCTTTCTCTCACATATGCATTTCCCTCTTTGTCTATTCCTTAGGCTGAGTTGAGGCTGTTGCTTGCAGCACTCAGTGACTCAAAGTGCCAGCTTTTGCAGAAAATGAACGCGGCTGTGGATCGGCCCACTTCTAAACAGATGGAGGTCAGACACACATTCAGAATGACATCGATATAATTACATGACCCCAAGCAAAACTGTTAATTTACTATGAATATGAATATTCAATGTAAACAGATTCTAGCAGAAGCGGAGGACAGTTTGAGGGAATTTGAACAGAAAGTTTCTGAGATGAGGAGCAGAGGAGAGACACTGCAGCCCAACCAGCTCTGCACTCAAGAGCTGCTGAAACTACAGGTACACACATCTCTCCCCTGTGGTTTGATTTCGTAAGATCAATTACAGTTACTGATTTCATGTCTTTCATTTGACTTACCACTAGACCTTGTGTTTTGCTGTGCAGGATGCTTATGAAGAGCTGGTGGAGATGGTGGGCTCCAAGCGGAGTGGGCTAAACCAGAGTTTGGTTCTAAAGGCTCAGTATGAGAGAGCTTTACAAGACCTGATAGATCTGCTGGACACCGCCCAGGACAAAATGGCTGCTGATCAGAAGATGAAAGTGGGATCAGTGATTGAGGTTCAGATTCTTCTAGATAAACACAAGGTACAGTAGAAGTTTTGTTCTTATGGTCTGCTTAATGCATATGTGTCTAGACAATTTTACTATTTTTACTATATTACTATTCTAACTGTATTTTTGATCAAATAAATGGAGGCTTGGTGAGCATAAGAGACATTAAAGAAAACATTACCCACCCCAAACCTTTGAATGGTAGGTCTTTTCTGTTTAAGGAAAAAAGAACAAAAATATTGAAGACTCTCGTCTCATGCAGTCAAATGCTCTCAAGAAAGTGAATGTCCATGTTTTGTACAATTTTGATGAGCAAGGACTCATGTTATCTTGTCTCTTCCTGCAGGAGTTTTTCCAGGGGCTAGAGACGCATGTTGTTCTGACACAGGCCTTCTTCAGGCAGGTCAGTGGGTTGGTGGTGCAGCGGGAGGTCCAGAGCTTGGAAGAGACTGTGGCTCAGGCCCAGGCTGTACTTAAACAGGCTCACAAACGAGGAGTGGAGCTGGAGGGCATCCTGGAGGTGTGTGTGGATTTGTATTTCTTTATTTGCATTCAAGATGCAAATTATAATCACAGGGTACAGTGCATATGAAGTGAATAACTGTTGTGTTTTGTGGCATCAGTGGTGGAGCAGGTTGGTGGGTGACTATCAGGCCCTGTACAGACAGCTGGAGGCAGTGGAAAGCAACATCCCCAGTGTAGGCCTGGTGGAGGAGACAGAGGACAGATTGAGCGATAGAATTGCTTTGTATCAGGTACAGCTCCATCACACACACAGAACACTGGATCAGACACGGTTACACCATAATATTCATACAACACCAACCATGATTTTACATTAAAAACATTACATACTTTATCTATATTGCATGGTTTGTGCAGCATTAGAAATACAATTCAGAATGCCTTTTGAATGACTCAATTCAGGAATTTAAAGTTAATATGAATTAGCAAACAGGATACATAATTATAATATGAATGTAAATTTAAGGAAGGAAAATTTCACTTTATTATAGCTTGATATATTAGGATTGTGGTTGGTAAGGTTTTTGAAAGAAGTCTGAAAATGATTAATTTTACTATTTACTCTAAAATAGGAATCGTTTGTCTCTAGTTTACTGTCACTTGATCTGTATAATCTTTGCTGAATAAAAGTATTAATTTCTTTTTTTTTTATTTACCGAGCACAAATTGCAGTAGATTTGTGAAAAATTTTTAAATCTGCAATCTAAAACTGTCTCACTCTCTATGTAGCGTTTGAAGGCCAGTCTCTCTGAGCGGCAGCAGCAGTTGTATAAGTTGTTGGAGGATGGAAAGAGGCTGCTTTTACATGTGTCCTGCTCAGAGCTGGAGACTCAGCTCACTCAGCTGGGGGACCACTGGCTCAGCACCACCACCAAGATCAATAAAGAGCTACACCGCCTGGACTCCACCCTCAAACACTGGATTAGGTCTGTGATCTGATCACTTTCTCTGTGTGATTCTGTCAGTGTCTGCTTCCTTAAGAAAGAAATTAACTTACAAGAAACACATCTGTGTGGTTGTGTCCATGTTAGGGCTGGACAATAATTCAATATCAATATGTATCGCGATATAATTTTTTTCAATAACGGTGATATGATTTTTAAACACATTTCCGATATTTCGATTGTAGGTACAGACATCTGTCGTGGCCGTTCTTGGCCATTTTTATGAGGCTTTTTTAATAGTGTTCATATCGATATCGGAATTATATCGTATCGACCGAAATTAAGAAATATATCGTGATATAAATTTTGGCCATAACGTCCAGCCCTAGTCCATGTATGCATGTTTTATTGACATCACATGTTCTCTTTATATTGTATTGTAGGTATCAGAGTGAGTCAGCTGAGCTTAGCCAATGGCTGAATTCGGCACTAGACCGCCTGGAGTTCTGGAGCACTCAGTCTGTTACAGTACCTCAAGAGCTAGAGACCGTCAGAGACCATCTTCATGCCTTCCTGGTAAGAACACCCATTAAATATCCTGCTAAAATAGCCTTAGGCCTCACTTGAGATCTCATAGACACACTCTATATCGGCTCTATATTTGCAGGAGTTCTCCAAAGAGGTAGACGCCAAGTCTTCTTTGCGTGTCTCAGTTCAGAGCCAGGGGAATCAGCTTCTCCGGTTGAAGAAAGTGGACACGGCAGCTCTCAGGGCAAACTTGGCCCAGGTAGACACACAATGGGCTGATCTTCTCACTCGTATCCCTGTGGTCCAGGAGAAACTACACCAGGTATGAAGACTAGGACTGATTGCACAGCCTAATTTCAGTTAAGGAAGGGAATGCAGATAATGAACAGGCTCACGTGGCTATGCTAATCGTAGCATTTCTGTTCTGATCAACAGCTGCAGATGGAGAAGCTGCCATCCCGTCATGCGATAACTGAACTAATGAGCTGGATATCCCTCATGGAGAATATCATCCAAGAGGATCAGCAGAAGATCATGGGGGCAGTGGGATCAGAGGCTGTGCAAATGTACCTTCAAAAATACAAGGTAGCAAAAAAATTCTTCAAGACTTTTGAAATAATAAAACATATCATTAGTAATTTTGTACTTCATACTCAAGACACCAAATCACTCTTTTTCTTTATTTACTCCTCTCTACAGGGTTTTCAGATTGACCTGTCCTGTAAGCAGCTGACGGTGGACTTTGTGAATCAGTCAGTTCTGCAAATCAGCAGTCAGGATGTAGAGGGGAAACGGAGTGACAAAACAGACTTTGCTGAGCGTCTTGGTGCCATGAACCGCCGCTGGCAGATACTGCAGGGACTCGTTACAGAGAAGGTTAGACATAAATGTAGAAAATTCTCACATTGTGCTGGAAAACATGGAATATCAGGTTTTGTGCAAAAAATGGGACAAATCAAATACTAAGATAGAAATTCATATCAATTTTTCAATTTAACTTTTCACTACAATTGTTATGATAATGTAATTTGTAATGAAAAATAATAAAAGTAATAAAAAGTAAGCAATAAAAATAAAGTAATGCTAAACAAGTGTTTCTACAAGTAGAGACTGTTACTTTTGGATCCCATTGTGCGTCATTTTCCTTTCATTTTTATCGTATATCAAACTGGTGTCTTTTGTGTTTCACAGATTCAGGTTTTAGAGGGTCTGCTGGAAAGCTGGTTAGAGTACGAGAACGTGGTTCAGACCTTGAAGACCTGGTTTAGTGTACAGGAAGAGAAACTCAAAAAGAAGCACAGGATTGAGGATGTTTCCTCAGCCCAGAATGCACTTAAAGATTGTCAGGTAGGTACTGCACCCTAGTTGTTTGGCTCTACATAATGCACAGTATATGGATTCATTAGTAAAGATTACATAGATAATCCAGAAATATTCTATGTGATTTGTTGTTTTGAAATATTGATCAGACTGTCTGTGTCTGTGTATGCTAGGAAATGGAAGTGTTGGTAAAGGAGAAAGAGAAGGATCTGGAGAAGGCTGAAGAAAAAGGATGCTTATTAATTCAGGATAAGAAAGGCGAGGCAGGCACTGTTATTATGGACACTCTAAAAGGTTTAAACCAGTCTTGGGCCAATCTGGATCACATGGTATGTTTCACCTAATGCATTTCGGTAAAGCATCTAGTTTTGTAATCTTCATTACGATATTGTTCATAATTTTCACCAAAACACTGATTATCAGTCCTAAATGAGACTTGTGTGTTATTGCAGATTGGGCAGCAGACGGTCAGTCTCCGGTCAGTACTGGAGCAGTGGAGTCTGTATAAACAAGCATATGACGAGATTCAGGGCTACCTGATGGAGGGACGTTACACCATCTCTCGTCTGCGTCTTCTCACTGGCTCCCCAGAAGCTGTGCAGGTTCAAGTGGAGAACCTTGAGGTGCTAGTCTGCCACAAAACACTGAGCTTTTCTTAGCATTATATCGAGAAACAACCTAAAATCACCACGGGTTTTTGTGTGTCTCAGAGTTTACAAGACGAGTTGGAGAAACAGGAGAGCAGTTTACGGAAACTGGGCTCCATAACGCAACAGCTGCTGAGGGATTGTCATCCCTCAGTGAGCGATTCACTCAACACAGCTCTGGGTGATGTAAATCTCAGGTGAGTTTCAGAAACTTCTAGTAACTAATAAAGACACTGATCAGTACAAAGTGTTTAGAAATCATTGATCTTCTACTGATCTGCTGTCAGGTGGAACACGCTGCTGGAGCAGATCTCAGATCAGCTGAGGACGAGTAAGAGCCTGCTGCAACTGTGGCAGCATTACAAAGCACTTCATGCTCAGAGCAGCACTGACATCCAGAAACTAGAGGATCAGGTGGAACAGCTGCTCAAGAGCGCCACCCACATGGACGTCACAGAACAGGAAGTAAAGGTGTGGATTTATCAGTGCATGATGGGTTTGGAAGCCTCTTAAATGTTTGTGTGCTTGGATTATGTTAGTGACCCAAAAGTATGTAAGCAATTGCTAGTTCTGTGTGCAGTTGTGAAGGCCTTGTAGCAAGGGCCACAGTATTCCTCTTTGTAAAACTGGTATTTGTGCAGGGCCTTATGGCAACTGAGGGATCCGTAGAGTCTGTCCTGCAGCAGCTGGATGAGTTTTCAGAGCAGCTGAGGCAACAAGTGGACCCCTCTGCCATGACAACCTTCCATACAGACCACCTGTCATTCACTCAGCGATTAGCAACTGTTGGGCATACCCTCCAAAGACAGCAGTGTCTGCTAGAGGTTCAGATGATTCAGATTTTACATTGTGCACACAGACACAGAACATTTATACAGTTTTCACACATATAGACTGCATTTTAAAAGTTGGGGTAAGATTATTTGATGTTTGGATCACTTATGCTCACCAAGACTGCAGTTATTTGATTTGATTGAAAAATACAGTAAAAACAAAAATATTGTGAACAAATTTTACAATTTAAAATAAGAGTTATCTATTTAAATATATTTTAAAATATAATTTATTCCTGTGATTGTAAAGCTGAATTGTCACTAGCCATTACTCCAGTCTTCAGTGTCACATGATCCTTTAGAAATCCTTGTTATACTGTATGCTGATTTGGTGCTCAAGAAATATTTCTTTTTATTATGGACTTAATATTTTAGTAGAATTTTAATAGAATGTTCAAAAGAACAACATTTATTTAAAATAGATATCTTTTGTAACATTATGCTAAACCTTACTGTTATTTGTGATTAATTTAAAGGGATAGTTCACCCAAAAATAAAAATTCTGTCATCATTTACTCACCCTCATGTCGTTCCAAGCCTGTACGACATGAGGGTAAAATATAAGAAGATATTTTGAAGATTGCTGGTAATCAAACGGTTGGTGGTTGCCATTGACTTCCATAGTAGGAACGACATGAGGGTGAGTAAATGATGACAGAATTTTTGGGTGAACTATCCCTTTAATGCTTCCTTGCTAAATAAAAGTATTTATTTCCTTCAAAAGTAAATAAATAAATCTTCCTGACCCCAAACCTTCAAATAGTAGTGTATATTTTAAATGAAATAATATAGTGTTTTTAATAAAATTATTTTCACACTATCCTTTCATAGTTTTGACACTCTTTCACTCTTTCTATCATATTGTCACTTTCACAGATGCCAGACTGTAAAACCTGTCAAGTGTAAATGTGTTTTTTTTCCCTTCCTTTCCTCAAGGTGGGTATGAGGGACTATGAGGGTATCCTTTCATAGTTTTGACACTCTTTCATGTGTGACTATCATATTGTCACTTTCACAGATGCCAGACTGTAAAACCTGTCAAGTGTAAATGTGTTTTTTTCCCCTTCCTTTCCTCAAGGTGGGTATGAGGGACTATGAGGGGTTTAGTAAGGAGTTACATTCTCTGAGCCACTGGTCAGAAGAAGCTGAGAAGGTTCTGAAGGAACCAGACCCAGTCGGTTCTCCAGATGTCTCATCTGTGCAGGAACACATGCTCTTTCTATCATATTGTCACTTTCACAGATGCCAGACTGTAAAACCTGTCAAGTGTAAATGTGTTTTTTTTCCCTTCCTTTCCTCAAGGTGGGTATGAGGGACTATGAGGGGTTTAGTAAGGAGTTACATTCTCTGAGCCACTGGTCAGAAGAAGCTGAGAAGGTTCTGAAGGAACCAGACCCAGTCGGTTCTCCAGATGTCTCATCTGTGCAGGAACACATGGAAAAACTTAAGGTGAAATTAGTTTTCCTGTAAAATTATAGGGTTGTATAAACACTTTTGAACTTTCTCATATGTATGTGTGCCTGTAGACCCAAATGTTAAAGCTGAGCAGTCTTTCTCCTGATCTGGAACGTTTGAATGAGTTGGGTTATCAGCTTCCCCTCAATGATAATGAAATCAAGCGTCTGCAGAACCTAAACAGGAGCTGGTCGTCTAACTCCGCTCGCACAATAGAGAGATTCAGGTATGTGTGATTACTGCGGATCTATGGTACATTTTCAATTTCTTCTCTAAAAGTGTGTAATGTTCAGTTGTCTGCATCTCTATGTATGTGCAGTAAATTGCAAGCCCTGGTATTGCAAAGACAGACCTTTTTGGAGAAGTGTGATGCTTGGATGACCTTCCTTAACCAAACAGAAGAGAAACTGGCCGCTGAGATTTCTGGAAACTACCAGAGCCTACTAGACCAGCAGAGAGAGCATGAGGTACTGATAGAAAAAAATATTTTTTTTAGAATAACTACAACTAAAGGCCTGTTCACATCAAATGAAAAGCCGCATTTACATTACCATTCAAAAATTTTGGGGTCAACTAGATTTTAAAAAGTTTTTGAAAGAAGTCTCTTATGCTCATCAAGGCTGCATTTATTTGATCAAAAATACAGTGAAACTGTAATATTTTGAAAACATACAAATTTAAAATAACTATTTTCTGTTTTAAAATGTAATTTATTCCTGTGATGGCAAAGCTGAATTTTCAGCATCATAACTCCAGTCTTCAGTTTTACGTGATCCTTTAAAAAATATTCTAATATGCTGATTTGCTGCTCAACATTTTTTTATTGTTCTTATTAGGACAATTTTGTCCCCAGCATTTTTTCTGTGTCAATGTTCAGTTTTTATTTCAAAACTCAAACCTTTATAAGATGGCTATATTAATAAGCTTTTTCAGTTTAAATATGATCAAAATATGCAGCATAAAATGCATTGGGTCATAGTTTAATTACCTACTTTATGCAACTGCTCTACTTTTTTTTTGTGTGTGTGTGTGTGTGTGAATAGCTATTCCAAGCAGAGATGTTTAGTCGACAACAAATTCTATACTCTATCATCAATGATGGACATCAGCTCCTGAATCAGGGACAAGTGGAAGACAGGTAACATTTGTTTACTTGTTTATTCTTATTCTTTCATTCATACTTGTAGTGACACTCTCTTTTTTTGTCCTCTCGCCCAAAAGGGATGAATTTGGCTTGAAACTGGCACTGCTTAGTAACCAGTGGCAAGGTGTGGTGAGGCGGGCCCAGCAAAGACGGGGGATTATTGACAGTTTGGTTCGGCAGTGGCAGCGGTACACAGAGCTGATAGAGAAACTGCGTCATTGGCTGCAAGAAGTGTCAATGGAACCAGAGGAGCAGCAACAAGTGTCAACAGTAGCACTACAGCAGATCCGTGGCATGCTAGACCACATACAGGTAAAGATATAGCCATATTTACATTAAAGAAGTAATAATGGCTTCCTGCAAATAGCCTGAAGTACCCTGGATGTCCCTTTCTCTCCACCCAGCTGAAGGAGCGTGTGCTCCAGAGGCAACAGGGCAGCTACATCCTCACGGTGGAGGCCGGGAGGCAACTCCTCCTGTGGGCTGATGCCAGAACGGAGGCCTCACTTCACACTGAGCTGACTGATGTGCAGGAGCACTGGAGGACCATTAACATCCGTCTCGACGAGAGGAAGAAAGAACTGCTCTCTTTGCTAAGGGTGAGTTAAGAGTAAATGGGTGTACTTACTGTTTGTCTGGTTGCTGATTTGCTAGATTTAGTAGTTCGTATCATTGACAAAGTACAAGCACATGACTTTTGCTGTTTGGAGAAAGTTCATTATTTCCAGATGGCAGCAAATCTTTGTTGAGTAATTTTGGTTGATCATTTACATTTGTTGGGTAATTTCCTTTAGATGAATGTGTTTTCCTGTAAGTTGGTTGGTTTTTGCACATGTATGATTATGTATAATAGGATCAAATTTTGAGACCACTGGTAAAAATTCTTCTATTTTGCAATTATATTTACTAATTTAATTGAAGTTTATTTTTTGTTACTATATATTATTACAACAACTAAATTTATTTTTTTAAAAATTAATTTTAGACGTTTGTCATTTTGTTGTATTTGATTAACAACCTATAAATAGCACCTATTTATGGTAATATTGTAAAGGGCAATCCGGCAGGAATTGTCGTAGGGGGAGGGAATAACCAGTGAATAACCAGCACGGTTGTGTGTGTGTGTGTGTGTGTTCACTACTGTGTGTGTGTAACCCATTGGATGGGTTAAATGCAGAGCACATATTCCGAGTAGGGGTCACCATACTTGGCCACATGTCACTTCACTTTCACTTTCACTAATTTTGTGGAATTTTTTTTTTTAAAGATTTTATTTTAAATTAATTTATTTTATATCCTAAAAAATATCTTCAGGCTTTTGTTTTAAGTTTAAAAAAAAATTCTATGTAGTCTCAGACTTTTGGAGCCCACTTTCTATATATGACGTGCTGTTTCATTGTTGCAGATGTACTTGTTGCAGTGTTTTCTGGTTGTTTGTACGATGTGTTACAGTTTAGGATTTTTATAGTACAACATCTTTTATAGATTTAAATGGGTGTGCATCTATAATCAAATGTTCAGGATCAGATTGTTTTGTTTAAATAATCTTGGTTATTTTGTTTTAGTGAAATCAGGGATTGTTCATTACTTTGAAAGCTATTTTGCACTACAAATATACAGAAATACAGAAACATAAAACAAAAATGAAATATTCGAACCGAACATTCTCAAACCTATAAATGGATCTCACGTTCAAAGTTCTTTTCCTAAAAGAAAAGAGAGACAGTGAAGGACTTTGCATCTGACCTTACAGAGCAAATAGAGACGAGCTAGCATAACGAGAGTGTGTAATGTGTTTTGTGAGTGCGTGTGAGGGGGATGAAAGAGAGAGAACGGGAGAAAGAGGCAGCGAGGGAGCTGAAGGCGAGAGAAATATCTTCAGTACTGTAGGAGGCAGGACGCGGGAGGGAGTCCAACACAGGGCAGCAGAGACAGGCAGTCATCCGCTCCATTTTGACGCAGCACACTGGGGCATAGACAACAATTTTGGATTGCAAAAGGAAAATGGCTCCTCTTTCCTTCGGCCTCTGTCTCTCTCTCTTCCTCTCTCTTCCACATCCCTCCGTTTTCTAGGATTACATAATAGAAGGTACCTCACTGCTTTATCTGTGCATGATTATTTGTCTCTCTTGTGTCTCAGGACCATGACCCTTTGCTCTGCCCATGTTTAAATAAAGAATTGGTTACATATGACGTTCTGTACTGCGTTCCTCATTAAAAATGTGATGATCTCTGAACATCTTTCTGACTTTTCCTCAAGTGTTGTAATAAACATGTTGCATTCAAGCTTTAAAATTGCTAAGGTAAATTTTTCTAAGATACATACTTATGTATATTGTGCAGATTATACTGGCATAAACACCTCTTTATCATGCTTTCTCATGATTCACTTTTTTTTCTGGCTATGTGTGCAGAGCTGGGATCAGTGTGAAAAAGGAATTGCTGCATCACACGAGAAGCTGAGGGACTTTAAGCAAAAGCTCTCTGTGCCTTTACCCGACCACCATGAGGAGCTGCACACAGAACAGATTCGCTGCAAGGTACATAAACAAAATCTGACTCATCTTGTGTCCTATGACCTTTTAGATGTGTGTTGCTTCAGCAACATCTGAGTATCTCTTATTATTTGAGCTAAAGTATTAAACACAATTTCCTTACCAGATTTGCAGTAATAAAGCAACAGTATCTCGATAGTCCAGATAATGATTGGTTTGTGCAGTCTGCTGCTGTCAACCATTGCATTAATAATACCCTTGCATGCTTCTTGCAGAATGTGTGTGCGTGTGTCTGTGTCTGTGTGTGTGTGTGTGTGTGTGAGATGCCCTGACACTCTGCTGAATTTTTTATCTGCAAAGGAGGGTTGATTTTTCACACGTGATGTTGCAGAGAGGTGTGTGCAGTATAGCAGAAGGTGTGTGAAAGTAACATCGACCTGCTCTGGTCTGTATGAGCTGGACTGTCAGCAAGAGTCTCTTTGACTTTGCTTGAGGGAAGGAAGTTGAGGTGCATGCTAATCATTCTAAAAAAATCATGTTAGCAGAGATGCTGAGCTTTAATAAGAAGTGCTTACGCAGCAGCAAAAAAAAAGAAAGCTTTTTTAACAGCAAAATATTGACAGCTTTTTTCTATTCAAATTATTTCTCGATACAGAGATCACTTATGCCTTTATTGTGTGCTTAATGTCTTGTCGACCGTTGTTATCTGTAAGTCACATACAGTCTCTATATTAGGATTATACAGTGTAACTTGCTGTGAATGCCAGCAGAGATATCAGTATCAACAAATATCAATACAAATGCAATTAAGGACTTTTGGTTTTTACTGTGTGTTGGGGAAGAATATGTGCAGTCAATATTCTTCTGTTTTAGATAAATGTAACCAGCAGTCTTAGTAAATATTTTATTTTATTTTGGCTTGGTAGGGGTAGGGTTAAGGACAGGATATATTTTACTTTTAAATAAATTAATGTATTTTTTAAATTATAATTATTTACTTTTCCTTTTAAATTTTAAATTTTCATTTTTTTTCTTTATTTTCTTACTTTTTTTTTTTTTTTTTACAATTTTTATTACTTTTAAACAAATTAATGTATTTTTTAAATTATAATTATTTACTTTTCCTTTTAAATTTTAAATTTTCATTTTTTTTCTTTATTTTCTTACTTTTTTTTTTCTTTATTTTTTTTTACAATATTTACCTTTTGAACTCTAGTTTAGATTATTCAATTTGAACTTTAATTTAAACTATATCATCTCCATTGAATTTTTATTATTTTATTTTTACATTTTACATGGGTTTTGTATGTTTATTTATTTATTTTAAATTTAAAAACGTTGTCCTGAAATTTTATTTTCAACAGTTACAGTTTGAACTTAATTTTACTATATTTTATTGTATATAATTGTATATATTTTATTTTTAAATCTTACATTTTATTTTATAATTTTATTTCTGATGTGTTCATGTTCATGAATGTATGTGTTTGTGTGTGATAGGAATTGGAGAGCAGTATTGAAGGCTGGGCTGATGATGTAGCCGGCCTGTGTATTCTGAGGGAGTCTCTCTCCAGCAGCCTCAGTGCAGATAACCTCACAATCCTACAGGAAAGACTTATATTACTCCAGAGACAGTGGGAGGAGACTTGTCACCAGGTACACACATACACATCAGTCTGTCCCTTTGCATTTGTTTTACACCATAACACATTCTATGCACAGCTGTCTGCCATAAGCACAGGCATTTCATGTGACAGAAGCAGTGGGAACAAGCTCAGACGCGGAGGCTTTACAGTACATTACAGTTGATAAAAAAACTGCAAGTTTTCATTAAGTCAGATATTGAATATATAAAGGGATGCACTGATTTGAATTTTGAGCAACTTAAAAAAATAGTTAAATTCAATAGATAAAGATTGAGTTTTGCATTCGCTCACAAACTTACAGAGAATTAATGCTGTTGTTGAATCAGAGTTCTTGATGGCTCCTTATTTGCTCTGGACAACATAGTATAAAGGATTGCAATGATAATGTGCCTCTTAATCCCTGATGTCTCTTAGTAAAGAAAGGACCATGAGAAAGAAGGAAGGTGCATGACACTAAAGTATTACGGTACTAACGTACTTAAGTAACTTTTTGCACATTCTCTCATCGGCCGCGACGTCCTTCATTTATTCGTACTCTGTACTCAGTGAACCCATGTTGTAATTAATCATTGTCTGTCATCCCTGTAGCTGTCCCTGCGCAGGCAGCAGGTGAGCGAGAGGCTGAATGAGTGGGCCGTGTTCAATGAGAAGAACAAAGAGCTGTGTGAGTGGCTCACACAAATGGAGAGCAAGGTCTCACAGAACGGTGACATCAGCATTGAGGAGATGATTGAGAAACTCAGGAAGGTGAAATTAACACACAATCACAACATATTTGTTTCTAATGAAATCAAGAAATTGATAAATAATCATCCCACTGAACACTAAAACGTATCTCTAAAACGTATTTTTTCTTATTACTTATTTCAGTGAATATGTGAAAAACAATCCACCCAAATTCTTGTATTCAGCTAAAAAAACATGCAATCTCTTTGTTATCAGGACTATCAGGAAGAGATCTCAGTGGCCAAGGAGAACAAGCATCAGCTGGAACAGATGGGGGAGAGATTGGCTCAGGCCAGCCATGAAAGCAAAGCTGCAGAAATCCAATTCAAACTCAGCAAAGTCAATGAGCGCTGGCAGCATCTGCTTGACCTTATAGAAGCTAGGTGAGTCTTTCAAATGATATTGCATGACGTTGTACCTATTGTTGTACATCAGCGGTTCCCAAACTGGGATGCGCGCACCCCTAGGGGTGCACAGACCGACCAGCAGGGGTGCGCTATAGAATGCTTTTGATGATCTGTGTGCATTTTTTGAAGGGGCAAGTGAAAGAGAATTTTACTTGCCCGACCGGACAACTAATCTAATCTTATTAAAACATCGAATTAGGGAAGCACCAACATTTCGGCGAGAATGATTCTGATTTTATTACACTTGGTGTAAACAGCAATTCATAATGGATAATCAATAGTAACAAGGTCGTGGCAGTTGAGACTCACGTGAGAGAACACTCTCATGGAGAAATCGAAACAAATGAACACAACTGCACACAGAAGAAACATACTACAGTAAAAAATGTATATTTTTTATATTTATTACAAAGCCTAGCCTAATTAATTAACATGACACGACTAAGAGAGTGCAGTTTTCCCCGAAAATCAGTATGATTGTAAATTCAACATTGATTTTAAACGACTTCAAACGAGTAGTTAATATTAAGTGACTTAGGGCATATATTTTAGTACAATAATGTCAAATGTGACTGTTTTTGCTCTATTTGTTTAATGAAAATAGTTCCAAACAAACTTAGCAGCAGAACTGTCCCGCATCTCTGAGCAACACACAGCGTCGTCAGCGGTTTCGTTAGGCTACTGAATGATTCGCATTTTTTAATTAATAATTTGAGTCAATGATTCAGTGGTCCATTCATAAAGACAGGCGCTTGCTTCATTCTTGAATGAATCAGCCATTTGAAGAATCCTTTGAATGCCTCAATGACTCACTCATTAAGACAGTCTACTTGCTGCCACCTGCTGGCGGGTTACTTTCAAATTGAAAAGTAACTTTTTTTTTTGTATTTTTTACAACTTTTCATATTTGTAAATAAAAAAACCTGATGTAAAACCCAAAACTAACAGCATTATTTATGCTGTTGTAATTTTGCAGTGTTAATGCATTCATGCTACATTTCAGCTTCATTAAATTGTCTGTGTAAATGCATCTAAATGCCACTTCAGCTGCTTCTGTTTCTCCAGCAGTGGAAAATTTGGTTTTGTTAACACTGATTTCATTTGATTGGTAACAGCCCTATAGAGTCTTATTATATTAAGTGTATTTATTAATAAAATGTAAGAATTTGATATGAAAGATGACACATGAATTTAATAAGGTTAGGGGGAAATGCCCTTTTTATAGGCACAAAAAAAGACCTGGAAATCAATTCAAATATATTTTAATATGCAGTAACTTTAGTCATATAAAATTAAATTTTCCAGAAACAAAATTATGGCCAGTGAAAATGCTGAGTGGCTAGTCATTTTGGAAAACCACTAGCCACAGTGGCTGGTGAGCAAAAGAGTTAATGTCAAGCCCTGTATACAGTGAATACTTGTATTTATACTTGTATTGCAGTAAAAAAATGTGGTGTTTAACCGGAGCACGGTGGTGGGGGTGCTTGACATGTGTCAAACACTAGAAAGGGGTGCAAGCTGCAAAAAGTTTGGGAACCACTGTTGTACATTGTTGTACGACTGTTACATTTACAGTTACAGTTGTTGTGCCTTTTATGTCTTTTATAGAACAAAAGTCCAAAGATTTTTTTTTTTTAAAGAATGTTTTAATTCAGAAATTAAAAAATAAATTCCTGAAAGATCAGCCAGTTCTTTTGCTGAGTGTCATCTATAGAAATTGGGGCGTGAACTGAGCATGTTCCATGTGCTAATGGACCGTGGGTCGAAAGGAAATATTTTGCACCAGCATCTTAAACATGACACCATGGTGTCTCTGGATATGACTGGTAAAGTGGAGTTGTCTGCAGTCAGGACTGAAAGCTTCTCACGTATGGTGTTGATTTCACTGTGGCCAGTGTGTGAGAGTGTCATTCTCTCTCTCGCACTCTCACTCATGTGCATTAGCTCTGTGCGACAGCTGCTGTCTTGAGTTTTCCCGAAGTGTAATAGATTGACATGCTTTTATTTGGATTCAATTAAAGAGCTAACTGCAGAGATTTTTCTCAAGGAAAAGTATCCACACTGTTCACAAGCAAACATATTTCAAATAAAGACACACTGACACACCCTTTCTCTTACACACATTTAGTTGCCTTTCTAAATGCATGGCATTCCAACTTATATTGTTTTTATATGTAGTTAGTCATAAATACTATAACCAACCCTGACAGAAAACTTAAAGGGGTCATATGATGCTGCTAAAAAGAACATTATTTGGTGTATTTGGTGTAATGAAATGTGTTTATGCGGTTTAAAGTTCAAAAAACACATTATTTTCCACATACTGTACATTATTGTTTCTCCTCTATGCCCCGCCTTTTTGAAACGCGTCGATTTTTACAAAGCTCATCGGTCTGAAAAAGCGAGGTGTGCTGTGATTGGCCAGCTATCCAGTGCGTTGTGATTGGCCGAACACCTCAAGCGTGAGACGGAAATGTTACGCCCCTCACATACTGTTGATGCCGTGTCCAGGCCGGAGTGACGAGACAACATTAAAACCCATTACAAACGAGGCATTTGTTGCATCCAGTGGGGACATAATTACTGATTATAATGACTTGTACTGTCTTTTTACGCATTGCGTTGCATTGCATCGCGCCGCGTAAACATAAATCCCTCAGCGACCAGCACAGATCAGCTCTAGGTATGACGAAGCGGATATCGTCCTCTTTTGCAAATCTTCCCACATAGTGAGGCAGATTTGTGGGGGCGTGTTAGAACGAGCCATTTTAGGTAGGTGTGGCTGACTCTGAAAGAATTTATAAAGAATATCTCTTTGGATTTGAGACTTCAGTCTTTGCAACTTTACAGATCTTCTTTATGCACCAAGAGCTTGTAACATACCAAAGAGAAAGGAAAAATTGAAATCGCATCATATGACCCCTTTAATGCATTTTTACAATTAAAAAAAAACTCTTATTTACTTTTTTTTAATACTATTTATACTAATGAGGATATCCCTAAAAGGAAGTTTAACTCACTTTACAAATTTGTCCCCAAAATATTTTGTATTTCTATTTTAGTCATTTTGTATTTCCCAATTTACATTTTTCTTAAAGGGGTCATATGATGCGATTTAAATTTTTCCTTTCTCTTTGGAGTGTTACAAGCTCTTGGTGCATACAGAAGATCTGTAAAGTTGCAAAGACTAAAGTCTCAAATCCAAAGAGATATTCTTTATAAAAG